CTGTGGCAGAGATCCGCACCAGAGCGGACAGTATCATCCAGAAGTCAGGTCTCTCCAAGAACGCAGAAGATCTCCTCACAATTTCAAAGGCGGACGAACCTGATCAGGTCACTGACGTCCAGGCTCTGATCAACCGAGTTCATGCTTTGTTCATGGCGTTAGAGTACCTGAACATTTGCACCTACTCCAAGAAGGCAGGGCCGCTCAAGTATATGCAGGAGCTCGAACTTTTCCGCGCAGAATGTCCAGGGCTCCCGAACTTGATGGCCGCAGACGCCCTGATCAGGAAGAAGGTCCATCGCCTGCAGTCAGAACAACGCCAGCTCTACCCCACTTTTGAGGATGCAATGCTCGCGGTGCTCAACAACCACAAATACATCTGGAACGATGCTCGCACCAAAGCTGCACTCTCGCGGGTGGAGAAGAAGAAAGACGAAGTTCCTGAGGAGTCAGATCGCGTTCTCGAGACGCCGCCCAAGAGCTCACCCAACAAAAGACGCAAGCGCAGGGCCAGAGACAAGGAGCTCATGCGCGAGGCCAAGATCGCCCGCCGCGCCAAGACCGAAGCAACTCCGAAAGCCAAGGCTGGCGCAAAGGTGGACAAGGTCGACAAGGACAAACGCATTCCAGAATCGGAATGGAAGGCGATCGCCCAAGCTGCTGGCTCGGTCACCGGGCCTAAGCGCTGCCATTATTACAACTCGTCTATGGGGTGCTCCTTGGGCGACAAGTGCAGGTTCAAACATCTCTGCATGGTTTGTGGGTCTGCTCACTCGATGGTGGGCAACCACTGATCGACCAGTGCCACAACAGAGCTCGCGGGTGATGGCAAGGCGAATGATGATCTGATGTCTGATCTGACAGCCTGGCCTTCACCTTTTTGGGGCTCTCAGTTCATTCCCTCTGCAAAGGGATTTTTCCTGGAAATTTTCGCAGGAGAGGCAGGTCTCACACAGGCAATCCATGCGCGAGGCCGAAAGTTTCTCCCGCCGATCGAGATTTTACCCAACAATTTTGTTTTGGATGCGGTGGACATTTTGGACCAACAGGTCGTCCTCCACATCAAGAAGCTGATCGCAGCAGGTTCTTTATTTTTCATTCATTTTGGCACGCCATGTTCCTCCTTCAGTTTGGCTCGAAAGGATGATGGTGGGCCTCCTCCCCTGCGTGATCGCGCTAATTTGTGGGGACGGCCAAACCTTCGGGCCTGCGACATTGAGAAGGTCCAACTAGGCAACAAGTTCATGGCCATCAGTGCGGAGCTGGTCACCATGTGCCACAGATGTTCAGTCGGTTGGTCTGTCGAAAATCCTGCCGGTTCTTTCTTGTGGTCGATGCCCCCGTTCGAGGCCGTTGAGACTTTGCCGCAAGTCGAACGGTACCTGCTCGACATGTGCAGGTTCGGCTCCCCCCACAAGAAGCCAACCGCAATACTCTCCAACCGAGATCTGCGCACGTTGGCGCTGCTGTGCGATCGCCCGGCGCGACCTCATGACCATGAACCACTGGTGGGCATGATCGTCGTGGAGGGCAAGAAGGTGTTCAAGACCAAGCTGGCTCAAGTTTATCCACATGAGCTCTGCTCAACATGGGCGCAAGCAATTTGCGCTGATCAGCAAGAGGTTTTGGCTCGTACTTTTGCGTGGTCACAGCCAAGTGACGAACGCAAGCGACCAGTGGGGCAAGCAATCCCTTGGTCGGGCCACAAGCAACAGGTCACCGCTCAGAAGGCTCTTGCAGCGGGATATCAGCTCAAGCGGTCTGCTTTGCCCCCGCTTCTGCAGATCGAACTGGAACCTGGCGAAGCTGTTCGCAGGGCGCTGCAACTGCAACATCCTTTCACGGTCGACCCTGCTTTGGAGCCCGATCTCCAAGAAGCTTTGGCGCTCGCCGTGCTTCATGTCATCGCAGAGGTGCTCTTCAATTTTGGCACGAGCGAGCCGAACGCTTGCTCCCTGCCACCGAAGCTATTCTGAACCAAGCGAGTGATCCTTTCCTTCGTGCTCTTTTGCGCGGAGGCCCCGATTCTCAACCTCTTGAGCTGGGGGAGGTCACTCACATTGCTCTTTGGCGTGAGATGCTTCAGGCCGCTCGGTGCATCGACGCCTCGCTGCTCGATGAGATGCTGGGGGGCTTTCGCATTGTTGGGCCTATCCAACGCTCTATGCGATGGTCATTGCTTCCTTTTCCTGAAGAGTCCATGGCCGAGACGGAGCTCGTCAAGAGGGCCTGGGAGTTCTTTGAGGAAGTGGTCAAAAATGTGGAGCGGTCAGAGGTGACCGGTAGCGCTGGAAAGATCTGGGAAGCTACGAGGGAAGACGTTCGTGAAGGCGCAACAGTGGGACCATTTTTCTCCAAGGCAGAGGTGGACAAGTTCTTGGGGGGTTAAAGACTGGATCCCCACCCAGCGCTTTGAGGTCGTCCAAAAGAATAAGGTCAGAGGTGTAGACAGTGCCACGGTCAACGGCATCAATATGGCCACCAAGATCGTGGAGAAGCTCGACCTGCCATCTACAGATGTCAATGTAGCGGCTCTCAGATGGATGAGATCTCACTGCTCTGAAGGCCAAGCACTGCTCGGGTGGGTCCTGGATGAACGCAAAGCCTATAGGCAGATCCCGATCCATCCCGATCATCGCAGGTGGAGTGTCATTTCGCTCCGTGATCCTGGCAGTGGTAAAGTGGCTTTCTTTGTGATGATTGGTCATTCGTTTGGCCTGGTCGCAGCCGTATACAACTACAATCGTAGGTCTGCAGCCATAACTGACATTTTGAGAAGACTTTTCAAGTTGCTGCTTTTAATTTCTATGACGACAAGTATGGCTTCGAGACAGAAGCTACATGTCGATCGGCTCACCAAGTTGCTCAACGGGTGCATTTCTGGTTGGGAGCGAAGTTCGATGCCAAGAAATTGCAGCTCTGTTCCGACCCCACAATTTTAGGGGTCACCTACGATCTGCAAGCGATGTGCCTGAGGATCAAGCCGTCGAGAAAGGAAGAGCTGCTCGACGAAATTGACTCAATTGTCACTTCGGGCCTTTTGCCCCCTGGTCAAGCCGGCAAGTTGCGGGGCAAGCTCATGTTTGGAGCATCGCAGCTTTGGGGGAAGATCGGAAGAGCTTTTCTCCGTGTTCTATCGGAGAGGCAGTACTCGAAGTTCCCTCACACGGGGCTCACAAAGGCGCTTAAGCTCGCGCTGGTGCACTGGCGTTTGCTCATTAAGGACGGTCCTCCTCGACAGATCTCTACGTGCACCAACAAGCCTGCTGACTTCGTGATCTTCACTGACGGCAGTTTTCCTGATGGGAAGAGTTCTCTTTTGAAGCCGTGGATAGGAGGGGTGCTCTTCTCCAGGGGATGCCGACCTGTTCAATTTGGTTGCGAGGTCAGTCAGAAGCTGGTTAAGAAGTGGCTGCCTAGGAAGTCGCAGATTGCTATGATCGAGTTGCTGGCGACGGTCGTTGCTTTGAAGACCTTCGCTCCTCGGCTCCGAGGCTCCTTGGCATTGCTCTTCGTCGATTCTGAGCCAGTTCAAGGCGCGCTGGTGAAAGGCTACTCGTCCAAAGAAGATTTTTGTGAGCTCATAGGAGTATTTTGGAGATGTGCGCTTGATCTAGGTGTCAACATTTACATTGATAGGGTTCCTACTGATTCCAATCCATCTGATCCTCCATCTAGAAGTCGGATGGACATCGGAATAGGTCTAGGTTGGGAAACTATCGATCCTTGTTTCCCTTAGGGCATGCGGCGTGGGTCTGTCATTTGATTTTGCTTGAGGATGTTCATTTCATTTTGTGAAGCTGATTTATTTCATTTGTGAAGCTGATTTATTTCTGTGATTTCAATTGAGTTGATCCAGCTCAGTGATTGATGCGAGCAGATCCCGCTCGGAACTTGATCGTTAGTCGATTTGATTTCATTTATTTGATCAGATCAGCAGACAGAACAGTCTGCAGCATTTTTCGATAGATCAGATTAGCAGACAGAAAGGTCTGCTGATCCATCCTCACTACCCACGTCTTCGGGGATGGAAAACGTGTGTTCGCTGCTAGTGCAGTGCATGTGTTCACATGCACGACAGAGAGCTGGATTGGATCACTTATTGACGGTTGGTTGGTAGGAATAAGTGGGTCAATCTCCAGCTCGGGGCACTTGCTGCGATCGCGTCATCTCCTTGCTCTTGTTCTTTTATTTGATTGGAAGGATCTGCGAAAGAATTTGAACTGATCATTCTTTTTTTATTTACTGAGTTGGAAAGATCTGTGAGAGGAATTGATTTGATCTTGTGCCCGATCGGGCTCGTTTGTGAATTGAGCATTCATTGGGATCAGGGTCAGATCTCAATGCCATTTTGGCTCAAGATCTGACCCACCTTGATCGATCATTTCTTTTGGTCCCATCCCTCAGCCACCCTCTGTTGAATCAGGGGGAATTTCCGATTTGCTTTGCAGGGGTCTGTCATTTGATTTTGCTTGAGGATGTTCATTTCATTTTGTGAAGCTGATTTATTTCATTTGTGAAGCTGATTTATTTCTGTGATTTCAATTGAGTTGATCCAGCTCAGTGATTGATGCGAGCAGATCCCGCTCGGAACTTGATCGTTAGTCGATTTGATTTCATTTATTTGATCAGATCAGCAGACAGAACAGTCTGCAGCATTTTTCGATAGATCAGATTAGCAGACAGAAAGGTCTGCTGATCCATCCTCACTACCCACGTCTTCGGGGATGGAAAACGTGTGTTCGCTGCTAGTGCAGTGCATGTGTTCACATGCACGACAGAGAGCTTGATTGTGTTAGTTATTTTCACCACTCGTTAATTGTTCTAACGTGCCCATTTTGATTGGTCAACATTCCGACTTTACTTGGTACCTCCTTTTGGCTTGCAAGCGACATCCACATTTTTGGTCGGTTTCAAGTGTTGTTTTGGTAAACGTCGCACCCGACAACGGGATTTTCCCAGATTTTCCCAGCTTTTTCTGGTCCCATCTGGTCCTGAAGGACTTCATCCGCATCACCCGGGCCCCTGGAGTCCTGGGCCATGGAGGCGAAGAAAGTGCGGAGCGTGCGGAGATGGAGCGGCTGCTGAGTCTGGGGCAGAAGCATCTGCAGCAAGCCTACAGACACAACAAGGCCCTGGGATGCCCCGACAAAAAATGGCCAAAGAATGGGAAGATGATGAGTAACTCATTGGATTTTGGGGTAGCCGATTTTCGGAACCCCATCTGGGTAGGGATTTAACATGATTTAACCAATCATTTCTTTGAAAAACTACTTTTTAAATCTACCCAGACACGAGGGTGAATTTCCAATGTCGTACCCGTCCCATTTGCAATCGGAAATTGGAATAATCATGAATAATCCAACTGGTGATGGTACTGCTCCCACGTGGGGATACAGGGTACCCAAGATGGGCCACGAGATGCTGTGAGGCATGGGCAACAGAGAAAGAGGCTATCAATATCTGCAAAAGTCGGGGATATAAGCCACAGATAATCGTTGATTAGATGAGAATTGGGTATAATAACAAATTCACATTGAATAGTGACTATTGAATAGTGTTGTGACTAGTGGTTATGTATGTCTCAACCTTCCATAGGAGCCAGTGAATCCCTGGTGCTCCAGGCCCGGGCTCCGCCTTCATGGAGCGACTTACACGGTGTCTTGACGACCGTTGGAAGATCCCAGGCGAGAACGACCTCCAGCAGTTTTGGGAGAGTTCTTCTGACCAAATCACTTCAAACCCAGCAGTGAGCTGGAGTTGGGCTTGGTGCCTCAATGATTTTTTTTGGATACCCCGGATACCCCTGAGAGTAGCAACCAAAATACAGGGGGAAGACGATGTTTTTTTTTTTCGATGGGATGGCATTTCCAACTTTTGAGACAACCCCGTTTGGGTTGGCGATTTGGCACACCAACTTGCCATGAAAGGACCCCCAAAAGCCCATGGTGCGTCCCATTGGAACGGCCATATCTTGGGGTCAACCCCAATTTTCATCGCGAAAACGGCTATGCAAACATGGGAGTAAAGCTCCCCATTTTCACACCCAAATATCAACAATAGTCGGTCACCAAAAAACAAGTTTATAATTGATCATAATTTCATCTAGCTTTGTCATCCCCAGTTTTTCCAGCTTTATCCATCAAAAAATGGGAACACACATCTCCCATAGTGACAGGTGCCTTTGTTTGACATCCTCGATCGCTTGGATAGCCAAGTGATTGAGGGCATTCACCTTCGAGACGCTTGGCTAAGGTGGGGAATGGTTTAACTGAATCGCTTTGGTACCTCATTTTTATGGGGAGATACCCCAAAATCAACATTTTGAGTGGAAAAAATAGCATGTTTTATGGGACACATCACATTTTTGATTGGACACACACCATTTTTAGGCTTCACGCGGATAGAAACCCGTGTCGTTTCGTGCATCAGAGCATTTTTTTCTTGTTGCTTGGATTTTATGATTCATGTTCCGCAGCCATTTGCATGTTAATTTTCCTGCGTTTTCCCATATAATTTCAGCTTGCCTCATCATGCAGACAAATTTCATCTTTCAACAAATCAAACTTCATGTGCAGAAACGTGAAAATCAGGCACCGCAAAATTATCAATCTATGTTTACAGAAGTGACAAGCTTTGAAGAAGTGAAGTTGTCATATACAAGAGCTTCAAAGTTTCAACCTCTTGCATGGATATCTTAAAGTGTATATATATATATCCAACCAACCCCACCCCACCCCACCCCACCATAGTGTAGCATGACGTGTGTGTGCAAGCGCAAGAGAAGATCACCCTAGCGTAGCATGGCATCGGTGTGCAAGTTAACATGAACGTTATTACCCCACCCCACCCCACCCCACCCCACCATAGCGTAGCATGATGTGTGTGTGCAAGCGCAAGAGAAGATCACCCTAGCGTAGCATGACGTCGGTGTGCAAGTTAACATGAACGTTATTACCCCACCCCACCCCACCCCACCCCACCATAGCGTAGCATGATGTGTGTGTGCAAGCGCAAGAGAAGATCACCCTAGCGTAGCATGACGTCGGTGTGCAAGTTAACATGAACGTTATTACCCCACCCCACCCCACCCCACCCCACCCATATGCATTTTGTATTGCGGGTTTCTACCCGCGTGAATGGTTTTAGTGGGACATTATTTTTTAATACGACAACTAGCCTTTTCAATAGGACACAACATGATAAACCATGGGATGGATGGGAATGGTAGTACAATCCCAATTTTGAGACAATTCCAAATGGTTGGAGAGGCTTCCATTCAAGTTGGACTTGACACACCCCTTCTGGCGTCAGGTCCTGTTCAGGCAGCATTTTGTTTCTTCAAGTCTTGGACAACTTGGGCAGCAAACATCATCATCAACCATACCCATTAATTATATCAATACTGTCAATGACATCCATTATTTTTGATGTCTCAAACCATGTCAAACCCCTCATTTTGAATATGATGGATGCATCCCATTTACAATATATATATATATATCCCGGACAAAAGGATGTGCCCCAAAGACCTCTTTTTGGAGTCGGGGAACCAAGGACTCGGTGACACACGAATCCAAGTCCTTTCTGGTGCACCTCCTGCCCACTCGAAATGTGGAGTCCAACCATGTGCGTTCGGTGATCGATCTGCACTGCGAGCCTCAGAATGGAATAGCCCATGAGTTCCTTAAGTCATGGGAGATCCCCACGTCACCATGGGTTTCAATACGAAGTCATGGTCTAATGACTTGGATGATTTTGGGTACCCCCATGACTTAGGAAACCTCGAGATGGCCCTGACTTCCATTGGAGATCCCTTTTTCCGCGCCGTTGATAGCTACAGGATAGAGTCTTCAGAGACATTGTGGCAGAACACCGTGGACAACCAATCACAGTGGTGGAGGTTGGAGCACATCTTGGAGGTTCGCAGTGTGCAGAGCTGCTTTTCGTTTTGATGAACTTGAACCTTTCAAGGTTGATCCACATCGAAGTATGCGATTTAGGCATCCATCCATCCATCAATGCATCCATCCGTCCATCCATCCATCCACTGATTAGCATGCGCTTCTGATTCCAAGCTCTGCTTTTTGCAACCACAAATAGCAGGCCATGCAGAACCAGTGAGTTGTGCATCCAGGCTGTATCTTGCACGCACTGACCCATTCGCACCTGGAGTTCCGGCCTCAGTGTTTTACATCGCAAAGTTTCACATTGGTGTGTCTGAAAATAGTGTACCCCTAAACCCAATGGTTAATGATCATTATCCCTATTAAATGGCTATAATTGGGAATATACCCTATTTTCAGACAAACCCACATTGGTGTAAGTGACATAAGTGACACCAAAAGAACAACTGGGCTGTGGTGAAAAACTTGGTGGGTCAAGACCAGGATGGTCATGAGAAAATGATATTTATCCTACAAATCCCCAGTTTCCAGCTTTTCAATCTATTTGGGCTTGCTAGATCCCATTAATCATATCATATCCCTTTCATATATCCGACATATCCCAGTAAATGCCATGAAATCCCTATGTTTGATGCTTTTTTATCCCATCTTTATTGGTTGAATGGCCAGAATTCATCCAGAAGCCCCAGCACTGAGGAGTCGCGGCTTAGCCATTGATGCCTATGCTCCAGCTGTGGATGCACTGCGACGCACCGCTGTGAGCAACCAAATGGAGGAGCGGCTGGACTCCAGTGTGTCCAAAAATGGAGAACCCTGGTGGTAAAAACCAGAGGTTGCCATGGAAAATGGCCCATTTATAGATGATTTACCTATATTTACATGTTCAAATGCTGATTTTTGTTGATTTTTTTATTAGCAATGTTTGATTACCAGACGGTACATACCCCAAAAATGGTATTTAAAGATAAAGAACAACTAACTAGGAAAATGATGATTGATCAGTGGACTTGGGCGGCCAAATGGATTTGTCCAAATATATGGGAACACCAAACGTTCCAATGAATTCGCGTGGATTCTGATATTTTTCGTTTCTCCCCCTACTTGTACAATTGATTTGTTCTTGTATCACCAATTTCGGACACACTCTCTGAGAGAAGCTCGGTGCAGGAAAGACTGACAGTGGTGGAACAGTTTGTTTGCGCTGACGATGACCGAAACTCGGTGTGCAAAGATGGGGGCTTGAGTGGAGTTCAAAGTGGTGCCCCATAGTTAGCTAAATTGGTTTATAAGTCCAACATCTAGGGTTTATGGGGGTTATATCTATAGTTAATGGGGATTATAAACCAACTTATAACTGGGGGGTACCACCTTGTTGAGAGTTGATCGATATGCCAAACCTGTTTTGAGCGGATTCAGCCTTTCCTGCTTTTTCTTTCGTACAAACCATGACGTGTTTTCTTGAGAGAAACATGTTCGCCGAAAAAAAACCCTAAAACTGTGAACACCCACTCCATCCCTGGAATCTTAAACAACACACAGCAAAATCCCAGAACCCTTTGTTTTTCCAGGCGAAACAGACATGAACAGGTTTGCCCATCATTATGTGACTACTGCCGCGTTGATGCAGGACAAATGTCAGGGGGGGTGAACATGTTCTGATCCCCTGACCGCAATGAGGCAAGTTCTCTCTCGTCTTCAGCGAGACAGGTGTCTTGAGTCAACCAGGATGGGAAGATGTCTCTGCCGGGGGTCTCAGCTGGCAAGCTTCAAGGTGTGGTACCGGCAAAGATTTTGGATGATTTTGGTCTATTTTGGTTGATGGCTATTGGATGTTATTGGAGGGTTCTACTATGTTGAAGTTCTACCACTCGGTTTCATGGCCAGGATCAGAATCCATGAGAGCCGTCAGCAGACACACTCAACCTCCGTGTTGGCCGCTTGATTTTGAGGTGAATGCCAGCTGCGAAAGGAGTTCTGTTGTGGCATCTCTGGTTGCAGGGGATTGGCCAATCAGGTGGCAGATGAGCCAAGACTTTTTGCGCCCAGGAATGTAGAAGCCTGGACTCCCTCCTCCAAGCGCACAGCTTCGATGAGGTGAGGCATGTTTTGGTTGCTGCACCTCTGATTTGGGCAAGTTTCAATGCCTTGCCTCCAACCCTGTCACCTTGACTTCGCAATTCTGCATTGAAGGTAGACATCTTGCGCTTGAGCGTTCTGGGTCGAGAGTATGATGCTTTGCGCTCTGCTGAGCGATTTCTTGCAGCTGGTAAGGTGACTTCGAAAGCATGGGCCGGAGGGAATATCGAAAAGACATTTGAGTACATATATAAAATGCTTGAACATGTTCAGAACAGGAAATAAATGGCAAAAGTTCATGACTTTCTCCGTATCCGTGACCTAAATTGTTCCAAGGAAACCACTTTTTCATTGAAGTTGAAGTTCAGTGCATTTTGAGGTCCCTTCCGAGACACAAACTTGCAGTTTGCCATGTATATTTATTTATTTACAGTATATATATATATATCACACACACACATATATATATATACACACACATAGTTTGCTCGTGCATTCGTGGTTCACTGAAGGTTTCCACCACTTTCTTCCCTCAGAGAAACTCCGAAAAGTCAAAAAAGTCATAGTCATCCCCATTAAACCATTGATAGTCATCCCCATGGCCCCATGGCATCTTTTTGCAGGTGAAAGTGGTGGCAGCTTCAGTTCTCCGAGACAACTACGCTCCAGCGGACATGGCCAGGATGTTGCTGCGTCACTATGGCGAGTTGAAGCTGGTTCTCGTTGGAAGGGTTGAAGAACTCACTGGTTTCATGATTTTCATGGGAATTACATGGGAATCATGTGGGAATGAAAAATATGAAAAATATGGGCAATATATACTGTGTATATATATATAATATACATACATGTATTAATTACATATGTATGTATATATATAATTGTATATATATATGTATATATACATCTTATATGTATATATATATATATAATACATATGGGAAGTACATGGAAATTATGGAGAAATCCACGAACTGGGAATCTCTCAACCACGAACGCAGATGACTGCGACCGAGCTGGTGAGGTTATGGGTACACTTTGACTTTCGATGCTTCCGTGGATGAGGAGGTCCTGCAGATCCTATCAGATCGCGAGTTGATTCCAGAAGGTCGGGGACGTCGGGGATAGGTGAAGAATGGTGAAGACACATTTGACGAATTCCAGGACTTGTCTGAAAATCAGCTAATTTTGACGAATTCGATATTTCCCCAAATGGCAATTTTTACACAAAACCTGTAGAAGGTGGATGTCAGGGACACCCGACGCACTGCTGAGACCAGTTTGTAAAGCCACAATATTCCTGGTGGATTTCGTGCGGGGCAACCGGGCAACCGGGCAACCCCTACAAAATGATTAATTTGTATATTAGAATTGGGTTGCCGGTTGCCCCCGAAATTTTCTCAACAACCCAGGGTTTCTGAATCCATGGTTGAGATTCTACATTCATGTTTAAACTTTAAACTGTAGCCATTGGATGCCATTGGTGCGTGTATTGAGCTTCGCAAAACCCCGGTCTTGTTGGTGAAATCCACATTTCCATCATTTTCCATCTATTCTTAACATTGAAGTTGAAATCATGGCTTTCAGGCACACTGACGTTGGTCGCCCGAAGAGCGAATAGCTGAGCTGTGGCGGGCGAAGGGTGAAGAAAAAGAAGACACCGGTCACCGGGTGGGCTGATGTGGATCCTGTGAAACCCACACATATCCACACAAGCTATTTAATGTGAGAACCAGGGTACCAGGGTGTTGATGCCTAAAACCTTTGGGTCACAGATTCTCGAATTTGGAATTTAGATGCCCTCTTTGAAGACCATCGGACCATCACCTTCATGAAAGCAGTCTTGGTGAACATTTCTACAGCATTTTGGATGTTGCGGGGCATCCACCATGTCCTTTCACAACGATGTGGGCTCTGGTTCACGTTTTGTGGCACAGTTCCTGACGTTCACAATGTCATCGGGTCGATGCTATTGTGATGGGTCACCATTTTTCAAGGGGCTTTTCACTCCGCTAGAAAAAAACCCAGGAAAAGCGGCGCAGCCAACTCCAGTTGTGGGCCGGTTTTTGGTTCAGGGCTGGTGACTGCTGTTGGAACTTGACAATTCGGCTCTTGGCTAAAGCCACAGCACCCCGTCTTCCACTGCCCGTCGCGGAGTTGTGCATCTTGTTTGAAGCTCGCCAGATCTTGGGAATCCCATGGAATCCCGCTGTTCTAATATTAAACACCCCCAAGAAACCATGGTGGATTTAGGGGATTTGCACTCTGCACATGGAACCATTTCGAATCAAGGGGGTGTTTAATGTTAGGGGGATGGGATCATTTTTTTTGGGGGACTGGCTGCTTGAGCCGCTGTGGGTCACGGGCACTGCAGGTTTCAATGTCAATCCCAGAATAATGAGTTGTTTTTTTAAAGTTCGCCTGATCAATTTGCGGGGGTCCCCCCAAAGTGATGTTTCGCAACTAAACAGGACCCAGCCATATTTTCAACCAACCAGAGCTTTATCTGGTGCTTTATCCAGGGTTCTCACTTTTTACCAACTTTATACCCTTTCGCAACAAGTCCAGGAAGTATCGCCATGGGAATATCGCGAGATCATCGTCGCGATCGAAGGGACACCAGGGAGGTCTCCGGTGTTGCCTTGGATGTTGTGGCTGGAACTTGGGCAGATCCTACAGGATCATACTATGAGGCTGCAATGGTCCAATGCTGGGCATCAATGGATTGGTTTATGGGAAAATCTACAAAAAAAATATGGATCCTACCATGAAAATTAGAAGTTTTCTGTAGATGTTCCCTTGATTCAGGTATGGGACTGTACCTATTCCTGGTGAATTCAACGATCCCACAACCTGTTTGAGTTTCCTCAGAGGATCCACCCTGCAGGTGACTTGTGACACTGGCTTTGATGGAGAACTTGCATACAGCTGCAGTGTTCGAATACAGCGTCCGAACGGCGATGTTTTCGACAGACCATCTGTGATAAAGCAATTTGGAGATTGGACCATTGTTTGGGGCTCCTTGCCTTAGAGTGATGTCTTCGACTCATTGATGGTCGACTGGGCCCATGGTAAAATTGTGAATCAAGCTGCTCAGATCATTTCAGAACCTTCAACGTACAATTAAGATCAGTTAAGAATAGTTAAGACATGTAAACACACATATACAAATCATATACAATCATATACAATGATGGCACTAGCCAGCTATTTTGAATCGTGCATCAATATTTACATCTAGGATCATCTAGGTATTTGTTCTGTTAGCGCCGGAATGCGGTGCTGGAAGTGTGATGAGGGAATCATGGCTGGGTTGCCAGGGTGAGTGCAGGAGAGGTCTCAGGTTTGTGGTTGGTTGACTAGCTGTGGCTGAGAAGTTGTTTGCTGAGGTCAAAAATATGTTCTGGACGAAGCAATTTCAAACGGGCACAAGTTGCAGTGGCTGCCACGCTGCAATAGAGACGAGGGAATGGGTCCTGAGTCAAGAGAGGATGTCGATTGGTGGGTCATGAAGGGAATTCTACATGAAAAACTTGCAATTCAACACTTGCTTCTAACAGGTGGGCCGCGGGCTCCCATTTTTTGCAGGTGAATTTCAGATCTTCCACAGGCCTGCAGAACCTGAAATGAAAGAGGGATCGGCTTCGGCCCCCAGTCTTCCAACAATTGTAACGCTTGCACTTCATGCTCGTATCAAGCTCATCCTTTTCTTTGTGTTGAACCATTTTTGTGTTTTCAGAATCTTTCCAGCTCAATTCGGTACCGCTTTGAATTTTTCAACGCATCAGATATGGCTTTTCCCAAAGAGAGAACATGATGATCATCCACTAGTTGTTCTGACAATGCTTGAAAGTGTAGTCGCATGTCTTTTCTGAGATTCTCAACATCAAAGGTCAAACCGCATTTGTAATAGTTGTCATTCAAGATAGTCCTGCTTAAGTTGAAGAAGTGCTCAAAAATCCTCAGCAAATGCCTTAATCATAAAAGGATCGAGATGCTTGTTATACACGATGGAAATAGGGGCAATAATTCCAAGAATTGTTTATTCCGGGTTTGTGAATCATCACAATCCAGCCTCATATAATCTCATATACATTTGTGTGTATATATATATAATAATGGCACGAACGAACCAACGATATATCTAAGAATCTCTCTCTCTCTATATATATAGATACACATACATGTACACCGTATATAGGTATTATAGCCATGTATCCCTATATTTGACGCTTCATGTAACGTCCCCATTTTTGTTTGTGCTTCGTGATTTATACAGGTATTCACCCAGATTTGTGGCTTGCACATTCGACTCGGATCAGGAACAATCTGCGCGGGGGCTCTGGATTCGTCTGGCAGCGCGTCAAACCAGAATACTCCAGATACAGGGGCTATAGCTCTGCTCCGAAAGGCCTCGAAAGTCCAGGAATGTGGGAGATGATTTTTTTATCAAAGAGTTTCTCCTTGAGAGCGAAAACACACAAGGATTGTCGGTATCAAACTTGGACACACCAAGATGTGGACTGTCAGGACTTTGAAGTTTGAAACATCAAGGTACAAAGCTGCACAGACCTTAAAGGGAATTCAGCTGTGTTCTGCATCCTAAGAACTAGCTCAAAAGGAAAAAGGAAACGAACAAGTCCAGGCTTTGGTTCATCACTAAGTACCATCTGTATTTTTTATGAGTGCATATGGGGCCCCTGAGAGGCTCCACTGTCCGGACTGCACCAAGAGCTACTGGAAAGGTGGGGGGCTTTCCTGCAACATTTCTCAAACAAACTTCAGGATTCAAACTTGGTTTGTGATATCTTCTGCAATTGGGGAGCTGATTTCTGATTTCTGTCATCGCAGGCAGAATATGATTCAAAAACCTGGAACAGCTGGTTTGGCTGGCATAAGAAAGATCGCGATGGCTGGGAAAAATGGGACAAGACTGGCAGTGAGCATGTCGATGAGGAGGATGAGGCCTGAGTTGTTTGTATTCGCCAGAGATGAGGGATCGATTTGAGGATTTTTGTGGTGAAAAACAACACTGAAGTTTCACTCTGGCCGCAAATCCCATGGTTTTTTCGTTTTTTTTTAGAGACAACTTTTTGTTTGAGTTAGAACATTTAGAGGCTTCGGGTTTTACCTCAATGATTTGGATGGAACAAGCACGGTTTCAATGAGTTTCGCGTTGTTGCAACCGCAAAAAAAAGACACCTATCTAATCGTAGTTAATTTGTTTTAGAATTGGATTTCACTTTTCTATCCAAGCCAAGCTTGATCGAATGACATTTCCAAAATGGATTGCTAAGTACTGTACCATTTTAATTCCCAACAATAGAAATCTGTTGGGTTTCAATCTCTAGAATCTAGAAGCAGGGGGGTGATATCACCATTTTTCCCTCCATCTGCATGTATGCGCAGGGTTCCGGAAACCTTGTCTCCCACTGTATGTCTCCCACTTGTCTCCCAGCTTGTCTCCCACTGTGTCTACTTTGTTTCCCACTGTGTCTTCGACCTTGCCTCCCACTTTGTCTTCCAACTTGTCTCCCACTATGCTTCCCACTGTCTCCCACTTTGTTTCCTGCTCTGTCTCCCTTGTCACCCACCGTGTCTCCCACTTGTCTCACTTTGTCCTTCACCTTGTCTCCCGCCGAGTCTCACACTGTCTCCACTGTGTCTCGCACTTTGTCATCCGCTTTGTCTCCCACCGTGTCTCTCACTGTCTTCCACTTGTCTCCCAGATGTCCAGATGTGGTCTCTCCACCTGTTTCCCTGCCTCCCAGATGTGGTCTTCCAATTGTCTCTCAATTGTGTCTCTTAGCCTTGAATTTGAAACCGCATTTGCTATTGGGTTGCAAAGCTGGGTTAAGCTTCAACTATTTCTATCTTTAATTTAGAATTCAACTAGTTTAATCTTTCGGAGGTTACAACTTGACATTACCAATGCATTGATTCCCTCGTCCGCGCACTCCGTGCGCGTAGGCCGAGGCCATGCACGAGACCCAAGCCACCACTGCCTCCGATGATGCCGTTGATTCGGCCACGGAAACAGCGGAGCCTTGGGATTCCAATGACCAGGGAACCATGGGGCCATGGAGATCAACCAAAAGCACCAGGATTTTTTCTACGTTTTGGCTGGGATGCTTTGGGATATGTTTAGATTTTGGTTTTGGATACCAGGGTCCGTGTAGGTGGGTCCATGCCTCCGATTTTCCAAAGTCAAAAGATGTCAAAAGTATATCTCAAAATAGCATGAATTGCAGCACCTTCCCAAAGAATTTCTTGGTTTTGGGGTTGCTCATTTTGAGACGGCCATGCCAAGGTTATACTTGTCTGTTGTGACAAGTTCGCACTTTTTTTTTGTGTCTGCTATTGGATCCCTCAAACCTTCAAGATCATTGAATCGAAAGTTTCCAAAGACGTTTTGTGGGTTGAGCTCTAGCTTCCTTTCTTCAGAGTCTGGAATAAATCACATCTTTTTTTCAGTGGTCTGGTGCGGCTGCATCGGCGTGATTGGAAGAAGCTCGACCCAACAGACTTAGTTAGAAACAAACACTTGCAGGAGACCCCGACAGCATATTCCCAACAGCAATGCTGGTTGGGTTTCAATCTCTGGGTCTGGGACTGGTGCATCTGCAAGGCACTCAAAACCAAGAACGCTTGCTGGTTTGCAGAGCTGGATTCATTTCCAGCAAAACCAGTGGCTTTTCTTTTGAATAGAAAAAGCAAGCCATCAACAGTGACCAGGGTCGGTTAGATAGTTCACAGTTTATATTATATATAGATTCTAACACATATCCTCATGGTTGTTGACATCCTATAGATCCAACAAAAATTATCATGGATATTTTATAGTATATAATATACAGTATATAATATACAGTATATAATATACAGTATATAATATACAGTATATATCTAATAAATGTCCCCTTTTATTGTTGAAATTCTCGTGGGTTTTCCCAGTGAAATCCCCGCGCTCTCGAGCCAAGGCCATTTTCGGTTCCGCCAGCGAGGCCGATGCAGATGGCGAGAAACGCGATTTGTAGCTTGGCCGTTTCGAGGAGACCACGCCTATCTCAATGGAGATTTCCAGGAGATTTGATTTGAACTTCTATAACTATATATAATGAATAATATATAACTATAGTTATTGGGTAAACGGATGTAAATGGTAGATCTATCTACAGTATTGTTGAGCTTCATGACTAGAAGTCTGTAGATAATGATCCCCAATTGGAGGTTTATGGCATTGGGTAAGCCAACAATTGGGATTGTATATGCCCATGTTTGATGGTTTGATACCTTGGCAGAACAACATACCAGCAATCAACCATCAACCAACCACTATTTGTCACCATAATATCCTCATTACTGAAGTGGCTAAAACCCCTATATATATTTTGGGATACAGCAACACAAAAAAATCTTGAAAAGTGGTAAATCCAATCTTAGAAGGAGTGCAAACAGAACCTTTTCTGCGTCGTTTTTGGTGGCTTATTCTATTTGATTCATATCCAGCCACTACAATATTTATCAATAAGGAGATCCCCATATTTCGTAGTGGTTCATGCCCATATATTTTTACATATGGGGATGGGTCAAAACACTGTGCCTGAGCCTTCTTTTCACATCAAAATAGCTGGGGTTTATTGATGTTCATCCCAAAATAATGATATTTCAGCCTTAATCAATGTAAATCATGTATGTCTCTCATTATGTTAAAAAAAATGAGGATGATGATGATGATGATGAAGAAGATGATGATGATGATGATGATGATGATGCTGATGCTGATGCTGATATGAAGAAGAAGATGATGATGATGATGAGGATGATGACGAATATACACAAGTTTGTTGTTTTCCGCTACTTTTTCAGACATACCCGAATATGTGATGTGTGCTCCCCAGTGATGTTTGTTTGCCTAGTTTCACCGCAAATCATAGAAATCACCTAGTTATGAACCAACTTAGCGAAGTATGAACCCAACTTAGTATGCGGTTTGGAAGTGGAAAGGGAATTGGTTTATAAACTCCAAATTTAGCACAACATATATTTAAATTCACAATTATGGCACCCATTTTGGCACAAACCATCCCTCATTCTACCAGTTGGTTCGTTTATAAACTTCAATAAGGGGGGGTTCTCATTTGGTTTAGCACATTTCGCCAGCATCCGAGCTGGAAGGCCAAATCACCCAACCTTTTTTGTTACAAAATGGTTGCCCTTGAAATCTGGTTTTGCTACGCTTCAGCAAGACCCGGGACCCGTTACTTACCGAGGCCAGACCAAGCAGTTATTGAAACCAGATGGAGGCCATGGCAAATCACCAGAAATCAGCAGAGTGTACTTTCCAGAGCGGAGAATCAGTGGCAGATGTGGCAGGCCGAAGTTGCATCCACCTCCACCTCCGCCCCGACAGATCCATAGGGCCAACTTGGGCGGCCTGGCGGGCTTTTGGTACATGAAACTTGAGGGATTGATCCGCAGTTGCCATCTGTACAGGGACAGTGGTGACGAACCAATGGATTTAAGGGTACTCAGTTTTGAGACATCTGTGGTTGTTTCGCAAATTTCGACGCGACGACGGAGAACACCAGGAAAAAATTGTTGTGGTTGTTTAGATGACACCAGGAAGAAACCCTTTCGTTCGACTGATTGAGGCTACTGGAACAATGAAGCCGCCCGGGGCTTGGCTTGGGAAGTAGTTTCTCTGGTAAACTAACATAACTATGGAAAATCACAATTTTTAATGGGTAAATCCACTATAAATGGCCATTTGAAATAGTTTTTTGTCTTCTGAGATAAGCGCGTCACCGCCTGTAGGTTGCTTCTCGCATCTCGTTGGATATACCACATCATCGACCAAAGACACTTGGTTGATGATATGACATTCCTGGACATTCCTGTTTAAATGTGTTTAAACAAAGCTGGTTAGGCAAATCCCTCAACATCTGGTTGGATTTCGTTTTGCTTTAGATGTTGATCGCCCAGGAGAGAATCCTGTCGACCTGGACAACATATCAATGGTTGTGTGCAGCCTGGCAATTTGATGGAAAATATGGAAACGGAGGGCCCAGACATAGTGAACCATGAGAAATCCCTATGAAAAATGGTGATGACTGGTGATTTTCTAGTTTGCAAACGCTTGAGTTATCGGAAGGTAAGATGATTTTTCAGAGAACTCAGATCAGACATGATCAGACTTCACTTGGGCTTGGCACCTGAAAATTTAGGGGAAACACCCAATGCCACTGGTTTATCATCATTTTCCTACTAAAATCTCAATTTGGGAGATTGATATACACACCATTTTCAGACACCAGTTTTGTTCACTTGATCTTATTTGTTTTTGATCCTCATATCTCAGTTTTTACCTGGGACTCTCCTTGAGTTTTCATGATCTTTTCTGTCAGCTTTTGCATCTGCAGGTCATATGCCACTGCGGGTGATTTGAAAGACGTACCCATCTACGATGGCACCCTCGAACGGTTTGACAAGGACAAGAATTCAGGTGTCTTGAGCGCTGCTGTGTATGGTATTTCATGGGTGAGAGTCCATGGAGAGGCTCAGGCGACATCTTTTCAGTGGTAGAACTCTGCTACCCCCGACTGAAAAACTAAAGTTGCTTCATGAATTCAACAGGGTATGGAGCAGTCTTTTGGGGCCTACCACTGTCGAAAAGTTGGAATGACGGCCTGGGCCTAAAAGATTTGCCAATTTGCATAGACTTTGATACCGTCGATGGGCAAAATCCTGCACCAGAATCCTGCAGCAGTTGGTCACTATTGGTATGAAACACTGTAAATAATAGTATCATAATGGGATAACCGGATAAACAAACCATCTACCAACTGAAAGATGTCTGCTTTCAGAGGGTTTTCTCAAGTTCCCACTTGCCTTGTGCGCAGGTACGATTTCTTCACGAGGCCCGGACAAATTCGACCAAAATTGGATGTTGAAATCTGAGTCACAATTTCAGACCCCCAGAGTTACTGTACAGAGTTTGATTACTTTGTAGTCTTCAAACAATATTTTTGTTGGGGATGTACAACATCGTTTCTTGGTGACCCTGGTTCCAGGTGCTTTGGCAGATTTCAAGCAGAATGTCTATGTGCATGGAACCGTTCTGCACAGCAGCAAGGTTTGTTTAAAGGACCGGTTGTGCTTCAGAGTACACATGCCACTTGGCAGATATTTGACGGGGCCATTTTTTGTGTTCTGGGTTGTTTCTTGACATCATGGATGCGAAGATTTAAACAGGTGGTATATCCAATGCCCATCAAGCCTAGTTTTTCTGGGGATGCTTTATATAGAATAAGACCCTCCAAACGACACAGCTTTCTCCAGCGGCTTTGCGCTATGAGATCAGGCAAGAGCTTCCGTGCATGATACACCGTTGATATTTACATGGCCAGATTGTGAATTATGAACATATATATATAATGATAATAATACTAATAATAGTAGTAGTAATAATAATAATGATAATAGTAATACTACTAATAATAATCACAATCATTACAATAATATTATCATACATGAATCTATGATCATTTATGACATCATAGTTTTCATTGTACACATATGTATATATATATGTACATGTATATACATATATATATGTATATATATATATGTATATATGTATACATATATATGTATATATGTATACATATATATATATATACACACATATATATATATACATATACATATATATATGTATATATATATATATATGTATATGTATATATATATACACTATATACACAAACGTGTATGTAGGTGTACCCCATGACATGAAGCCATCCTACCCCTTTGCTGCGTTGCGGCCCAGGAACGCCCATGGGAAGCCGCAAGCTTCACGGCCATTGCTCCGCCTGCGGGCGCTTCTGGCTTTCTTTGCAGCGGCTTTTGATGGTTAGTTTTTGTTGAGGGAAAACGATGATCAGCCAGTGGATTTTCTATGGATTTTCTACTATGGCTTCCAATTTAGATTCATTGAACATGTCTCTATTGAACAACATAGAGACACGTTTTGACTGCTATGATCCTTACGGAAGGATAGAGAAGGGATTCTGAGCCAAGCAAGACCGACAAAACATTTGTTGCTGAGTGCTGGGTCGTTTCAATATGTTTTCAATACCCTTTGGTAAATTGACATAGCAATAATATGGGAAATCACTGTTTCAATAGGTATATAGATTATCTATCAACTATCAATGGTTCATTTTCCATAGCAACGTGCTTAATTACTGTACGGTATGTTCTGCATTTCCAATTTCCGGGAAGATCATACCAAACAGTCCATTGGTTGACAGCAGAATGAACAGATCTGCTACAAACACTGGGGTTTTCTGGGGGATTGCTCCCAATGGGAGGAAGCAGTGGCTCAACCAGCCTCTTTGTGGAAAATGCCAGGCCAATGAAGGCTATGCTTTGTCAGGCTGGACACATCCATTGATCGGGATTCATCGGCCACTCATTCTGTTTGGATTCCCATGGGATGGACCATACTGACCATACTCCATGAATTTTCCATGAATTTTATGTAACTTGACCATGGCAGATCTGATCCATTTTCTGGTGATTTGCCATTGCCATGTTCCAGAGATCAGCTGGGCTTGAACTGCCGACGTCAGGCACATTTACTGTAGCTGCAGCTCACAGTGGAATTGCTGGGACCATCCACTGTACACCTGCAGTGGAATTAGCTGGGAACGTTGACCCTGGTCTTACTGGTGCTTAGAAGGGAATGAAGGAATGATCCATAATCACTAGTAATAATCATCCCATTCCCCCATTCCCATCCATTCCCTACTAAGCACCAGTAAATTGATGAATCACTTCCCCCGTGCTTCAGAGACAAACCCCCACCAGGCTAAAAAGTAGGGGATGATTTCATCACATTGGCTTTGGGACCATCGGAAACCATGGGCGCGTGTTTTTCATGTGAACGGAGGGGGATTGGATTCGAATCTGGGGCGTCATCCCCAATGGCTCTAGGATTGTGGCTGAGTAAGAGTGACAAATGGGCTTGGTATGTATAACAATATATATATATACATATATATATATACAGATATTGTGATATTGTTGTACGATCTTATGTCTATAAAACTGGTTGTAGCTCAAAATCCACAACCGCACCACTAATGGCAAGCGGCTGGCCCTCTTGCAGGCCCAGATTTGGGCGTAGATCTTGGGGGGCTTCGGGCTTCTATTTTTGTTAGCGGTTTCTACCATCTCTTCTTCCTAAACTATGGGATTTTGGATCCTCCAAGTGAAGATTCTAAGATGCGCATGGAAAGTCACGCAAAGTCCCAAAAATCCATTCATGTCATGTTTTTGAACCAGTTTCCGGGTTTCGGACCTGGGGGCTGGGGCAGCTGGCTCCCAGGTCAAAGCGTTTCGCTTCTCGGCACGGTGGATCAGAGCAGGATGAGTTTGATATTCCCAGAGATTCATAGCGTTGAGTTTGATGAATATCCCAAAGGCTTTGATTTTGATGACTTTGATGATTTTGTTTTGATTAATGTCCGTAAGTTGGAATTTTTGTTTAATTGTTTAAATCTTTTACTCGAATCTTAAGAACAAAGATGTGGATATAACCAGATGACAACCGATCAATAGCTGAGATCAAATGTGCCATTCAGTCTTGTGAACGCAATGAGGAAACATCGTCAGCTATGTTCAATCCTTGAGATGGTTGACGGGGAATTCCATTGCAGAGATCGTTGATAGACTTGTGTGTATGTGGTGGTTTCATTCTCCGTAATCAATCCTTAGATATGAGATACCCTGCCGAACAACAGCAAGACTCCTACCAATTGAACTTTGAGTGTGTGGCCTGCTACTGAGCAAACGTCCAGTCTTTTTGAAAGGCAAATCCCAGGGCAAGGCTTTGCAGATTCGCAGTGTTGTTTTTGATATCTTCCTTCGGTGGAATGTCCGGAAGAGTTTGGACAATGGTTGCCATATATATATACATACACGTATGTATGTATTATGTATATATATATATACATGTACGTATATACATACGGGGAGGGGTCAAGACCTATACCATATTTCTGGGGGATGAACCTCCAGACCCATGCCTTGGGAAAAACACCAAGAGCGCCACGCTGTCGACGTTGCGTTGAGGCAGCTCTTTGATGAAGATGTTCAGGCCGTGGTTGATGGAAATTAGCTGGAAGTCTGTCTGCCGGTAGACCGGTATGGGATGGTTTTGGGGTAGGGGTAATCGCTGCAGATGAATCCATGTGAAATTGGCATATCACCAGAAAGATATGCTGGTGCCGGCACCGCAAGCGGCAGGTCAGTCACGAGGTTGGGCGACAACTTCAAACTGGCGACAGAGTCAATTTCAATGCCAGGTGGATCTATGAGGACAATGACGGGAAATTGGAGGCGCGAGGGAAATGTTCCCGGAGCCCCGTCAATTTTCGGGCTTAAAACAAGGGCTTATTCACAGCAAGAACAGAGCACGTTTATAAGGGCTTATCAACATTTATCAACCATCTGTGATTGGGAGCTGCACCTTTGAGGTGGCAGTAGAATCCCAAATGCCCAGTTTCAATTCTTGCAGAGAGCATGGCTTGTGAAGAAAAACCCGCGCTGCATAGTGTCACTTTGATAATCACTGGCTTTGTCAAGATCCAAAACATCAGGGAGAAAAAACATGTAGTCTACTTTATGACTGTGAAAGTGAAGCAAAAGACTGTTGCTGGAGGTTTGGATTTTGTTTTTTCCATCCTTTCCCTCCACTTACTCAGAGTTGACTTTGGAGTTTGGTCCACGGTTGCTCTGAGAGTAGTGGTCAAACTGGAATGATATCAAGGAACAATCTTTTGTGAACTCGGTTTCAGAAGTCCGGGCTCTCTTGAAGATAAAGGGACAAATAATTTGAAGAAGTGGAACACTCAAGATGACCACTTTGTCATTGGATTGGTTTAAGGGAAAATTTACAGGACACCCCATATTTGCGGTTGTCTAGCATTGGTCCAGGGTGGATAGTTTCCAGCTTATTGTATGTGTTACATGACTTCCTTGTAGTATGGTATTGTAATGCATTCTGTTGCTAAGTACTTGTAAGAATTTAAAAATGACACCCTAGTGTCTCAAATAATCAATGGCACCACTACTTATATCATATCAAAAGAACACATTACATTTAAAAGAACACCAACAAGCAGATGAACAAGGACCAAAAACAGTGAAAAACATGGGCCCAGATAGCATCATGCACTCCATATTTATATAATGGTAAAATCCAATGAGTTCGCCATGTCTTGCCTCACTTTTGCTGCATTTTGCGAAGATCCAAGGCTTCTGAAGTCCAGTGCGAAGATCAAGAGAGACCTGGGCCACCCCCGGGACTTCCTGGTGCTCCAGAGACGACGGAGCCGGAGGTCTCCCGACCGGACTTGTTCCTACGAAGTCCTAGAATATCTGAAATGGTAAATTTTGAATTTTGGGGAAACCAAGGACTGCCATATGGATCTATATACACATACATACATACATACATACATACATACATACATACATACATACATACATACATACATACATACATACATACATACATACATACATATTTTTATACATACATACATACATATTTTTATACATACATACATACACATACATATACATACATATACATACATATACATACATATACATACATATACATACATATACATACATATACATACATATACATACATATACATACATATACATACATATACATACATATACATACATATACATACATATACATACATATACATACATATACATACATATACATACATATACATACATATACATACATATACATCCCGGCGGAAGGGAAACCGCGCGAGCGTTTTGATTGGTTGCTTCCAGGAGAGTCACAATCACCTGTAATTTACAATATAAAATGCTCTTCCGATCAGTTTGGATAACTGAATTTGGGTTAAAAAAAGTGGGTGCAAAATCTATTGATTTTTAACAAATCCAGGTAAACATCATGTGCATCAGACGTGGATGCGCAGATTTTTTTCACACTCTTCTGTAGCAACATGTCACGTAGTAAACGATCCCAAGGATCTCAGCGTAGCAACATGTCACGTAGTAAACGATCCCAGAGATCTCAGCAGCGTAGCAACCTGTAACGTAGTAAGAAAGTCCCAAGGATCTCAACAGCGTAGCAACATGTAACGTAGTAAACGATCCCAGAGATCTTAGCAGCGTAGCAACATGTCACGTAGTAAACGATCCCAGAGATCTCAGCAGCGTAGCAACATGTCACGTAGTAAACGATCCCAAGGATCTCAGCGTAGCAACATGTCACGTAGTAAACGATCCCAGAGATCTCAGCAGCGTAGCAACCTGTAACGTAGTAAGAAAGTCCCAAGGATCTCAGCAGCGTAGCAACATGTAACCTAGTAAACGATCCCAGAGATCTTAGCAGCGTAGCAACATGTCACGTAGTAAACGATCCCAGAGATCTTAGCAACATCGCAATATATCCTGTACAAAATTTGAGGAACGTTAACATGCCCCCCCACCTCACCCCACCCCAACCCCAACCCACACTAACATGGCAATATATCCTGTACGAAGTACGAGGAACGTTAACATGCCCCCCTACCCCACCCCACCCCGACCCCAACCCACACTAGAGATCTCAGCAGCGTAGCAACACGTAACGTAGTAAAAGATCCCAGAGATCTTAGCAACATGGCAATATATCATGTACGAAGTACAAGGAACGTTAACATGCCCCCCCACCCCACCCCACCCCAACCCCAAGACAAAGAGCAGTACTCAAAAAAGAAGCAAAACGCACGTACGGTTTTCCTGCCGTAGGCATATACATACATATACATACATATACATACATATACATACATATACATACATATACATACATATACATACATATACATACATATACATACATATAAATACATATACATACATATACATACATATACATACATATACATACATATACATACACATACATACATATACATACATATACATACATATACATACATATACATACATATACATACATATACATACATATACATACATATACATACACATACATACATACATACATACATACATACATACATACACACATACATACATACATACATACATACACACACATTCATGCATACATACATACATACATACATACATTTAATACATATATATATATTTAATATTAATATATATATATAAGTATAAATCATATAATACATATATATATATATACAATATCACACACACATATATATATATATAATATAATATAATATAATATAACATAATATAATATAATATAATATAATATAATACATATATATATATAAATAATACATATGTACACACATCATATAATACAGATATATATAATACATATATATATATATATATCCAGATATCCATGAACACCAACTATTCGAGGACGGGCCTTTCGAGGACGTTCAGGCACCTCCTGGGCTTGGTGTCACTGAGCCAACGGCCAAGCCAAAAGAGGCCCTTTGGAGGCAAGAAAATGATGGAAAATCATGGAAAATCATGGAAAATCATGGTATAAATGGAGGTTTTAATGGGCAAATCCATGGAAAATCATCTATAAATGGTGGTTTTAATAGGAAAATCATGGCTTTACCAACAAGTACTGGTTCAGTTGAGTTTTGAATGCTGTTCACACCCTTCATAATGTCAAGGCAATTCCCAGGCATGTGTCAAAACCTGGGGGCCAGGGAACGACTTTGATGAATTTTTCGGATCGTAAACCAACCCATTTTGGGCCAAGTGGACGACCCTCCAAACCCATCAAGATCGGGGTATGGGCGCCCAATTGTCGCAATTGGACGCCCAGCTCAGTCTTTTGCGACCTTGACAGGTGACCAGGAAAATGATAGCCATGTCACCCACCAAGCAGGATAACTCACTGACAATCTGTTTGAAACCCAGGAGAGTTTCGACAGATCGCCTCCGAATAAAGAAGCTCCACAGCAAGGGTATCTTGACCCGGGGAAGGTGGATGCATTACGGATGAATCTCCCTGCTGTGGTCCATGATTGTTGTTGTACCCCAAAATCTTGTGCTTTCTGATTGATGATCCCCTTAAATTGCCATTTTGGAGTATCCCCCTTTTTTTGGACAAACCGCAGTGGGTTAATTGTATAATAATCCTAAGTGGTAACTCGCAGACTCCAGGGGTTCTGCCAGCACAAACCTTAGTTAAAGCACTGTTATCAATATCAACCAATGAGTCCTAAGAAATTACATGGTTATCTAATCTATGACAAAGTGGCAGATCCAAGTGTTGGTGATAGAGATCTTATTGTCTCCTCAAAAAGCTGTGATTGTTTTGCACTGGGGCTACCCGGCTACCCATAGGATCCAAGCTTCAACTTGAACATAGACAGTGAAAGCTTGGGTTCTAAGAAACATGAGCATCAACAGAACATATGCACAGGGCCCACGATACATGTTATTCGATACTATGGCAACTATACTTATGATTCAGGCTCAAGAGATTCAGATTCGGCTGCCTGCTTTCAGGGTGTTTCATTTTATTGTTCCTGTTCTCACAAAACTTCAGATTGTGGCAAGGAGTTCTGTGTAGGATTTATGTGTTTCTACTGGGCATGGTGGGACGCTCTCTGGGGTTAATTGCTAGGGTCACTTGGATAATCTTGGACGTAAAAAGCCGTACCCTACCCATCAACACAACACAGCATGAAGATCTGTCCTAGCCATTGACAGTCACCCCAATCTTGAGCCCATTTCACCATCAGCCACAATCTTTCATATTTTTGATGGTCCAAAACCAGCATGAAAGAAAAGCTGGAGCTGAACAGCCGAGCTGCGGTTTTCACTCAGGTTGAGAGACAGTTTGGAGCTCATTGGAGCTGGTCTGGCACAGGATTTGGAGATAGAGCAGGTGATACATTTATAGATGCAGCCCGGCAGCATCTTCGCCATGGTCTTACGAAGATTCACTGATGCATATAAATTGTATCTACAGTATGACGTACACATATCCATACGTAGATGATGAATGCGCCTATACATACATGCATACACATCAATACGTGGATATTATCATGTATTATCTTTATTATATATGATAGAATACATTGTACATATAATTCTACATATAACATTAGATATAAGATTGCACATATATATATATATATCTGTATAATTGTATATATATATACATATTATACATAATATATATATATATATTAGACATATCATATATACACTTAGATGGATAATGATGATGTCAGGGTGATGTATATATATATTTATATACAGATACATTATATATATATACATTATATATATATTATACATTATATATATATTATACATTATATACATATACATTTTGTACATGATATATATATATTATACATGATATGTATACATTATATATATATACATACACATAGTTATAAGTATATATGTATTGTATATATATATATATATACACATATACATACACATAGTCACAACGACGGGTATTTATAGTTGATGCCACTTTCAGGCAATGCACATTTCATTACTCGCAGTGGATCAAATCGATGGAAATCTGCGTGTGCCTTCACCAAGGTGATTTTGAATACCCATCGCTGACCACAAAAAAGTGCAGAGATGGACTATCAGTTCCATATGCATGAGACTAATGATGACTAATGTTTGCGGGTGCCTCCAAAGCCTCCTGAAAAGGGGGGGGGCTCCAAGTGCACGAAATGAAACGAAAGAATTCTGAAGCTTTGAGAGGTCAGAGAAAATTTGAACATTCAAAATATGGACTTCCCGAAGCTCCCGGTACAGGGGAGCTCAACCCCCGGCCGCGACCGGGCTCCGTCTGAAACGGAGAAAAATCCATCTTTTTTGAGTCTCACGTTGAAAAGGCCGCTGATGCTCCCATGTATATGGTGATGAATCCAAAGTCAAGCCTGAGCAGCCTCAGTCATAGCGTTTGATCGTTGAGGGAGTGGCTTGGCCTGCGGTTCCGCCAACAGTTGAGCCTTTCTCTTTGAGATTGACCAATGGGCCTTAATGTCACTCTTGGCAACTTGGGGAATGCATCCAGCAGCGGTCAGCGCAGGTAGGAGCCTGCAAAACAAAGGTCGGGGTCGCAGGATTTGGTGGCTTTATTCGTGGAACCCAAAAAGAGGATTTACCCTCTGGTTATTTAACATAGCCATGGAAAATGGCACATTTATAGATGGTTTACCTATTAAAAATGGTGATTTTCCATGGCTATGTTAAAAAACCAGATGGTAACCAGCAGGACATGGAGATATATTTTATTCGTTTTTATTCGACCTATGGAAAACCGCTTGGCGGTTTCAAACACTTTGTCATTCTTCCATCCTATTTGGGCTGATGATTTCAATTGAGCAAGTTTTGTTAGTGGTTTTCGAACCACTTTTTGTGACAGAACAGTTTATCAGAATAGATTTAATCCTCGGTACATCAACAGTCTGCTCAAAATAATGATAAGTCGAGTTAAAGATGATTCCCTCCAAAATGGAATTATATCATTCAGAGTTTATGTGGGTGACCATGCAGCATGAGTTTCGCAAAAATGACTAACTTGGATGAGAATCTGGCTCCAAGTAATTTGGGTCACCTTGATATGGCCATCTGCAGGTTGAAGTTGATCCCGAGCCGTGTAGCTTTCAAGTTAGGAAAATCGGCGGACGAAAGTGCGCCATGTCGAAGATTTGAGGAGGTTGCTTGGGATGCAGAGTTTTCTTCTGGATTGCTAACTTACAGAATCAACGGAGTGGATGCAAGCTTTAAGATAGATGCATATGCAGTATATGAATTCAAAAGTCTATAGAGATTCGTATTTAATCTATACATTGAACGTTTTGACTCGCAATGTTTGAGTTGCAGCTAGCCACCCGTCTCTTGATCCACATCCAGCCAGCCCTGAGGTCTGATGGAAAAGTATTGGGCAACCCATCCAGATGAAGTTTTCAGTCCATGCACCAGCGAAGTAGATGGGGCGAGGGCACTCAGGGCACTCAGGGCACTGAAATCTTCGCAGGTTTTTTTGCCAACTGCGCGAGTTTTGAGAGGCGGAATGAATTCTGGAGTTGGAGAAGTGAAGTTCAAACTCCCGTTGCGAATGGATGATCTATTTTTAGCCATCAAAGGAATCCATGTGCTTCCTTGAATGTCTTGTTGACGGTGCGACATCCCATCCATGGTCTGTTCATGAAAACAGTGTCACCCTGGCTCTGAGGACAAAGTCTACTTCATTGACGAACATGGCATCTTGGCCTGAACATGGTCGGGATGCGGATGGATCAAATCCCATATATTACCTTCTGGTAATTCGTGCCAGTTTGCTGTGGAACATCACCATTTCAACTAAATGGGCAATTTTCCATAGCTATGTTAAATTACCGGAGGATGAATTGTAATTTTGGGGGATGCATTTACTAGCTATTTTGGTGTTCGCAGGGTACGAGGGCTTTGACCCATAGGAACATGCACAACTTCTGATATGCCAGGATGTCAAAGGTTTGCCCCAGTTTGCCGACAGGATGGATTGATATGTGGCATGGTCATCAATCACATACCCACTATGCTTGGATTCCCATGGCATGGAATGGACGACAAAAAAGAAAAACTTATGTAACTTGACCTTGGCATATATGGTTTGTCGCAAAGTTGCCAGGCAAACGTGTGACAGGCAAAGGTGGTTTGGTCACGCATCCAGCACCTTGGCGAAGCATAGCGAAGCGCGTTTCGCGCGTGGTGATTCGGAGGACCAAAATTTGGGGTAGTGGGGTAGCCCTTATCACCATTGGTTTCCCAAACATGACGAATCATTTAGATGCGAACCTGGGATCCCCCATGACTTGGGAAAGCCGCATGACTTGCCGCATGGACAGAGGTAGGGCTGGCAGCTTCCCAGAGTTTTCTGTAAATTGTGGGGAACGATGAAGCCTAGGAAGCCTAGGAGGCAAAGGATGACATGCGCATAGGTGCGTCTGTCAAAAGGCATGATGTCGGTAAGGGCCTCGCTTCGGAACGCGTCTTCAGGCATCGCTTCGGAACGCGCTCTCATGCATCGCTTTCGAACGCGCCCCCTCACCATCATCATCATCATCGTCGTCGTCGTCGTCGTCATCATCATCATCATCATCTTCATCTTCACCTTCATTCCTCACCATCATCATCAGCATTTGCATCATGCTTCTTCTTCCGTTTATTCCTCTTCTTCTTCTTCTTCTTTTTGGCCATCCTCTTCCTCATCAGCCTCATCCTCCTCATTATCCTCATCGTCAACAGCACGATCATCATCAGCAGCATCATCAAGTTTCTTCTATTTTTCTTCAGCATATTTATTCTTCTTCTTCGCCGCCAACACCATCATCATCATCGTCATCGTCATCATCATCATCATCATCATCACCATCGTCATCCTCCTCATCATCATCATCAGCAAGATATAAACCCTAAAGGTGTCGTGGCTCTTCTTACATCAAGTGCAACAAGATATAAACCCTAAAGGTGTCGTGGCTCTCCTTACATGAAGTGCAACAAGATATTAACCCTAAAGGTGTCGTGGCTCTTCTTACATCAAGTGCAACTAAATTTGTCTCTTCTTACATCAAGTGCAACAAGATATAAACCCTAAAGGTGTCGTGGCTCTTCTTACATCAAGTGCAGCAAGATATAAACCCTAAAGATGTCGTGGCTCTTCTTACATCAAGTGCAACAAGGTATAAACCCTAAAGGTGTCGTGGCTCTTCTTACATCAAGTGCAACAAGATACAGACCCTAAAGGTGTCATGTCTGTCCTTTCATTAAGTGCAACAAGATATAAACCCGAAAGGTGTCGTGGCTCTTCTTACATCAAGCTCAACAACAAATAAACCCTAAAGGTGTCGTGGCTCTTCTTACATCAAGTGCAACAAGGTATAAACCCTAAAGGTGTCGTGGCTCTCCTTACATTAAGTGCAACAACAAATAAACCCTAAAGGTGTCGTGGCAGTCCTTAGATCAAGTGCAACAACATACAAACCCTAAAGGTGTCGTGGCAGTCCTTACATCAAGTGAGACAAGATATAAACCCTAAAGGTGCCGTGCCGTGGCTCTTCTTACATCAAGGGCAACAAGATATAAATCCTAAAGGTGTCGTGGCACTCCTTACATCAAGTACAACGAGATATAAAGCCTAAAGGTGTCGTGGCTCTTCTTACATTAAGTGCAACAAGATTTAAACCCTAAAGGTGTCGTGGCACTCCTTACATCAAGTACAACAAGATATAAACCCTAAAGGTGTCGTGGCAGTCCATAGATCAAGTGCAACAACATAAAACCCTAAAGGTGTCGTGGCTCTTCTTACATCAAGTGCAACAAGATATAAGCCCTAAAGGTGCCGTGGCTCTTCTAACATCAAGTGCAACAAGATATAAACCCTAAAGGTGTCGTGGCACTCCTTACATCAAGTACAACAAGATATAAACCCTAAAGGTGTCGTGGCTCTCCTTACATCAAGTGCCATAACATGTAAACCCTAAAGGTGTCGTGGCTCTTCTTACATGAAGTGCAACAACATGTAAACCCTAAAGGTGTTGTGGCAGTCCTTACATCAAGTGCAACAACATATAAACCCTCAAGGTCTCGTGGCAGTCCTTACATCAAGTGCAACAAGATATAAGCCCTAAAGGTGCCGTTGCTCTTCTTACATCAAGTGCAACAAGATATACACCCTAAAGGTGTCGTGGCTCTTCTTACATCAAGTGCAACAAGATATAAACCCTAAAGGTGTCGTGGCTCTTCTTACATCAAGTGCAACAAGACATCAAGTGCAACAAGATAAGAACCTCAAAGGTGTCCTGGCTCTTGTTACATGAATTGCAACAACATGTAATTAAACCCTAAAGGTGTCGTGGCACTCCTTACATGAAGTGCAACAAGATGTAAACCCTAAAAGTGTCGTGGCTCTTCTTACATCCAGTGCAACAAGATATAAGCCCTAAAGGTGCCGTGGCTCTTCTTACATCAAGTGTAACAAGATATAAACCCTAAAGGTGTCGTGGCACTCCTTACATCAAGTACAACAAGATATAAACCCTAAAGGTGTCGTGGCTCTTCTGAGATTAAATGCAACCAGATATAAACCCTAAAGGTGTCGTGGCTCTTCTTACATGAGGTGCAACAACATGTAAACCCTCAACGACATGTAAACCCTAAAGGTGTCGTGGCTCTTATTACATGAAGTGCAACAACATGTAAACCCTAAAGGTGCTGTGGCTCTTCTTACATCAAGTGTCGTGGCTCTTATTACATGAAGTGCAACAACATGTAAACCCTAAAGGTGTCGTGGAAGTCCTTACATCAAGTGCAACAACATATAAACCCTAAAGGTGTCGTGGCAGTCCTTACATCAAGTGCAACAACATGTAAACCCTAAAGGTGTCGTTGCAGTCCTTACATCAAGTGCAACAACATATAAATCCTAAAGGTCTCGTTGCTCTTCTTACATCAAGTACAACAAGGCTTTTGTTTCATATATTCACCTTCATTTTCTGTGGCAGGCGTGGGACCTTTTGACATCGACCTTCATTTTGCGTGGCAGGTGTGGCACTTTTGTACATCGACTGTCCTTTTACGTGGCAGGCGTGGGTGGTTGAAACGAGTCAAATTCTCATACGAGGAGGTTTTTTGTGTTGGCCTCGCTTTGGAACGCGTTTTTCTTCCAAAGTCTCGCGCCTGTCAGTAAATCTGATGTGTGTGTCTATGGCGGGGTTTCCATGAGATGTTTTATTTTGTGTTCTAAAGTGATGCAAAATGGCTGTGTTCTAAAGTGATGCCTGAGAGTGTGTTCCAAAGTGATCCTTTTACCCATGAGGTCCCGTTGCAAATCGAACAATGCCAGGGGAAAAGACGTGTCACATCCCCATTTTTGGTAGGAAAATCAACCAGGTCAACATGCATCTGGGGTTGATATATCAGAGCACCCCCTAAAAAGAGGCAGAAAAGTAATTCATTCCACTAGACTGGTGATAAATTGAAGATATTTGCAGATTTTTTTTCTATCTTTTTGGTTTACTGTATCACTGGGATTTTCTAGAGTTCCGTGTTTTTTCCCAACAGCAAAAGTTTGCTATGGGGTCTTTAGCCCAGATTAGCTCTGGTGCGATCCGGCGTAGCTTCAACACCAGGTTCCGGGCAAGGTTCCGGAGGGTTCCGGAGGGTGCAGATACCTGTTGAGGTTGCGGAGGGTTTCGGTGCAGATACCTGGTGAAGTTCTTGGAGGGTTCAGGTTCTGGAGGGTTCCGGTGCAGATACCTGTTGAGGTTCCGGAGGGTTTCGGTGCAGCTAGCCGGTGAGGTTCCGGAGGGTTCCGGTGCAGATACCGTGTTGAGGTTCCGGTGGGTTCCGGTGCAGATAGCCGGTGAGGTTCTGGAGGGTTCCGGTGCAGGTACTCGGTAAGGTTCCGGAAAGTTCGGGTGCAGATGCTTTGTGAAGTTCCAGAGGGGTCCGATGTTTTTGATGGCATAAACTTTTATTTTTTTTCTGGGCAGAAGCGCTGAAAGGCAGTATATGATGCTCATATACTTGTAGATTTGATTACTTTGCAGGAGGGGGGCAGGGCTTGGCAAAAAAGAAGTTTATGCATAAATGGTTATATAATTAGACCAAGCGCTCTGCAAACCGAAACAAAATTTTGAAGGAACGAAACGGCAACGTAAAGACAACAATCTTAACACACGCGGGCTTGCAGACGATTGGCAAATAGACGGCCGACGAAAGATGAAGAGTCATCCCCAACCATTACAACATCGCGGGTTAAAAACAGCAGGGGCATGGGTGACAGCGACTCAGTAAAAGATGTTCGGGTAATACGATTGGCGTCGAATCGATTGTATGCAATGCACGAGAACTTTTTCATGACTAAATGGTGGTTTTGCTTATAGTGTCCGTTTCTGTGTATTTCACACACTGACATTCTGATACTGATTGTGATGATTGTAAATGCAGACAATACGTGTGATCAATGTGCTTTGGATGCGTTACGGCACTTCAGAAAGACAGTTTTTTCATGAAGCACATGTATGAGATTTATGTCCAATACCAATCGTTGCAAAAACTAGACCCGCAAAAGACGTTGGCAAACGAAAACAACGGACAAGATTGAATTCGATGTATACCCTGTTCGATCAAGCACAGCCCGCACCAAAACAAATGTATGACAAACAACATGGCAAGGCAAAGGGAACAATCTCAGGACAAGCCAGCGCGAGAACCACTCAACACAACATGACCGATGAAACCTGCAGCGTCATGTTGAACCATCACGACATTGTGGGCGAGAACTCCGGTAAACTGCACGGGTGGCAGGCGCAGAGACCAAGGCTGCAACCATCACTCTGGCAAACTGCACGGGTGGCAGGCGCAGAGACCAGGGATAGGTACAGCTTTTCATGGTAATGTTTCATATGCCCGTGTGCAACATCATACTAAATGGTGGTTTTGCTTAGTGTCCCGTTTCTCTGTATTTCACACACTGACATTCTGATACTGATTGTGATGACTGGAAATGCAGACAATACGTGTGATCAATGTGCTTTGGATGCGTTACAGCACTTCAGAAAGTCAGTTTCATCATGAGGTACACGTATGAGATCCCTGTGTTACACAGCTTGAAGTGTTTGAGATGTTTGTTCTGTGTCTTTTAGATGTTTGAGAAGTTTGTTTTGTGTCTTTGACATATAAGAAGTTTGGTCAGTGTCTTTGAGATGCTTGAGAAGTTTGTCTTGTGTTTTTGAGATGTCTTTTGAGATGTTTGCGCAAAGCGGAAATTGGCGTCTAAAACAAATCATTGCAAAAATTAGATCGGCAAAAGACGTTGGCAAACGAAAAAACTGACAACGCTGAATTCGACACATACCCTGTTTGATCAAGCGCTGCGCGCGCCCAAACGAATGTATGACAAACAGCATGGCAAGGCAAAGGGAACAATCTCAGGACAAGCCAGCGTGAGAACCACTCAACACAACATGACTGCAAAATCCTGAAGCGTTGTATTGAAACATCACGACATGGTGGGCGAAAAGAAAAACAAGGACAAAGGCGGGAAAGACTGATCCGCAAAACGTATCGGCAAACAGCATCAAGTGACAGCGCTGAATTTGACGCACAATCAAACATGTTTCATGCACGCGCAGTGCAAACCAAAGGAAAAGTATGAAGGACAGCGCGGAAAAGGGATCAATCCTAAGAAGAACCAGCCTGAAAACCACTAGAGCAAAACGACGACCGCAAAGCTTGAAGTGATATACCGAACTGTCACGACGGCGTGGGTTTAAAGAAACACGACGACAAATGTAGCATGGACTCAGTGAAGTGGCAATAAACGCAAAACCTGACTCGCGATCTGGTACTGCATGGGTGGCAGGTGCAAAGACCAAGGATCCAACCATCACTCTGGTAAACTGCACAGGTGGCAGGCGCAGAGACCAGCGATCCGACAATCAATCTGCTGAACTGCACCGGTGGCAGGTGCACACACCAACATTTTTAAAAATAACATGATAAACTGCACCGAAGGTGGGCGCAAAGACCAACAGTTTGAAAATCAATGCGGTCAATTGCACGGGTGGCAGGCGCAGAGAACAAGGATGCAACTTGATCCAACCATCACTCTCGTAAATTGCACGGGTGGCAGGCAGAGCAGGGATCCGACAATCAACCGGCTGAACTCCACCGGTGGCAGGTGCGGATACCCAGATTTTGAAAATCAACCTGGTAAACTGCAAGGTGGCAGGCGCAGCGCAGAGACCAAGGATCTAACCATCAGTTCGGTAAACTGCGCAGGTGGCAGATGCAGAGTCCAGGGATCTGACAGTCAATCCCCTGAACTCCAACGGCGGCAGGTGCAGACACCAACGTTTTGAAAATCGGCCTGGGCAACTGCCAGGTCGCAGGCGCAGAGGCAAAAGACTTGACAAACGATTTGGCGAACTGCAGGTGGCAGCTGCAGAGACCAAGGATCCAACCATCACTCCGGTAAACTGCACAGGTGACAGGCGCAGAGACCAGGGATCCGACAATCAATCTGCTGAACTGCACCGGCGGCAGGCGCAGACACCAACATGTTGAAAATCAACTTAGCTAACTGCCATGGAGCAGGGCAGAAGATATGACCAACAATCTGGTAAACTGCACGGGTAGCAGGCGCAGAGACCAAGGATTCAACCATCACTCTCGTAAACTTGCGCGGGTGGCAGGTGCAGAGACCAGAGATCCGACAATCAATCCGCTGAACTGCACCGATGCGGGCGCAGAGACGAGGGATAGGTACAGCTTTTCAAAGGAATGTTTCATATACCCGTGTGCAACATCATTGCATGATTGTATGTGTATGCTTGTATGATTGTATGTGTATGCTTGTATGACAATGTGCTCCTGATGTCATGATGCCGATCATAAGACCATATACAGTTAGTAACAGCGTGTCATCCAACGTTTGTATCAATTTATGTTAGCTGAGATACCTGGTAAAGTTCCAGAGGGTTCCAATGCAGATACTTTGTTAGGTTCCGGAGGGTTCCGCTGCAGATACCTGTTGCGGTTCTGGAGGGTTCCGGTGCAGATACCTGGTCAGCTTCTGGAGGGTTCCTGTGCAGATACCTGTTGAGGTTCGTGGCCCTGGTTCCTTTACCATTGTGCAACACCATTGCATGCTTGTATGTGTATGATTGTATACAAAGCAGAAGCTTTCAAACTGTTGGGGATAGCACCTGAGTTTATTTTTACCCCCATGGATCTTCCGTGGACCAATGGATGACCTAACCATGACCAAAAATCGAGGTCGCGAAACTCGGAGAGCTGCCCAAAGTTCACGAAGCCCAGCTCAGTGGTGTTGGAAATGTCTGCGAGTTCCTGGGCTTGGAGATGGGACGTACGGCCGGCCTTGGCCGATTTGGGGTTTCTTAAGTCACGGGGGATCCCCAGTTGTCACCATGGTTGTCCATCCCTTTATGGTCATTCCACACGTTTGTTTCGAATTTCCAAAGACGCCAAATGCAGATCTCACTTCGAATTGGATTCCTCAGTCAAACATCAGTTCGGGTCAATGTTTGTGTTACCGTTGATGAACGTTGATTTCCCAGCTCTTCTTGTTCTGGTGTGCAGTTCCCTGGATTCCTTGGCGATTTCGCGGTCCTCCGAGTCCACTAAGGCTTGTGGTGGTTGATAATGCAGCAGTTCTGCACACCGTGCGCACCAGATACAAAAGAACTGACATTTACACCTTTGCCACGACCTCAGGTCCCCAAAATGGACCATAAAGTGACCTTAGTGACCCTCGTGAAGTGTGAAATTGGAAGACCCACTTCCCTATGATTTTTCAACAGCACCCAGAAACCATGCTTTAATAATCTTTCAAAGGGGATTTTGCAATTATTTTGGATATATTTGGGACCATTAAGCATGGGGGTGTTTAATATGAACGAGGGATGGGATGGGAATGGTGTCACCACCAGGTGTCCAAGATGTTGGTGGCCGTGAATCCGTTCAGGGACCTGCCGGTTTACTCCAAGGTCGCCCAAATCATCGTGGGGGGATGGGATTCCATGGTTTTTTTCCATGCAACAATCCCCATGGCCGTGTTGCGCGAGGAGAACTTGATGAGATATTTGGGAGCAACCAGCACCATGGAAGCTTGGTTGTGAATATCTAGAAAAAGTTGGGAGAGAACCCCCAATGTTGTTTAAATATGTTTGACTACCCATTTTCATTTGGGTAATAAGGTTTCCTTTTTTGGTATTGAACCAAAGCCATTCCACCATTCTTGGCCCAAGGATTTACCGCCGCACATCTATGCTTTGGGCCTCCACGCAGTCAAGGCTGAAGTGCTTGAGGGTGATCGAATGCCTGGTCACATAGAAAGTATAATGGTAATCCGAAAAAACAACTGGGCATAGGTATTGATATCTAATCCAATACATGGTCATTTAACGGGGAAACTTATGATAAACCATTTGCAATATTGTTTTTGCACACGATGTTCAGAAAGACTCATGTATGAAGTTAGCTGGCACCTGGCTCAAAAAAAATCAATCCCGTGCCAGGGGCTGCAGCAGCATGGAGGTACCAGCCAGGCAAGTGGGTGTCACAGAATGGTGTGAGCAACCAGGCTACCAGATATTTGAGATGTTTTAACTGGTGTAGATGATGACGATGATGATGATGATGATGAGGATGACGATGACGATGACGATGATGATGATGATGATGATGATGGGAATCAAACTCAGACGTAATGACTGATGGCCCCTTGCCAAAATTTGCTGCAGGTTGTGCTGATCAGTGGCGAGTCCGGTGCGGGCAAAACCGAGTCTGCGAAACTGGTGATGTCTTACATCTCAGAGGCACTGTGCTTTCGCTGCGACGGCGAATGTTCTCAATGTGCATTGCAGACACCTTGGAATCCCAACAAAAAGATGTAAAAAATAGTGGGATCCCTAGTGATGAGCTTTCCATGGCAGCATCAATATGGGTTTGTCTGAAAATTGGGTTTAATCACCATTGTTTGGTGGTTAATCACCATTTTTCATAGTAAAATAAGCAGTTGGGTGGTATACCCCATTTCACCCATTTCCAGACAAAACCATATTCAAAGTTTTGGTTTTCAAGCTTTGCATGATGCTGTGCGGGGATAGGCACTGGGGAGCTCTCGCAACTTGCAGCGACGGGACGGGGCGGATGGGCGGAAGGGCTTGGCTCCATGAGCTCAGATGGGGATGGCTCTGAGTATCCACCAAAATTCAGAGTGTCAAGCTGGTTAAACATGTTTGGAAAATGTCAGTCTCGATTTTGAGCCAATCACCCCTTCTTCGAGCCATACCCATACATGCAGCAACATGCAGTGACCTGTTGTGCGGTTTGGGAAGCTTTTCATAGATCTTTTTGCCAGGTGCAGATTGATCACAACAGGCAACATCGGGATGTGATCAATTCAAGACATGGGGGATGAAAGTGGGTCATGCAGATGACCAACACATTTGGGTTTGTTTGAGAATACGGTGACCACAAGACCCAATGGTTTATGATCATTTCCCACTTCAACTTGCCAGAAATCGGAGATAATAGCCCTTCGTCAGAGCCACGCAAATTGGGTCTAGTCGTTTAGTTGGTAGAAAAACTTCACACTAGCTCCCCATTGATACCCAGTGAAATCCTATTAAACCTCCATTTTAAAATGGCTAAATCAAAAGGATTTGAACCTTAGTAAAAAATCAATCCTATCAACTCATATTAAATTTTAGTTGATGAAACCACCAAAGCCATCAACGTCCGGAGGACAGCCGTCCCAGATATTCCGTCGCTGCAGACACTGCCAGACGACGGAGTCGATACTCCGTGGTGGACCCGGCCAAGCCCAGCATTCAGGAGACCGGAGAGTTCTACGTGGGTGTGAAAAGGGGATGTATATCCAGATCCCTATGTATATATATGATACACTATGGTATATACATAATATTGTATGTAAAATATACTACATACAATAATAGACAATATATAATATAGTATACATAATATACAATATGCAATATTATATATATAAATTATATACTATATATAATATATAATATACTATATATATTTAAAATACTATATATATAATATACTATATATATTACTATATATAATATACTATCTATTAAAAACTATATATAATATACTGTATATATTATTCTATATACAACATACTATATATAGTATACTTTATATTATATACTTAAAAACTCTATATAATATACTATAAATAATATACTATAAATAATTTTCTATATATAATATACTATATACAGTATATACTATATACAGTATATACTATATATAAAATACTATAAATAATTTTCTATATATTTCATATACTAAATATAATTTACTACATATAATATACAATATACAATACATGATATACTCTATATATTATTTACTATATATCATATATTCTATAATCTTCTATATATAAGATACTATATACAATATACTATATACAATATACTATATACAATATACTATATATAATAGACTATATATGATACAGTATATTTAATAAATATACTATATATATAATATACTCTATATAATATACTTTTTATAATATACTATAAAGAGTATACTATATAGAATATACTGTTTTTACTGTACTATGTACAATATACTTTATATAATATACTATAAATGATTTACTATATATATATATATATAATACACTATATATATAATACACTTTATACACAATACACTACATATAATACAGTTATTTAGTTTACTATATACAAAATATACTATATGTAGAATATACTATATATAAAATACTATTGCAGCATCGTCACGTACCCTGGCTGTCAAAGTATGTCAAAGAACCTCAAAGACTAGATCCGTTTTGGGTGGATCAGTAATGTCCCTGGTTTCCCTCACAGGAGACCAAGAATTTAGTGATGTCGACATAGTAGATCCATGACGTTTCTCATCATTTTACAAATAAATCCATGAAACTTCTTGCTTAAGCAGATGTTTGGCATCCGGTCCCAAAATGCAGACTGGTTACCTGGATGATGTTTTTTTTTGGCTGCTACTCCCTTTCCATGATGTTTTTGACCCCTGACCCGTAGTTGGAATTCTTGATGAAGATTCTCAGCAAGATTCACGATGTTTGATACTCCTATATCACCCGCATTATATTCATGAGGTTTTACACTCCTGGCTTTATCAAAATCATGAGTGTATAGAATTCCCATGACATTTTTGATTTTCATAGATGGAGGATGCCCTATCAGTCCTTATCACAATTAGAAAACCTCGGCCCTGAAGTCTGAGGATGTTTCTAGCATTGCGGCAATTTTGAGGGAATGCATGAGTTATTCGTATAAATACAGATTGTGGCTATCATGCAAAAAAGACATGAAAACACGAAAAAGGACCTTACTATCAGATACTTTCAGATTCACAGATTTGAAAGGTCGAAATTTCCATTAGGTACTGAAATGTTGCGTTCTCCGGGGTTTGAAGGTATACATGTACACACCAAATAACAGCTGGAAGGCCATGTTGTAGGAATTACATGTGTGATAATATATTTCTTGTGATAGTTTGTGTTTGTGGATGCCCATGCCATGCCCACGTGTTGCAAAATCTACGCACCTGAGTGGTCTCTCGTGTTCTTCAACGCACCTCGTGTTCTTAAAATACTACACACACACATATATATATATGATATACTGCATATATAGTAATATATAATATATATATATATATATTAATATACTACATATAGTAATATGTTATATACAATAAACATATATTTAATAATGTACGATAAATAATAATAATAATAATATACCATATATATATATAAACATACTATATATAATATACTATATATATATAGTAATATATTTTAAATTTGAAATAATAATATACTATATATATAATAACTACATTTATATAATAATATACTATATATAAAATTGTCTATATATATTATCATTATACGCAATATACATATATAATAACATACTATATATATAATACCATACCATATTTATAATAACATACTATATATAATAAGACACTATACATGTATGACAATATACTATATGTATACATATTAATGTACAATATTTAACAATTTACTACATATATATAGTAACAATATACTACATATATATATTTTTTTAGGAATATACTCTACATAACATAATACGCTATATATATAATTTACTATACATAATAGTATTATATGCATATTTTTTCTATATATAATAATATACTATATATATAATATACTGTAAATATTTATTTTTTAGTAATATACTATCTGTAAAATAATATACTACGTATATATATATATCGTATACTATCTATACGTAGTACATACATATATTACACTACTATTAGTATATTTTGATGAATTAATAAACTGATATATCTATATAGAATATTTATGTAATAAAATATATATACTGCATATATTCATATAGAATATTTAACTATATTATATATCAAATAGAATGTGCAATTACATAACATTACATATATTGTTTAGATATGTCAATAGAACTCAATAGATATAAGTTTTAATCGATAACATATATATATATGATTTATGTAAATATTATATATAATATGTAACATATATGACATATAATGTGTAACACATAAGGTAGAATATATATAATATATGATATATAATATATAATACAACATATTTAATATACAATACATGATACTTCATAATATAATATATAATATAATATATATATGATATAGAATATAAGATATAATTTAATATAACTTAATATAGCACACTATCAATACACGATAATACAATATAACTATTAGAAAATAATAGCGCATACCATTATAGAATTTAATATCACATAATAAAATAAAATAACATATTATTTTCTAATACAATATAGTATAATACAATATAATATAGCATAATATAATATACTATAGTATAATACCATATAATATATACATAAATATACAGATACACATGCATATATATATATATATTTAAGTGTAAACATAAACAACATATAAATATAAGTATAAGTATAAATATTATCTACTCTATATTCCACACAATGAAATATAAATAGAAAATGTACAGAGTTTGCTCGGCTTCATGTATATATATATAATATTAAGCCCAAAAAAGATGGCAGAAAAATCATTGATTGTACCAAAATAGGGACGAATTGTTTTTTTAATTGAATTGCTATAACCAAGCTATGGCTATTTCACGATGGAAAATGATGTTTGAAACCACTGCATGGAATAAGGGTTTCGCCTAAACCATGTGGAAGTTGTGTTCTGGGCGAACGGTTGGTGACGGGCTGGCTGATAAAACTAGGTTCTAGCCAAGATCAACCCAGCTTTAGCTGATTAACCTCAATAATCCCATTGACATGTGGGTTTATTTTTAGCCATAAATGGGACATGTTAGACTAAGCATTTTTTGCAGGGCACGAGTAGAGGCAGTATCTAAGCAGATTAGCCATGTGTTGCAGTACGGTGAGATTTTCATTCATTAATGTTGATGCCCTGGTGGAGTCTTAGTTTTTTCTGTGGTACCACAGTTGTGAGATATTTCAGGGACCTCTATGAATTCACAGCGTCGTTTGATGTTGCAGGACAAAATCATTCAGACGAATCCCATCCTAGAAGCTTTTGGCAATGCCATGACGGCAGGGGTCCTTAGCATTGTGTCCGAACGGATTTGGGTGCCCCAGTGCCTGGACCGGAGCCGTCGGAGCTGTCGCTAAGGTCAGGAACAACAACTCTTCCCGCTTCGGCAAGTGGACGCTTGCCCCTGGTGCTGGCAGTTGCAGTGCCGGTAGCAGCTACTGGCATGTAGTGTGAGTCGCGGTGCTTTACAAGTTACAAGCAAGAACCAAGCTTTCGGTTTCGCCTGAAAATGGGGTCCCCCCAATGGATTATCATTTTTTCCCAAAAGCATCTTCGATGCTTGGGTTCTCGTTTAGTTGTTTAACCGCGTGGGGAGCGAGCTGCTTTGAACGGTGGTGTGCGGACGGTGTGGGTGCAAGGGAAAGGAAGGGAAAGGAAGGGAAAGGAAGGGAAAGGAAGGGAAAGGAAGGGAAAGGAAGGGAAAGGAAGGGAAAGGAAGGGAACAAAAGGGACAGGAAAGGAAAGGAAGGGAAAGGAAGGGAAGGAAGGGAAAGGGAGGGAAAGGACGGGAAAGGAACGGAAAGAAAGAGAGAAAGGGAAAGGAAGGGAAAGGAAGGGAACGGACGGGAAAGGAAGGAAAAGGAAGGGAAAGGAAGGGAAAGAAAGGGAAAGGAACGGAAAGAAAGGGAACGGAAGGGACAGGAAGGGAAAGGAAGGGAAAGGAAGGGAAAGGAAGGGAAAGGAAGGGAAAGAAAGGGAAAGGAAAGGAAAGAAAGGGAAAGAAAGGGAAAGGAAGGAAAAGGACGGGAAAGGAAGGGAAAGGAAGGGAAAGGAAGGAAAAGGAAGGGGAAAGGAAAGGAGTGCTGGAAATGGGTGGGGAGAAGAAGCCGCTGGGGATGAGCGAGCTTGGCTGCGCGGATGGCTGCGGATGGCGTGGGTGCAAGGGGGTGGCTGGAAATGGGCGGGGAGAAGAAGACGCTGGGGATGAGCGAGCTTGGCTGCGCGGACGGCTGCGGACGGTGTGGGTGCAGGGGAGTGGCTGGAAATGGGTGGGGAGAAGAAGCCGCTGGGGATGAGCGAGCTTGGCTGCGCGGACGGCTGCGGATGGCGTGGGTGCAAGGAGTGGCTGGAAATGGGTGGGGAGAAGAAGCCGGTGGGAATGCGATGTGTGGGGAGAAGAATCCGCTGGAGATCAGCGAGCTTGGCTGCGCGGACGTCTCATCTTCTAAAAAGATGCTGGCAAGAGGCGAAAGGGAAATAAACCAATTATTATTCAAATTTGTTTGCTATCGTTTTGTTTTTGGGTTCTCAGGCCCCCCCCTTGTTTTCCCATTGAATCTGCCAATAATTCGGGATCTACTGTATATCCCTTTTTCAGACACACCCAGTTTCCAGCCGCATAGAACTTCAATCGACTGAGGACGCAGATGATCATTTCTCCCAACATGGCGATTCAAGGATGCATCTTGGCTGGGGGAAATGGGTGCAAGCCCGTCTTTCCAATTGCGCCGATTTCAGCCACATCATTGGGCATTGCCAAAAAACTGGTGGAAAAGGGGGGCCTGAGCCGCCTGAGCCCTGAGCCAATGAGCTTTCTATAAAAAGAGACCGTGAAAGTCATTATGAAATGATTGTTTTTTCGATTAAATTATATATTTTCTGCCGATCCAGATGCCATGGCGCTCTGAGGCTCGGTCACTGACTACCTGCTGGAGGTTACGAGAGTGTGCGGTTGTGGTGAGAAGGCGCGAGCTGGGTGACACCGTCGAATCTTCGTGGGTTAAGCCGCTGGACTAGCTGTCGACATTAGACATTTTCCTGTAAGGAGAACTCAATTCCATGAGGCTTGCACCCAAGTTTGTTGTTCTCCGAGTGGCAGGATGCTTCAACAGGTGATACAGGGGTGCACCGTGCCAGGAACGCAACTACCACATATTCTTTCAGTTGCTGCAAGCCAGAGCTGATCCACAGTTGCAAGACCTTGATATTCAAGCCCCAGAGGTGACTCCGGTTTGGAGGGAAGGGAGGGAAGGGTGGATCCAACACTGCAACAGCAATGACCAGAGCTCGTATGGAGCTCAACCCGAATCCGTCCCCATACTACATTATTTCACCTGCCGGATTGCAATGATGTGCAGTAAGTCAGAAAAATGCCCGCAGCGCTTTGCCAGGAATACAACTACATCAAGGGCTCAAGATTTACAGCACCTGGCATCGATGACACTCGATGTTTTCAAGAAGTCAAGGAGGCGTGATTGGCAAGTCAGTACTTTGACTCAGTCATGAGATTGATATAATTTCATAATTTGCAGCATGAACTTTGACACCTATTTGAGGGGGATACTTCTGTGTGTAGCTCGGCTCACATGGCTGCCGCAGCAGTTGATTTCGCCTGAGACAGGCTTTTCTGGCTCTTGAATTCAGCCCAGAGGCTGGATTTATGGTTGGCCATGGTCGCCATGGGTCCGTAGGGATTTTGCAAATCCACGAGTCGAACATAAATTTCTGGCAGGACATGTTGCTTGGCTCACTTTCCAGCACTCTGTCAGGTCCAAAAAGAAATCTTCAAGGTGGTCGTGGGCTTGCTTGCCAAGAGCTTGGATGTTAACCTTGCAGGGGCCCAGAATTTGGGCACGACGAATCGGCGTCGTGATCGGCTGGTCTCTGACGGTCGTCTCTTTGGCTCGAGGTCGTGGGAAACATTGATTTCGTGGATGGCGATGAAGCTGAGATCAAAGGAGCTCGTTTGCTGCGTTTCATAATGACAAATCACTGCAGGTCGAGTGGACAGTTTTCTGTGCAGCAGGCACGGATCAGAACGAAGTCTGAATAGGAATAACGAGGAAAAGGGGCAGGACGAGGAGGAGGAGGAGGAGGAGGAGGAGGAAAAGTGCACCAAAACATAGTTCCTTCCAGAAGGAGTCTCTTAGGAAGGACAGACAACCACCGACAAGGCAGAAAGTGCAGTGATTCAGCAGGCCTCTGGGGAAGTCAAAGTGCCGTGCCCATCCAATCCAAACGACATAGTATTATTTATTTATTTATATATATATAATGTAACGACAAAAACAATCATCACCAACATCAACATCAACATCAACAACAACATCAACATCAACATCAACATCAACAACAACAACAACAACAACAACAACAACCACAACCACAACCACAACCACAACCACAACCACAACCACAACCACAACCACAACCACAACCACCACAACCACCACAACCACAACCACAACCACAACAACCAGAACAACCAGAACAACCAGAACAACCACAACGACCACAACGACCACAACGACCACAACGACCACAACCAGAACAACCAGAACAACCAGAACAACCACAACGACCACAACGACCACAACGACCACAACGACCACAACGACCACAACGACCACAACGACCACAACGACAACAACAACAACGACAACAACAACGACAACAACAACGACAACAACAACGACCACAACCACAACAACCACAACAACAACAACAACCACAACAACAACAACAACAACCACCACAACCACCACAACAACCAGAACAACCAGAACAACCAGAACAACCAGAACAACCAGAACAACCACAACAACCACAACCACCACAACCACCGCCACAACCACCGCCACAACCACCGCCACAACCACCGCCACAACCACCGCCACAACCACACCACAGCGGGCAGATTTCCCCAAAATCGGTTGCAGGTCTCGATGAAACGTGGATACTGTGAATTGACGCATTTGGTGCTTGTGGTTTTCCTGTCAACGCAGTTTTTGAAATCCACCCTGACTTGCGCTCGAGCAACATACACAACATACACATAATTTTGCTGCCCAAATTTGGCGTCATGCATACCAATGCATACATCAGAACGTTTCAAGTTTCTGAGGGTCAATTTCCAAGCAGTTGCCACACCTTCGAAGGATCTGATGTGGACAAAGCCAGCCAGCTGCTGGGCATCCCTTCCAAGGTGCTTCAGCGGACCAGCGACGGTTAGGTTTTCCCTGTAGAGTTCCCGTTCGCGCAAGGTGCTGCAGGAAATGATTCTTGTGCAAAAACGGAAGATCGGTGGTGAGGCTTGGGAACTCGTTGATTTTTTAAGCAGAGCTTCGACGTTTCTGAATTTCTTCAGTGTTTCTTCCCTAGATGCATAAACAGATTCGGCCTGACACCATCAAGGTAGTGAACTCCCGAAGGACTCGTGGGCCGTCTTCTCGGTGTTGCTTTGTTACTTCGAAAGTGCTTTGCACGCTGTTTACCCGTAGTTTCCAACAACATGGATTTCTTGATCCCAGAGATCAGATGTGACAAGATGCGCCAAGAAGAGCTAGCAGACCTTCAGTGCTGAATCGAGACCTCAGATGGCTGCAGGAGCACTGCGCAGGCCAAATCTGTGCGCGACACCTTTGCCAGGCGCCGCAGAGGGTTTATTCCTCCCCATGGAATCCCCAATGAGGGTTTACAAAGTCATGCGAATACCCCATTTAACCTTTACTAAGTCATGGTCTAATTACTTGGATGATTTGGGGTACCCCCATTTTGGGACGCGCCGTGTAGGTGAGGGACCGTGTTTTGTTCTTTTTTATATTTCAAGATTGAATCATGAATGTGTCATGTTTGCCTGCAGCCGTTTGGTAGGTTTGTGTAACTGTATCATGTGATAATTCATGTAAATGGAGCGTCAGAAGCATCAACGTGTTCAGGGGGTTTTACCATCATTTGTTATTTCAAATTTGAGTGGCCTTCTTAATACTTGTATGTAACATGTTCCAATGTAGTGCGAACGATCCTCAAAACAGGACTGGGGATGTACTATAGGAAACTGAATAAGTAGAGAGAAAATAAGGGAAGTTGCGTCCTTGATGATTTTTTCTTCCAAGCTCAAGGCTAAGGAACGTTATTAGCCCCCCACCCCCATGTGTCTTAGAAAGCAAGTGAGAACACGCTCCGTACATTTTGATACACGGTCCGTGACGTACAGGGATGTACACGGTACCTTTTTGGAAGCCTCTAAATTTGAAAAGATCAGAAACCAACCAGGGTTTCTGGGTAGTATGAAGGGGTACAAAACTAGAAGAAATGGAGATGTAGCAAGGTAACCTGGAGAGACATCCAGTAAACATGAGAAGTAAACCCCAATACTGGGACCTGAACATCGACGTTTCCCAGGTCGTTTTGATCCATACCCAGTGCAGAACGGATCCTAGTTCACCATGAGGTCATTTTCTTAAGCGGGACCCTGCAAGAAATGGATGGTTTGATGAGTTCAACACTCAAAAGTGACCAGCGGTCCATGGCCATGTGACTCGGGCCAGGATGCTATATGGTCGAACCTTCAAGTGGCTCATTGATCCTTGGTGCGGAAATTCAAGTCTTTCATTGCATATTTATTTGCTTGATTTGATTGAATATCCTCACCAACCCAAGCTGATTTAAGTCATTTAAGTTGACCGGTCCTGTCTCGACATGTCTGCACGGTCTGCACCGAAGGAGAAGATCAATGACCGGCTTCGACAGTCCTCCACTAGCCAAGTTCCTCCCTTAGCCCGAGCCAGGTGAGGCCAGCAGTTTGCTCCTTCTTTTGTTCTCTCTCTGCGCCTCTAGTTTGAGGTATGGGTCTTGGATTGTGGATAGGGTTGGACAGTTTGAAATCACCAAATCCCACGGTTTATCATGATTTCCCCATATGGGTATGGGTCAATACCTATAGATACCATTTTTAGTGGGATGAACATCCATTTACCAGCTATTTTGATGTTCATCAGGGGTACAAGGTTTTGACACACTGCCATATCTTGAAATAGCTATTTACCACAGTTGATCTCGAAGCCCTGATGACCCCACTCTGTAAATCGTCTGAGGTGTTTTTGGGTGTCTTGGACATTGCTGGCTTTGAGAGTTTCGAACACAACAGCCTGGAGCGGCTCGCCCTGATTATCAGTTTCTCACCTGTCTTGTTGTTTATATGAAGAAGCTGACTGGTCTGTTTTCCTTTGGCGTTGGAACTTTGTTGTTGTTACATCCTTGAAACATGCAACGCTGAGGCAACTTTTTATCAACCTCAGCAATGAGATTTTGCAAAGTCACTTCAACCAGCACTTCTTCCGGATGGAATTGCAGGTCTACCGCTGGCGGCGGATCTGGGGATGGTTAAAACAATATAAAACAATTGGGTTCCCCAAATAGGATACTTCATCAACTTATTGCAAAAATATGAAAATGATAAGCCATTTGCCTCTTGGTTTGGTGCATTTTTTGAACCATACGGATGTGAGCAAATCATGGCATCAATTCATGTCATCAATTCATCCGCCAGAAGTCTGGAGGAATACGAAGCAGAGGGCATCAAAGTTGGAATCGATGTGACATATCAGGAGACTGCCGAGGGAGGAGCTCGAGCAATTCCCTGACATTTCCCTGAAAGGAGGCATTTTAGGCCGTAATTTTCCGGGCAAAATGATGGCCTTGGAGATCCCCTGAAGTGGAAAAAAACTCTAGACTGGCCAAGTGGAAAGGACAACTCAGACATCGTGAGTTTGATCAATGCAAAGGGAGGCATCCTGTCCATTTTGGACGACGAGGCCGGGTTTGAAATTGCTTGTGCTGCATGCGTTATCATTGATCACTAACATAAAGTTTAAACCATATATCACTCTAGATTATATCACTGGATGATCACATTTTCATATACACATCCAGATAATCTAGTGATTATATCATATCACTCTAGATTATATCACTGGATTAATCACATTAAATCCTGGATTATTGTGATAAAATCTGGATTCCATGTGATCATCGGTTGTGATCTCCCGGTTTTTGTCCGACATCTCCAGACGGTCCGAGGCCTTGATTCCGAAGACCACGGATCAGACCTTTGTGTCGAAGGTCATCAAAAGCCATGGCAACCATGCCAGGCCGTTTTTTGGGGGTCATGTGGGGTTTGTAGATCTTAAAGTCCCCTAAAAAAAGATGGAAAATTGAGGTTCGAAGAAAGATGGAAAATCATGTTCTCACTGGAGTGAAGCCCCAATTTAAGATGGAGAATTGAGGTCCGAAAAGCCACAGAAACAATGCTTCACTGACCCCCACAATTTTTGAGTTGTATCCCATGGATCGCAGGATTGTGAAGAGCAAGATGGGAGGCTGGGATCGACGGGCATGCTGATGTCTTGAACAAAAATGGGAGTCATTTAAGGGTTTGGTACCTAAAAATGATGACTAACCCCCAATTTATGGTCATTTCAAGTGGGACAATATGAATAAGCAGTAGATTCGGGGCCCCATTCTTAGACAAAGCCATGCAATCACGTTCACAAATGGCATTGGTTACATGAACCACTGACCCATGCGAGACATCGTCCAGGCGCAGTGAAGTTTGGAATCAAGCACCTTGGCTCTCCCGTCGGCCTTTGGCAAAGATGCCGAAGGATCCATCTAGGCACAAAATGCACACGGTATATGTTTTTCCACGCTTTTATTTTATTTTGTGTCACTACTATGGTAGACAATAGGCATATGCTTCACACAGAGTGATGCACAAGTAGATATCATATTGTTGGAGATTGCCTTTTCAAGCCAGGACAGCCAGGGATATCAAGTTACAGCCAGGGATATCAAGTTTCACATATCTTCCCATCCCTTTCTCGACTGCGATCGAACATCGGGGATGCGGCTGAGGCACTTTGCTGGAGAAGTCACTTACGACGCCTCTGCCCCTGGTCTACATTGGGCCATCCCCCTGGATCCATGTTTCATGGGAACATACTGGAACCCCCAAGCAACACCGAAGAATGATAATAGTAATATGATATATATATACAAATAAATAAATAAATAAATACCTAAATAAATAAATGTATATATGTACATATATATATGTATAGATAGAATAAGTAAGAAGTATCACATTCCACTAACTCATCATAATGGATCCTGGCGTTAACCAACCAATAGACATCCGTTACAATTTATGTCAAACTACCACCCATGAGTTTGGATTTTCCAAAATTCGTCCCCACTTTTCCCCAGATTAAGCACATTGAATTCGGCACCATTATTTGATTCCCCCCTTGTAATCCCCTTCAAATCTTATCAATTCTCACTTGAATTTCCTCAATTCCCATTAAAGAATCTCATAAATTCCATTAAATTCAATTGGATTTGGATTCAAGTGGAATTTCTCCATTAAATTCCCATCAATTCCACTTTCTAAATCATCAAAACCAACCCGATTGTGATCCCTTTTTTTGCAATAAACTCCTAACCATCTCTTTGGTGGCACCAGGGTTTCTTGGAAAAGAACATGTCCAAGCTGCCTGATGAGGTGCCCGGTTCCGGCGATTCTGGGAGGTGCTGAAAAAAATAGGGGGGGATCCATATTTAATAATGGTTAATCATGATAAGTATGATCAATTATTAGCCATTATAGTGTTTATTAATGATAATTGGGATATCATGTTAATTGTTTTATCATGTTATTATAACAGTGGGTTATTAATTAAGCAATGTTTAATGATGATAATAATTCACAGTGGGTTATTAATGGTTAGGTTAGATTATTACGTTATTAAATTATAATATGGATATAATAATTTAATGATTAGTTGTCACTTGGTTAATATCATAATGGAGGATCATAATTAATAGTGGGCTATTAACGACGGATAAATAGTCAATTCTCCTCTGGTAATCAAACTACAGGTTAGTGACTGTGATTCTAATAGATTACAAGCCATGTGTATAAATGTGGGATAAGCCGCTGAGGACCACTTACTACCTCCGCAGGTAATCAAACATGGCTCGCCGGGAAATCCCCAACGAGATGGAGGTTGATAGCTGGGATCATGGTAAACCAGGTGGATTTTCCATCACACCATGTTTGATTACCAGAGGGTAAAAAGGTATTGAGAACCAACTAGAGTGACTAGTATATTAGTGGAGATATACTGGGTCTGAAAATGGGGTATTGACCTCCAAATGGCCATTGTCGATAGAAGTCAAACTTCCGACAATATGGACAGATGAAAAGCAGAGATGGGAAGAGTCAGAGGAGAGAAGAGAAGAAGAAAGAAGATCAAAAAAGAGAAAGTCTCAGAAGAAAGAAGATCCAGGTGCGCGAAAAGGTAGGAAAGTCGCGAAACACTGTGTTTTTCCAATGATTTGTGGCTCCGGAGGGTCGAAAAGTAGGCTCGCTAAAGTGGCGGGTGCGGAGCCAGCTGGCCAGATGAAAGATGAAACATTGCACGCCGTTGTGGCGTGAAGCGTATTTCCAAGGTCGGGCCACGTTTGGAAGTTGTGATGTCGAAAAAGTGCACGCCATTGTGGCGCGAAGCACATTTCGAGATCAAAAGATAAAAAGCACTACATGTTCGGACAACTTTTGGAAGTTGAGATGATGAAAAAGTCACGCAGTTGTGGCGCGACACTTTTGGAAGCTGAGATGATGAAAAAGTGCACGCCGTTGTGGCGCGAAGCACATTTCGAGGTCAAAATGTTAAAAACACTACATGTTCGGTTTGGAAGTTGAGATGTCGTTTCGCATGGCAGGCACAAGGGATTGTGCACCTTGTCAAAAGTGAGCAAACGTTAGGGTTTTGTAGCATTTCCAAAAACGATGGCAGGCGTGGGACATTTGAAGTGGATCTGGCAAGATGCATTTTCTGTGGCAGGCGCAGTACAAGAGACACGTTCATCAGAGTAGGAGGTCCGGGCGCTGATTTCCTGAGAGGGGCTGCATTTTGGAGCATCAGATCTTCAGTTTTGGGAAGATGATTTTGCGTGACAGGTGCAGCACTTCGTATGACCTGGCATCACTTTTTCGTGGCAGGCGCAGTACTTTAGACAGGTGGAGTGGAAAAATCGGAAAACTAATTGGTACGAGTCCATCAGCTCTGCACTCAACTTTCCATTTTTGAAGGAAGTCTCGTAGAATTGTTTCGTTTTTGATGTTGTCAACTTCGAAATTTGAGGAAGTCTCACAGACTTGTTTCGTTTTTGATGTTGTCAAGTTTAAAATTTGAGGCGGTCTCGCAGAATTGTTTCGTTTTTGATGTTGTCAAGTTTAAAAATTGAGGAAGTCTCGCAGAATAGCTTCGTTTTCAAACTTGCAGATAGATAGACAGATAGATAAACAGAACGACAAATAGATAAACAGATATATAGATAGACATATAGCATTGCAACCACTCCAAAAAGCACAACTCCAACCACCTTTCGGTCCATCAGGGTCCATCAGTGGATTGCTCTGCCATCCATGCATCACAACAACTCACCTCTCCTATAGTGTCCTATCTTTGAAACTTCCACCATAGCCTTGTGCGGCGCTACTGGTAATAGGGACAATTGCGACAAACACATGGATGAAACCCTATCTTTTGACAAACCCAAATCTGCCATTTACAGTAGTGAAAAGAAACAATAGTTTTGATAATCCTTTTAATGTGTTTTGATTGGTATTCATGTAGGAAATTTAAGAAGGACACTCTCTTTGATGTTCAACAGGAACAACTGAAAAAAATTTTTCTGCTGAGGCCGGAGCTTTGCTTCTTTCCTCATCCTCTTCGCTTCTTGAGGTTCAGCGCGAAGTCTTTTTTCACATGGTTTGGGAATGGGCGGAATGGGTCACGCCCTTGTTTTCAGGGATTGTTGGGGATTTAAATATATTATTGCGATTATATATTGGATAAGGAGGGGATATCTACGAAATAATACAACAAAACAATGGGATCTCAATGGGAGATCAAGATGCAGGATGAGAACAACATCTAAATGTGCTCCAAAGGGTGAGATTCCGCGTCAGGAGATCGGCAAGAAGGTGCAGGAAGAAGTTGAGACTGAAAACCGCAGCAGGGGGCGAAAGGCCAGGAAACAAGGAACCAACTACTGTTGATAGAAACTCCAAAAACTCATGTCCTACAGCACAACCTGGGATATGCCGCGAAAATTGAACCCTAGCTCATTGATGTTGGCCATGTCTTGCATTTCACAACTTTAAGTTTCTGGCACACCCAGGTTCCACCCATGGAAACCTTGGGGGTTTTTGGGAGCCTTTTTTACTGCCCGTCTCAGGCAAAGACGGTGAGTTCAGGCTTCCGACAATCGCTGGAGGAGTTGATGCAAACAGCCGGCTGCCCCCAGGTTTCATGGATGTCAGGACAGATGCTGTGGCATCGGGAAAGCCAACGTATGGAAGACTTCCGCTTTTGCTGTTTTTAGTTCACAGTAGCAACTCAAAAGATGGCAATGTTCCCCCTACAACCTTTTGTGGTTGTAATGTTTACCCCTTTCTAGATGGTTTTGGGATGTTTTGGGTGGAATTTCCAGATGATTTTGTTTGGATCTTCTTGGTAAGGTCAATTCTGCAGAGCCGCACTTCATTCGGTGCCTGAAGCCCAACGCAGCCAAGGAGCAATGGTGCAGCCATTGACCAAATGCCATAAACAACTACCATGACTGGGGATGGTAAACATACCACCCATAAACATGGATACACATGATGATTTTGGGGATGGTTGATTATTGGGTTTACCACATCAAGCAAGACTATGTATATCTGTCCCCAGCCGCAGGTAGGATGTATGCGTTCAATGATCTGTAAGTCAGCACGAGTCAACGGCGGTTCATGGCTTTCGTAGGAACCAAACAACTTCGACTCCAAGTACCTTGGCTGAGTCGTTCCACGCATCCAGAAATGGCGAAGGGAACATCTACAAGAACCCCCATAGATTTGGGGATTTTTCGAAGCCATCAGTTTCCCACTGAGGGTTTTTGATGGTTTTTGGCCAAGGTATACCTACGAGCAGATGCTGTACAGTGGCATCTTTGAGGCTGTTAGAATCAGGCAGTCCGGCTTCCCCATGCGCTTGCTTCACGTGGGGCTCCCCATGCACCGATGATCAAACTGTGAGACGTACCTCAAAATGAGGGATTTATCAAGAACTAAAGACCATTTTGAGGGAACTAATGGCAATTTTACATTGGGGAAAGCGATGTTGTTTTTCCGCATCTGCTGATGCCACTGCTTCAATTCGACTCCTGAGGCAGAGTTTCTGGAGCGCTATGGCAGATTGATGCCCAAGGAGCAGTGGCCACAACTGGTGGGGCCTAGGCAGATTGCCATGCTTCATTATGCTTCAGCTGCTTCTATTCTCATTCGCCACTTTGGTTTGCCTGAAAATCGGGTAGCCTCAAATTTGATAGTTGATCATTACCAATTTCCCTGGGTTTTCATAGCAATTTGGGGGTGATTTTCCCATCAGACACACCCAATTGCCAGGCAAGTGAGTCCGCCCGAGAAGGTGGAGCTGTTGGTGTCCGCAGGGATCCCAAGTTGATGTCATGTCCAGTTGCTGAGCCTTGATCTTGGCACGTCTTTAGTGATTTCATGATATGAACTTATATATATATATAGATAGATAGATATGTATGTGTATATATATATATGTACATACATACATACATGCATACATACATGCATGCATGCATACATGCATGCATACATGCATGCATTGCATTGCACTGCACTGCATTGCATTGCATTACATTACATTACACCACATTACATTACACTACATTACATTACATTACATTACATTACATATATGTATACATATATACATACATACATGCATGCATGCATGCATGCATGCATGCATGCATTGCACTGCATTGCATTGCATTACATTACATTACATTACACCACATTACATTACATTACATTACATTACATTACATATATGTATACATATATACATACATACATGCATGCATGCATGCATGCATACGTACGTATGTACGTACGTACATATGCATATATATATATATATATACATATGTATATATATATATACATACATATGTTCATATGAACTCAGGAATTCTAGTCATGGCTTATCAGATGTTATCAGCCACAAGATGGGGGCCCGTTCAATTTTGGACCTGCCATGAAACTGGGAGTCGGAAAACATATCTGGAAAGCAGTGGTTAGGCTCTCCGTGAGCAGCTCACGACCAGCGACTTGCCAGACAAGGGCCTAGTGCTGGGAAAGACCAAGGCGGGGACCTCTACCGTTGTGAGCCACTGGTGGCTGGTTTCTTTCGTGGCTCCTCACATCATTTTAAAATGAATCTTACATGTTGGGTCCGGTCAGAATTGTGGACCTGCAGTTTTGAAGCCTTCCATGCTTTGTACCCCAAGTTGGAGCCTTGCCCACGAGGTCTTGGGCAAGGCACTGACCATGAGCCTTTTGGAAGAGATCCGCCACAAGACTCTCTTGGCGCAGAAGCAGGACAGCTTTGAGTCTGGGTCAACTGGGTCAAGAACCAAGCCACTGGAAACCAGGGATTTTAGGTCAGGTGTTGCAGTGAAAGCTCCTTTTTGGGTCCCAAGTTTGGCACCCAAATCCTTTCCCCTAACAAGCTAGCCCTCAAGTTGTGGTGAAGGGACTGCTAAGTTAGGATCACAACGCCTTGGCTCTGAGCATTGACGGAAGCCACCAGAGGAGTTGGACAGTCTGCTCGCTGTGTTCTGCAGGAGCAGGAAGCCGCAGTAGAAGAGCTCGAGAGGCTGGCCTGGTGAGTTTCAGACTTGCACAACATCATCACATTCATCCCGCAACATGGAAAGGCAATCCCAATCTGCTATGTCAAATGGGTGTGTCTGAAAATGGGGTATACATGGGTATACCGGTATACCCCAAATGACAATTTTAATGTTTTTGATGGGAACATGCTTATTAATCATTGGATTTTGCGATATCCTGTTTCCAAACAAAACCCAAATGATATCACCATCCCAAGCCACAGCCGTTCCAGGGCCATCAAGGGTCGCAACCCCGAAGCCTTGCTGGCTGCTTTGGTAAAGGCCGAGCCGGGTTTGTACATGGGGGATTTACCTTCAATACATACGGCAGTGTTGCGAGAATATGATAGAATATGTAGTTAAGTAGTTGTATAGTTACAGTATACATATATATATATGTGGTTATATGATGTTGCATGATTATATGATGGTTACATACTTATTCAACTATATATATTATATATATAATGGGATGTACAAGCTGGTTGGGTGTGTCTGGGGTACTCTCCCCAGATGGCAATTGAGGAAACAATTCTAGGCGGATTTGGGGCCGCATAGCACAAACCCAGTTGTCAAGGCAACGGCTGGGTCCTGGAAGCAAAGATGTGACAAGAGATTGATGATATTTGTCATAATGATTATATTGATGAGAGGGTTTGTTTAAGGGAAACACAAACCAGAAACCATTTTGCTGACATTTGTTTTTTTCAAACATGAGGCCAATCCAAACACAGGTTGGATTCGGTGTTTTTTTAAACTTCAATCCTATTCTCACCCAGGTTGTCATCTCCGTGTGATGAGGTGAGTTTTTCCAGTTGGACCGCGCGTTGTTGGACGAAGGCAGAAAAGCACTGGATCCTCGGTTTCATTGTGATACCATCAGACATTCTGAAGTGACATGTCCACGTCAATGCCCAGAGAACATCACTAGAACAGGCGGATAACATGAAGATATGGAAGATAGGCAGAAACATCAACCTGAACGTTGCTTTCACTTGTCGAACTATCCGAGGAACACGAGGCGTGATGGCGTCGGTCTGTGCAATGAAATTGCCACCAGGGCACAAACTGGGTGTGGTTTCGCCCTGAATTCATTCCATTGGAATATGGGAATTTGGGGGTAGCCTATTTTCAGAGAGACCCTCTATTTTCCATCTTTTGAGTCTGCAGGAGAAGCGAATGGAAATCATGAAAGGCTTGCATGAAGCCATCAATCTGCGGGAAGTCCCACGTTGAGACCTCACCATGGGTGTGTGGCTGTTGGATATCGAAAGGCTCCAACAAGGTGGAAATTTTCCCAAAAACCTAGTGCTTGAACGCGCAATGAGTCAATGAGGTCTGAGACAAGCAATCAAAGAGGCAGAAGACTTTGGTCTGGACCATGCAGATGATCTTGCAGTACTTGAGGCGGCGCTTCATGTTTTTCGCTTTTTCCCAGCTTTCTGGGCAGAGGAGATGTCCTTGGGGCTTGGCTACCCTACCCCGCCAGGAAGCTGTGACAACCATGCAGAAAGAGCTGTGGCCGCAAGCGCGGGCCGGCTTGACACAGGCACTCCCTGAAATTAAATGGCGCCACGATTTTTCTGCTGGAACATGCCATGCGTAGTTTTTTTTTCCCGATATTTTTAATTCGCAGTGTTGCCAGCATGCTTGAGCAGTTGTTGCCTTGTCACTGCAGAGGTTTTTCGAGAAATCCCCAGGTCTTGGGAAATGTAACAGCTGCGGTTCAACCCAAGATTTGTCCAGCAAACGCATGGCTGAGCCTAGGCAGTTGCGTGTCGGGAAATCAAAAAGCTACAAGATGCTTTGGCAGAGGCAGAACTTGTTGGTTTGGGGCTGAGCTTGAAACGAAAAAAACCAGAAACTGGATCGATTTAGCCAGCACAAATCGTGATTTTTCACCAGTAGAACTGTTTTTTTGCACCAAGCTGCAACGTTGAACACCAGCTTGCATTAGTGGGATGTTGTCTGCAGTAGTTTCTTCTGGATTTAGATTTGAAGCCAATAACGGGAGTGTTTGTCCAAATCGGAGGTAAACCCTGGACTGGACCTTGCAGCAGCTGTGACAGGAACCGAGGATATCAGAGGGTTGTGTCCATGTGGTAAACGCAATTTTTAGTCATCCCCATTTTGTCAGTGAAATCAGTGAAATCGGTGGTTTTCTGAGGCGTCCCCCCACAGACCCCACACATCTCACCTCAGGTCTTCCCACAGAGGAGATGAAACCTGCAAGGCACCTCCCGCGTTGTGTGCTTCAAGAAGGGACGTGAAAAATGGTGGATCAAAATTTGAATCCTGGGCAGAACGCAGAAAAATGGGAACCCATGACTTGAACCATCTTTATTAGGATCTCAAGTCATTTTTACCAAAGCCATGCAGATCGCAGGCAGATTCTCCAGGAGGAGGAAAGAAAGGTTGCAGCCATGGAGGGGCTGAAGGAACCACTACGACTCCGGGCTCCTCGACTGAGAGATGACCATTGCCGACCTGCCGTGAATGGTGGTTCAAAATGAATGGATCCACGCCCCTTTCCACTGCATCAGGTTTTCTAGCAATGTGTGTTTCTAAAAAGCGAAAGTGATGACCGAAATCAAAAAAGGATGCAACCAGGAAACATGTTATATATATATATAATCATATATATATATATATTATTATATATATATATATATTATACTGATAGAACAACAATATAACCACATTTTATAAGTCCAATAGATTTTTTTCGGAGTCAGGCCGAAGCTTGCCGCTCTTTTTGGCGATTCCCTTTTCCGTGGGTCCAAGGACATCGCTGCCATGCAAGCGGCCATTGCGGAAGGTGAAGCCGCAGGTCTCTCGGCAGGTGATTTGGAAGGCATCAAGTGCCTCGGCAGAGAATGGCAATCGGATGAGATGTCCATGGGGCTTGGGAAGAAAAGATAGGTGACCTGGGATATAACATGTTATAACAATTTGGGTTAGATATACAATGATAATATATATATATACACATTGTTTCTCATCATATCATAACCAGACGATATGGGTATATGATCTTGTATAATGGGATACTTTAATGGGATAGAATATAACTATGTTGTATTTGTGGTTTTCCTCAAACTTGATTACTGAATAGTGAATTCAGTATTAGATATGGCATTTGATTTGGGCATGTCATGTCTGAAAGATGGAGGGGAGTCCATGCTCGCCTCAATTGTGGAAGACACGAAGGTACGAACACTCAAGAAAAGTGTATTTGACAAAAACAATTTTGTGATTTTCATTTGAAATGGGAAATATACCCTGAGATGGCTGTTGGGTATGGCTGCAAAACCTTGGGGTGATTTCTGAGCAGGACATTCACTGGGACGGGGAGATAGCAAGGACGGCGCTTGCAGAAGAACAGCGCAAAGCAACTGCTCGTAACTTGGTCAAGATTTCAGGCCCAGATTTTGGTGCACCAAACTAGTATGAACTACACTCTGGTAAACTAACATAACCATGGAAAATCACCATTTTTCATAGGTAAATCAACTATAGATGGCCATTTTCAATAGCTATGTTAGTTTACCAGAGGGTATTCATTTTTATTTGGGTACCCAAATGGTACCCTATTCATTGCCACAGATGTTCCTCCAATGTTGGGTGTTTATCCTCATGAATCCCATCGACTGGACCGGGCTTATGAGGGGGTATTGAAATGATCAGAGGCACCGCTTTGCAGAGCGCAGTGAAGTCCAGAAAGGCCAGGGTGATCGTATGTGACTCATTGCCTTGGCTCAAGGGTGTCAAAATTGCAAGAAATCTCGTGCAAGTGTGAACCCAAGTGCCCAAAAAGGGTTAGCGGTCTAGTAAGCCCCAAAAAGATAGGATCAGTAGTTTACCACTATTTTCCAGTAGTCAGATTTTAATTTGCTATCTTTTTGGGGCTTGCGTGGTTTTCGCAGGTGCCAGAGTTGCAGGCGGCCTTGGAGGACCTCACCTTGGATGGTCAGGATAAGCCCATCCAATAATGGCTTAGTAGTTTGCTAGGGAGAAGTATCTCCAAATAGCCTAGCTCATCTTAGTGAATTATTCTAAATAGATCCGTTTTTTTTGGATGGAACATGTCCATCATGGTCTTCAAAACGACTCAACATCTGCAGGAAGGGGAAGCCTGCCAATTGGAAGGCTCCGAGCTCTATGAGGTCAGGATGGCCCAGACGACGGCCCAGTGTTTTTTTGTCATCCCATCTGGGTCAGACCCCACGGCGATTTTTCGAAAAATCTTGAGATTTGACAGTTGAGTATTGCCTGTGAGATATGGTATCATTTTTGGATTACTTTTTCATACTTTTTCTAGTTGATCTTTGTCGGTGTTCCCCCAGTCGGAATGCTTCACCCTATCCCCGCTGGTTGTTTTTTTTCCATCCCAAGTGTCCTTGGATCCCACTAAAATCCCATTAAGTCCGCGCTAAAAACATCCATAGAAAATAGAAAATCCTCATGATTTATCCCCAACAGATCCCACTAGATCCCATGAAAATCCTCAGTAAATCCCATGAAATTTACGAAATGCCAGAAAATCACCAGGCAAAACGCATCCTGGCAGACGAGCAGTCCAAGATGCAAGCGAGGAGTGCGGTCGAGAAGGCCGCGGCACTGCAAGTCTGGCTGATATGGTGAGTTGTAATTTGTAATCAATGGGCAAAATGGTAACTTATGGGAATTTATGGTAACTTGAGGCACTGCAGTGGTAATTTGTGATCGCAATTTGCAGTCAATGGCTGTTTCTTGCTGAAATTTGGGGTTATAGGATGGGGTAGATGACAATTTTGCGTTAGTTGGGGACGATCATATCTCTTTTCATATTCTCATTATATCACAAAGGTTGTCCCCGTCATTGCCTAAGAGATTTTCTATCCAAAAGCCTTTGATCATGATCATTATATACCATTATTTATCATATCTATTCCATGATATCTGCATGATTGGTTCTTACAATACTGACTGCTTATTGGTAAGCGATGTATGTAGGATTGTATATATATAATTATATATATATATATCTATTACTTAGACATACCTATGGATGATCATGTCTAAGCGATACAGTGGATGCTTACGAAATCCCAGTTGGTAACCATTGGTCACGTGGTCAAGTCATTCAACACATGGCTTATTTTATGGGATTAATGGGATAACATCTATCTCTCTATCTATCTATCTATCTATCTATCTCTCTGTCTGTCCGTCCGTCCGTCCGTCCGTCCGTCCGTCCGTCCGTCTGTCTGTCTGTCTGTCTATCTCTATTTGTCCAGCTATCTATCTATCTATCTAATCTAATCTAATCTAAATCTAAACCTAAATCTAAATCTAAATTAATCTAATCTAATCTAATCTATCTATCAAGCAACCTATCTATCTACCTATCTATCTATATTACTTAGACATACCTACAGGTAACTATACATATATACAGGTAACTATACATATATACTATATATATATATATAGATATATGCATATATATATATATATGTATATATGCAATGTATATATGTATATATTCATGATATATCTATAAGATGTCTGGCCGTGACTCCCCATCCCCGAGGCCACCCAGAGCCGGGAAGTGACCGAGCTCCGCGCCGCGCTGAAGCAGGGCCTGGCCTGGGGGCTGGAGGAGGCGGAGCTGCAAAGGGCCACCTGGCAGAGCCCAGTGGGCGGCAGAGCTGGGTGAACCCATGGTGATTTCATAGGAAAAGCCTATGGGATTTAAATGACTTACCGGAACTATATGAATTAACCTGATGTCTATGATTTGTGGTATGATCAATTTGATGTATATGACTTGAATTTGTACGCCCATGTCCATGATTTTATCAAATTTGCTTTATACATGTGATGTTTCTCCATGTGTTTTCAGTCTCTATGAAATCTGCTGAGAAAATGGTGGGAGTATCCAGCACTGCGTTGGATGGTTGGAACTCCAATTGATAGGGATTTGTATTTGGAAGACCATCTCAATTAGCACATGGTGACCACGGTTGGCATGTTTCCTCAGAGTATCCCACTTGAGAATTGGGTTGAAATCAGAGGTACTCACTACCTACTCTCAGATACGATCAGAATGTAAGTGATAGTGATACCATACGACTTGCCCGGTAGCATGGGCACCAGAAACCGACAAGGGCTCACACTTTCTCAAGCTGCAGGATCCCCAAGTCACATAGGGTACTCCAAAATTTCATGGTTTCTCATCATATTTCCCTGTTCAAAATGGTTATTTGATGGTATACCTGGCAGACAAACCCAATGTCATTTTGTTCTAGATCCCCTTTATTCTTCCTCTTGTTCCGCCCCTCCTGTGATGGCAACCCTGTCTCAAGCCATTATCTTCCCAATATATCATGGTTGATTAAACTGAATTACCCAAGCTTTTCTTGGTTGACTTCAACCCAGGCCCCCCCAAAAAACGAACGAGACTCCCCCCAAAAACCTCAACGACCAAGGCGCGGATGATCCTGAAACAGGCACTGCTATTCAGCGCAGCCAGGTTTTTCACCATGAACATGACATATTTGAGAAGAGGATGAAGTAGCAAAAATGTGGAAATATATATATATATATATAGATATTGTAATTTTTCCTATTGTTTTCTTCTCTGATTTGTGTAAAGGGTCCCTGCTAGTGCAATATGCCCGAATCAAGATGTACAAAACATATATGTATGGGTTTGTCTGAAAGTATGATGCCCCTAAAATCCAATAATTTGTCATTATCATCAAAAAAACAAGTTCAAATGGCTATTTGGGGTGTACTGTATTTTTGGACCAGCCTTTTTTTGTGTTTGCAGTGTTTGCAGGATGTGTTTTCCCCATTCCATGATGGTTTTCCCGCATAATTTCCTATAATTTCCACCATGTTGATGTTAGTTCGATGATGGTTTCCCAATTAGTTCGGTGATGTTTTTTCCCATATAGTTTCAAATTTTCCCATCATTTCCCATAGTTTTCGATTCATTTCCCACATTTTTCAGCATCCTTTTTTGGGCGCGACCATAGAAATTCAACGGCCATACGGCCTGCAGGAAGAGATCAAACTGGAAGCCTTGAGAGCCTTGGAGGATGCCTTGCGCAGCCGTGACATCGAGGACGCTGAAATCCAGGAAGTCAATGGGTTAATAATGGGTTAGTGATGGATTATACCACCTATAAAAATGTGCAACTGGGCAATTGGGGATGGTTTATGACATTATTTTACCACCATTAATAGTCGGTTAGTGACGGATTAATCATATTAATAGTGATTGATGATAGTCAACCCATTTACTATTCATCACTATCAATCCATTGATAATCCATGGGTTAGTGATGGATTAATAGTGATTGGCAATAGTCAATCATCCTTTGGTAGACATGGCTAGCTGGAAAATCCCCGAACTAACTAGAGGTTTATAGCTGGGAAAATCATTGAACTAGATGGGGAACATTTTTTTCAACCCTGATAGCTCATCTGAAGAGTTTGCGAACTGGAAGCCATGGCCCGTTTAGTTCGATGATTTACCGATATTGAATTATTAGACAAGGTTATCTCCAAAGCTATCTTGAATTACCAGAGGGTAGCCTTGAACAAAATACTCCAGAAACCAGGTCGGAACTGGAGTATGGTTGTAGTCTACTTGTGAAACAGCGAGACCATTGACACATAGTCCATGTCTTTGCAACATCCAACAGAATGCCCTCCGGAAATCAAACATCACAATGGGAAAGTCCCCGAAAAAAGTGGGCATTTACCCTCTGGTAATTTAACATAGCTATGGAAAATCACCATTTTTAATGGGAAAATCAACCATTTCTATGGCAATTTTCAATAGCAAACTGTTAGTTTACCGAAGGGTCAATGGGAACAGAAATGGTGGACATCCCATGTTCTGCTGGTTAGTCATCAGCCATTTTCTCGGCCACGGATTGGGAGATATACTGAGCCACACACACACACACACACCCAAATGGGTCATATGGGTTCTATTTACAGACACAAACGCACACACACACACACTATATATATATATATACACATTATATGTAACTTAGTGCCTACAGTATACGCAAATTCATGATATTTTTCTACACACATGCATCTCCCATAAACGTCCCCCCAGTTTTCAGGCGGCGCATGGATCCCAGGAGCTGCAGGCGGCAATCCGACAAGGCCAGAGCTCCAATTTGGACCCATCGCAACTGCGTCCTGCGCGGACTGCCCTGGAAGAGGACTGGGACTTTTGTTGAAGCTTTGGGCGCCTTTATCTGATCAATCATATGTATATATACATATACATATACATACATATATATATATATGCATATATATATATATGCATATATATATATATGTATGTATAGATAGATGTATACACATGATGACATGAATAATCGCAGACACATATCTACACATAGCCATATACAATCATATACATATAAAATATAATTACACAAATAGATATAGGCTATTCTGGGTATTACGAATACAGGTGAGACGACTGAGTTGCCAGGAGCAAAAAAAGCTCGCGGCGAGATCCGGGCTCGAGAAGGCCATCAAGCGTCGGGACATCAACGCGCTGATGAGACTTGAGCCGATTTTCACATGGAAATCCCATGGAAATCCCTACGTCATTGAGGGTATTTTTGGATATTTTTGGGTGCTCCATGTTATTTCGGATCTGGTGAACAATCATGGTCATGATGGTCATGAATCCAAAAAAACATATAATATAAGATGATACCTGTGACAGTGATTTTGGGTGATCTTTTTTGTTCTTTTTTGGATTGATCACATACCATGAGGGTTATACTTATACATAGATGGTTTTAGTATCTGTTATCATTAAGTGATGATAGCAATCTATTGATCATGGTTACACAAAACCACGAGGTCTTGCTATGATATAGGGGTTACTACATACATCATAGCTAATTAAATATGGTTAATAGATATTAACCCCAGTGATATAGGGATACTACATACTTCATATTATATGGTAAATAGCTATTATTACAATGGTCTATTAAGTGGGAACCCCCGGGTTCACCAGACAGCTTTTGACCATCCAAGTTGTTGGTCAATCTGTTTATCATTGACAGTTTATGAAATGCCAGAAATGAAATGCCAATGATATTTTTAGATGTACATTTGAGTCATTTGAGCCATGTCATATCATTGATAAAGATTTGCGGACGGCTTTCGGATGTCCAGAGCTTTGGAGCAGCTTTTTTTGGTTTTGATTTGACCCATGCCGAGGAGAGCCTTGACAGAGGCAGAAAAAGCAGGCCTATCAACAGATGTCGATGAGGACTGGGCCAGCGTTTACTTGGAGGATCGTCCCACTGATCGGGTTCAAAAAGGTCACTGGGATTGGAAAACCTGTTTGTAAAATGGGATACCCAACCTGGTTATGACTAACACTTCGCCATGGTTTTTCGATGGCCCTAATCGAAATAGATGGTTTACCGTTCTTAAACATCCGGTGGATCTTTCCATGGCGAACTGTATCATCCAGCGGGATGATATTCTCCACCCGGAAAGTCACTGAGTAGCTTGGTTTCAACGTCCAAAAAAATGTTTGCCGATCAAAAATGGGCTTGTCTGAAAATTGGGAATCCCTACAACCTCATTTTGAGGCATGAAAGTCCGCCCTAAAATCATGAGCAAGGGGGTTTTCCCCACAATTCTCATGTATTTTCCGCTAGTTCCCATGGTTTTTCCATGGTTTTCACCCAACATTTACCATTTCTCATCTTGGCAGGAGATGCGCGTGGCAAAGGAGACCCTAGCCACCGAACAGGCCAAGGCTGCGTCAAAGGAGCAGTTGGCGAAAGCAATGAAAGACCTTTGCTACGCGACTCTGCTGTCGTCATTGCTCGGTTTTTTTGGCCACATGGGGATCAGCATGAAAAATTGGACCCTCAAAATATGGGAAAAAAATAACTTATAACTATGATAGAACGCAGATAAAGGTCTGGAATGTCGCTGGCAGAAATTATATATTCCTTTCGTTGGGCCCCTGCCCCGTGCCCCGTGCTGAGTGGTCTGTGCAAGATGGTTTACTGAGGATACCATTCCAGCTCTGCGCGAAGCAATTCAAGAAGCTGCAACTTGTCATGACGGGAGTGGTTCAACCAGTAAAACACATGGGGTTTCAGAGGCTATGAATGGGGAGAGTTTATGGGATAAGCTGACAATTGGGAGATATCACCAACTGTACCTTTTCAACATGGGTGTGTTTGAAAATGGTGCATGAACCAGCGATTTGTAGCTATTTAATCGGAGAATGATGATTAAGCAGTGGATGGAATCGGGTACCCTACTTTCAGACAAATCCAAATTGTGGGCCGCACCATATGGACTCCCTACTGAAAAGGCCTTATCTTTGTTTTTTTAGGTGGCTTTCCCATTCAGGACCCCCTTTCATAGCTATCAACTAAATTATTCCCAATTACTGGAATTCAGTGTTTGATCGCCCTTTTTCCAACAACGGAAGACCCACCGTGGAACGCTCAGGAACTTCAAGGGCTGGATGCAGTCCTAGTCGACCCGGCCAAAGCGAAGCTGGAGACAACCGAGCGGCAGTTGGCTGCGAAGATTGAACTTCAAGATGCTTTAGCCACTCGCGGCTTGGCGCTGTGGATGCTGCTCCATGCTGCTCCTATCAATGCTATCATGCAACTTCTTGCCTGAAGATGCGGCCTTTGCATTGACGACCGTCTCACATTTATTCAAATTTGGGCTTGTCTGAAAATAGGGTACCCCACAATCTCATGGTTCACTAGCCACAACTTGCGGCAAAGATTCCCCCCGTGTTTGCAAGAAACAGCCATGGCATGTCCAAGGTGGTATTTCTGAGCTGGCTTCCGCCATTAGCAGTGCTGAAGCCGCAGGCCAGCCGAAGTGGGAAGGTGATGATAAACCACTAGATTCAGGGGTACCCTCTGGTAATTTAGCATAGCTATTGAAAATCACCATTTATAGTGGATTTTCCCATTGAAAATGGTGATTTTCCATAGTTTTTTGTATGTTTACCAGAGGGTAGTCTCTATTTCAGACCACTTTTGGCTCCCAGTGTAGCCATCAGGTCTTCATTCAGCGGATGAACACCTGGCAGAAGCCCGCAGAACACACGCGGATGAGAAGAGACGTGTTAAAGCCCAACAAGGTGCGGATGCTGCCAATAGGTCAAATATTACCCCTAGGGCAACCGCAAGTTTTGGGACTAGCATGAAAGTATATGGGAGTCTCCTATTTTAGACCAGAAAGAATTGAAAGAACCATGATGTGCCAGTGACTCTCAGGACTCTTCGATGCCGTGCAAAGCCGAAACATTGAGCAGTTGCACAAGGCATATCTTCAATGTGGAGCGTGAGACATCCCTTGAATTTGCCCTTGATAGGCTTCCAGTTCCCTTGATTTGTGGATCTACTGGTATAGTATAGTGTCTCTCCCGAGATTCAAGGATCTACTGGTCAGCAAGAAAGCAGGGGGAAAGCCCGGCAGATCTTTCACCTAAGTTTCTAAGCCAGGGAATCGGCTGGTAATCCAATGTGGCAACGGGACATCCCGTATAAATGGATGGTTTAATGGGAACTCATCTATAAACGGCGGAGCGTCCATCGCCAGAGGGTGACCTCACAGAAAGTTCCGCCAAAAGATCATCCAAAGCGTCACAGTTCATCCAACCAATTCCAAACATCTCATCCAAATATCCACCAATCAAAATCTACCAGCCAATCAACATCTACCACTATAAAGCATCATCAAAAATCATCCAAAAATCTACCCATCCATCAACCAATCCTCCCAAGATCCATCAACCAGGCCCTGGAAGAAGGCAAGGTCTGCTCCCTCAACGAGGACGACCTGCGGGAGGCCAACGATGTGCTGATGGAAGAGCTGCGCAAGGCGATGGCTGAGACATCATGGGCATGGTTGGAAGGTTGGAATGGGTTAGCACCTCTAGTTTTTAACATGATTTTTGGATATTTTTGGATGATTTTTGATGATGTTTGAGGATTTTTCATGATGTTTCATGATTTTTGGATTTTTGATGATGGTTTGATGATGGTTTGATGATGGTTTGATGATGGTTTGATGATTTTTCATGATGTGTCATGTTTTTTGGAGTTTTTTTTGATGATGTTTGATGTTTTTTCATGATGTTCCATGATTTTGGGATGATTTTTGATGATTTTTCATGATGTTTGATTCAATGTTTGATGATTTTGGATTTTGTTTGATGATTTTCATATCTTTTTTGGGGATGAACATCTATAAGAACCAGCTATTTTGCTTCAGCAAGGTATCAGGACTTTACAGGGGTTGGTTACTTGAAGGGTTTATTCGGTTAAATAATTTTGTGGTAAAAGTCGCGAAGAATAAACTATGCCCAATCCACCATCCTTTTATCACTTGGGAGGTGTTTTACACATTGAGCAGCTTCCACTGGTGGACCAGGATTTCAACAGAGACAAACCCATACCATCAGCCTCGATCCCACATCTTTGTTTTTTTTTTACTGGCAACAAAAAAGGATGGAAACTAAAACACATACCACTTTTTTACCTTAACCCAACAAGTCAGAAGCAACTTCAACTGGGCACGACTCAGCTGCAGGCCAATGCACGCGAAGGGCTGCAACGGGCGACCTGGAGCCGAAGTGCCTGGAGCCGAAAACTTTATGGAGCTGGAGCCCAGGGAGTTTTTTGAGATATTTTTTTTGGGGTATTGAAATTATTGAAACTAAAGAACCGGCTTGGGACTCCCTGATTTCATACATAAGAGCAATGGCCATCTGGTGAACATTCTGGTGAATTTTTATGGATGGGGACTTGCAATTTTTGGACTTTAAACAAATGGTCTCAGATTCGGGCAAATCATTTTGTCAGCAGGGATCGGTCAAAATTACCCTCTGGTAAACTAACATAACTATAGAAAATCACCATTTTTAATGGGAAAACTCACTATAAATGGTGATTTTCCATAGTTTTTTGTATGTTTACCAGAGGGTAATGACCACCCAAACCCCTCAATGGACGGTGGCTCCAGCACCAAGGTATCCTGGACCTTCGCTCCGCCATCGCCGAAGCGGAGGATGCAGGGGTGGATGAAGATGAAACCATGGAAGCAAGGCACGTGTTTTTCATGGTGCCGAACCGTGGTTAAAATTTCGCATTTTCACAAGAACATATGTAGACAGATCACATAGCAACCTTCAAGGAGATATATACTGTATATATATATATATACATATAAATATGTAAAGAACAATCCTACCCATAATATAATACAAGAACAAGTATAGCCCCAAGTGATGTATTAGAAGATAACATGCTACCAATACTTTGGTAGTTTTTCATGGACCCTGCCAGGCAGATGTTGGGCATCGAGGAGGGAAAGGAGGAAGCACGGAATGGCTTGGAGACAGCTGTCCAGAGCCGAAATGTGGAGATGTTGGAAGATGCTTTGGAGGAGGCCAGTTGCTGCTGGCCCTCCAAACAAATATGTTAAAAAAAGTGGCTTCTTCTTCTTCTTCTTGTTGTTGTTGTTGTCGTGGTGGTGGTGGTGGTGGTGTTTTTTTCTTCTGTCTTTAAGTGGCCTTGATGATAGTCGTGTGTTCAATGCAGGCGTCCACAACTTTAGAGTATGGCCCTGATCCTGCTGGCAAGTTCATTTCGGAATGTTTGAGAAATTTATCAATCCCAATTGCTGTTGGCTAATACTAAGGTTTAGTAATGGATAGTAATGGTATGTATTGGCTAATGATGGTTAATAATTGTTAATAATGCTTGATAATGGTTGATACTGGTTAATCATGGTTAATAGTGGCGAATGGTTAGCTCAAATGTATATATGTATAATATATGTATACATCTATTAACTATTTCAAAGCATTTGCAACCATCATTGTTTGATCCTTCAGGCAGATCGTTGCGGCCTTGTCCCCAAAGAGACAGAGACGGCAAGGCCTGCCTGGAATTCAAAAACGGCGCCGGGCCTTGGAAATTGAGGGGAAGACACCGCAGAATTTGATGGTTGATCAATGTCGATCACCATTTTCAGGCACAGTCACGTGTTGTTTGCTGGATAGGTTGGCAACCTCATGTCACCGTCATCTTTGATCCAAGTCCAGACTGTGACAACAGCTTAGCTAATGAAGAAATTACCACCCTGAGGGGTATAACTGGGGTTATAGCCCATTGAAAAAATGGGAGAATATACGACTCGGAGACTGACTCACCAGGGTTACGACATGCTATTAACCACTTGCGATTTGTGGGATAATCTTCCCCACAGGCCATCAAAGCAATTTATCATTCCCTGTGGGAGAGTTCCTGGCAGGCAAATTCTTGCGGAGGAGCAGCGGAAATTGGCTGCCTTGGAGGGTCTCAACGAGGCAGCACTTGGTGTCTTACCACCCGCCAGGCTGCTTTTGCATGTGGTGTGTAATATATGATATAAAATTTCTGAGATATTATATAGATGTAACCTGTACTGTATATCCATATGGCAGTGTGTCAAAACCTTGTACCCCTGGTGAACATCAAAATAGCTGGTAAATGGATGTTCATCCCACGAAAAATGTATCTATAGGTATTGATCCATAGCCATATATTGGATTCTCTAACACATTTATTCATGTGCAACAAATGTACACATTGCAGCTACCTCGCAGCTGGAGGCCATTGCCAGCAAAGACATAGCAGCCTTAGAGGCAGCGATTCTGGAAGCCCAGCAGGCTGATTTGGATGCAACAGCCATTTGGCGATCCGTAGAACGGCCGATGTCTTTTAATGGTTTATGATCGTAAAAGGATGGTTTTGGATGGATTTTGGAGGATTTTTGATGATGCGTCATGATTTTTGAAGCAAACCAGCGCAATTTCTGGGCTTGTCCCTTTTGAAACCATTATACCCTGGTTACATGCCCAGTATTTTAGTGGGACACATTCCATTTTGTGTACCCAATTTTGACCCAAATCCTAATACTTTGACACGGTTGATAACCCAAAATCACAAGGGGCCACATGATGCTTGGTGAATTTGTTGATATATGATAAGTGGATCACTGGCTCAAAAAAAGATAAGAATCTCTTGCCGATCGCAAAGGAAGTCGACACTGCAAAGAGCTTGCTGGAGTTGGAATTGCAGAAAATCGCCTTGTGGAAAAGGCTTGAGAAGGCACAACAACAAAGGCTGGATCGGACTTCCGGACCCACTACCTTCCGTTGGACCTTCCGTCCCTGCAACAATTTCCTGAGGTGTGTTCCCCAGCCAAGAAGTCAATTCGAAACGCTCAAACCAGAGGTTTAATGGAATTCACCAGAGCAGTTCCATAGATTCATAGACCTGTTCATTCTGTTCTAAATGCAATGTACAATTTCAGTGCTCCAAATGTTTCGTTGACGCCAGGGTGATCAACGAGTTGCGCGATGCTTTGTCTGCAGCCATGAACCTGGGCTTCAGCCTTTCGGAGAAGCTTTGCTGCAACGAGTCCTTTCGGGCTGCTGTTGGCATCACAATGTGGTGCCGTAGAGCTATAAGTTGGCTTATAATTTTTACCATATAACTTCCGAGATATCTAGCTAGCTTATGCCATATCATAAACCCTGATCATATCTGATGATATTCTTGATAAACCAACTTCCTCTGGGGAACCAGCTTGTGGTAAGGCTCGCACCGGCACAATCAGTTCTGAAAGAGGAAGAGAGGAAAGAAACCGCGCGCGAAGCTTTGGCAGAGGCGGTCTCTGATCCAGACGTCGCCACGCTGCCTGACAGAGTGACCGCCGGGGACCGCTGGGTGTGCGGAATTGTTGGGATCGTCTCTCCAACTTGATCTGGGATGCTTCCAACAACAGGTATGATGGCCTGGGCAAGAATGTCAATTGTCAGTATATTATATAATTATATATACTTTTATATGAGCCCGGTCCCCGGACCCCCACACCCCCCAATGGTATCCCCCCCCACTCCTAACCCCCCCACCCCCCCAAAACCTAGTATTTGCATGTTATTTGCACATATACATACACATATACACATATATACTCCCCTTTCCACCCCTCCAACCTCGCATCTCTACGTTATTTGCAGCACTTGAGAGCCACGACCTCGTCAACGGACCTTGTCTACCTGTATATTTCTATCATAACCTTTTTTTCGAACCGCCTATAGCGTGCCTCGCACATGGTTTACAACATATTTGCTACCTATGGATTACGCAAAGCTTACCTATGCAAACCTAGACATATGTACAGTAGAAAAACAATAAATACATATATATATATATGCACATTCTAGATACTACAGATTGATATCTTGATCTTGTATCTATCACATATTTCGTTTACATTGTACATACTGTACACGTATATATATATGTATATATATATATATATACATATATGCATATATATATATATGTATATATATATGCATATATATATACATATATATATACATAAACTCTAGATATACAGCGTGTATTGCTGTCGATATTCAATATACCACATATACTATGTAAAATTTATTCAACGAACATATTTACCTATATTGTATATATTACATCTACTGTGGATACAGTACATGTGGCATATACTATCTATATTCTATCAAAAACCACATATACGATGTATATATATTTATGTGTGTGTTCAATATATATATATATATATGTGTGTGTTCAATATATATATATATATATGTCAAATATATATATATATATATTATAAATATATATAGATTGCATATATTCTATTTATATCTTACATATTATATATATGTTTATATATAAATATATATACACTACACATACACTCTATATTACATATAGTATATCCATTCTAATTATCGATACATATGCATTATATGCACTATAAAGACTACATACACCATGGCTTGGCTGCTGAGAAAACCCCCCCTCCCCTGCCACAGGGGGGGGGAACCATCTGGCTGGGTGGGGGGGGGTGTGGGGGTCCCTGCTCACATATATATATATATATATATACGGGGGTTAAAATAGGCGATACCCCATTACCAGCCATTACCCCCCCCCAAGAATATTTCGGCTACTTCCAAAAAAAGGAAAACTTATTGCTGACCTGGCCACTATGTACCCCATGGATTTTGGCTATTTCCAAAAAAGGGAAACCGCTCGTGGAACTAGCCATTTCTATCCATGTAATATAATGAACCATAGCGTGAAAATCAGCCAGCAGTTCGATGGTTTTCGCAGCTAAAACCTAACCTCCATGGTTACTTCGACCATTTTCCCACGAACCAATGTTGGGAACGGTCCCGAAATGCACCCCATGGTGCCCCGTGCCCCCCTGACCCCCGAGGTTGGAAGCTGCCCTAAAGGAGGCCGTAGACTCGGGCCTTATGGAGGAGGAGATGGTAGCCGCCAAGGTGCAAATCGAAGATGACGTCAGGGGCGAAATGAAGAAATGTGTGGAAAATATGATCAACCCGCCCTAGTTTGTTAATATTCTTGGAGTTTAGTAACATATAACTACAATTAGAGCATAATCGTAGTTATTACATGTTATTACCATACTAAGTCAACTGATTCTCATTTTTTGGATATCAAAAGCGATGAGCCATGTGTAGTTTTTCAATGTGAGTTATATCCAGTAGTCATGGCCAACTGGGGCTGGGAGGTTCAATTTTTCCGCCTCAGGATGCCTTGCAGCTTGCACAACGTTTGGTGGAGACCCGAAATGACTTGGAGTCTGCGGTGAAAACTCGGGATCCAGCCAGGCGACTTCGGCTCTGAAAAAGGGGGGATTTTTTTGCACCAAAAGTGGCAGAAAAAAAGGGGCAGAAAATGATGACTCATGGGATTTGGACAAACTCGGACTTCTCTGTTTTCAGTGAAACTATGTGACTATGTGGCTTTATTCATATCAAAGTGAGACTTTGGGCATACCGGGCAAACAATAGGGGGATGGTAAACGCATCCCAGAGACGGAGAACAGGGGATGGTTTACTATGGTTTATTACGTTCAACATATTATGCATATAATGTATATATATATAAATACACGGATTATCCACTAGTATTATTGTCAAAAAATGTATCAAAAGCCATGCCATGAGAATAATACTTACGATTACTGTGATGTAGTCTATTATTGTTATTATTATTATTACTATTGTTATTACTATTGTAGTATACTATACTGACAATGATCACCAGTATCATTTTTACGTTTTTAGTGCTACTACATCCCCTATCATTCATATTGTCAGCACAATATTATGTATCCCCTATCAAAATGGTTATTACCATTATTCTTACCATTCATATCCTTATGAATATCATTCATTTCAGTTTCAGTTCATTTGTTTATTCAGGATTTTCCTCATTATCCTTATTCTCCCAAACAGGCCTATTATTATTATTACTATTATTATTATTATTGTCGTCGTCATCATCACCATCATCATCACCATCATCAAATATCAACAGCCATTATCAACAACTAATATCAACATCATCTACATCAACGACTAACATTACCGTTTTCATAGCATCTTACTGATGACATCCGGAGGCTCATGGCGGCCATCGAGAAAGGCCAGAGCTGCGGCCTGGAACGCCACGAGTTGGAGCCGGCGGAGGCGGTGCTCAAAGAGGCGCCAGCCCGGGGAGCCCGGGGAGCCCGGGGAGCCCGGGGAGCCCGGAACGTTTGGATGGTTTATTTCATGGAAATCCTATTGAAATGGATGATAACTAGGGGTATTGCCCTCTGGTAAACTGTTGCGAACTGGAAAGATCCACCATTTTAAATGGGAAAATCAACTATTTCTATGACCATTTTCAATAGCAATGTTTGTTTACCAGAGGGTAATATATATATATATATGTTAGTTGTTGATAATAGTTTCTGATATTTGATGATGATGATGATGATGATGATGATGATGATGATGATGATGATGATATATATATATATACTACTACCACTAGGCTTAAGTCGTATCAATCGACCTGAAGTCGTATCACACCTGCGTGCGCGCAGTGTTTCGTATAGATTTTGATAGTTCTTTCTTTGATGGGTTATTGATTCGAACACTTTTTCATCGCTGTGCGCAATGTGTTGTTGACATGATTCTATTTGACCCTACTAGCCCTAGCGTTAAGCCTCCTGCTGCTGCCTCCTGCTGCTGCCTCCTGCTGCTGCCTCCTGCTGCTGCTGCTGCCTCCTGCTGCTGCTGCTGCTTCCTCCTGCTGCTGCTTCCTCCTGCTGCTGCTGCTGCTGCCTCCTGCTGCTGCTGCTGCTGCCTCCTGCTGCTGCTGCTGCTGCTTCCTCCTCCTCCTGCTGCTGCTTCCTCCTCCCTCCTCCTCCTGCTGCTGCTGCTGCTTCCTCCTGCTGCTGCTGCCGCTGGTGCAAACATTTCGCCGAAAAAGAAAATTACAGTCTCTGTCGCCTTGTTTGGCGCTGGCGGGAGATACGGGCGGGAGACGCAAGCAGAGAGAGGGAATGTTTACAGAAGGCAGAACTTATGAAACATTCAAGCAGAAGCGGATGTTGACAGCGGTGTGCCACTGGGTTTTCAGATTTTAACGTTGTTGATATGATGATGTTGCCCATAGCTATTACATGGAAATCTATGTTTGTTAGGAAACAAAGTTAAAGATCTGGGAGGCCGTGTGCCATGGTGATTCCTAAATATATCCTTTGAAAACATAGTTTAAACATATGTGAATACCTCAGTGTGCGCAATGTTTTCTTCATTTTTGGAGATATAACAACATTCCTTGAAAGCCGGTGTGCCATTGGGATTTTGATATTTTGATGTGACTTTTGCCCAGTTGATGTGACTTTCTTCCAACTCGCTGTTACATGGGGTTGATGTGACTTCTGCCCAACTGATGTGACTTAAACCCTTCGCTCGTATTGTGAATATAATGCAAGCCAGGTTGCACCCCAAGTACATGTATATATATATACGTATATATTATATAATCGCATTATATAAACATATGATGTTTTTTGAGATACATTATGTAATCAGCAAAGAAAGGAGACATTACAAAATCATATGATATAATCATATGATATAATGTGGGAAAAACAATAATAAACCACCCATGACTGGGAATGGTAACCATACCACCAATAAAAATGGTGATTTGGGGATGGTTTATTATTGTTTTACCCACATTAATCATATTCGATATGATATCAGTTTGATTTCATATTAACTGATTTGTAGGAATCATTCATTTTGTAGGATTCATGATTAGTTTGACTAAGGGAACATTTTGAATCATATGGCTGATTAGGATCATATTTTCTGATTCATGAACGATCAGCAACTTTGTAGGATTCATATTGCTGATTCATGAAGTGATGAAAAAAACATGGCACCGGTTGTTGAAGGGGAATTTCCGGTTGAACAATTACGGGCAACGAACCGATGTGATCGCAGGCTCGGGTCGAGCAAACCAGAGAATCGCTCAAGAGGGCCATCAACGAGCAGGTTCATTGTCAACGAGTGTTCTAAAGTGTGCAAAACAGATCCCTGGGATCCCTGAATTCGGAGCGGGTCAAATCTTAAGACCATTCTTTCAATCAACCCGCTCGATTTTTTGTTGGCACCAAGACAGGCTGCTACCATGGGAGATAGTCGAATGGTCGCATGGCATGATTTTGCCCCACTTCTTTCAGGACGTCCGGGCGCTTTTCCGCGCCGTTGCAGAAAGTGAAGCTGTTGGTCTGGAACCAGAGGCCTTGCAGTCTGCCATGTGGCCGGCAGATGTAAAGGCTTAGAGCTGATCTTTGCCTGTGCCAGGAGTATGCAGGAGTATCATAGGGGACATTTCGGATGACAGGAGGTCTACTCTATTCTAGTCACTCTCAGAACCCTTTAGGACCCTACATCTATCTTCATTACAACCCCATTTTTCCATGTCTTGTAGGGCCCCCCCTGGAAAACAAGCCCAGCGGCCCAGCGGCACAGGAATTGGATGAGGCGAAGCGTGTGCTGGAAGAGGAAGCAGCATTGGCCACTAAGGTGCACCGGATGGAAACACCAAAAATCGGGCTTCGCATCATTTTTTTTGTAGAATGACCATACATTTTTGGGAACCTTGACATTTTTTGAATATTGAAAAGGCCTGTAAAATTTGGGAGACCGGAGAATTACCCGAGCTCTTCATCACACTTTTCTTCTGGGTGAGTCTTCCATTTCGTTGATTCAACACCCGCGAATGAGTCAAATCCACCGTGCTGCAAGGTAAGCCAGTAAACCATATCGTTGGTGAAATTCCTGGTGTACTCATATTACACTGGGGCTCCCAATTGTTTTGAAGTGACACCCCAATTTTAGAGAAAATATGGGCTAAATTTTGCTGGGAAGCAACACTTCGAAGCTTCCTAGTTTAATTGGTTAAACATTACCGTTTGGTTATTTAATGTAGCTATGGAAAATCACCATTTTGGATAGGTAAATCATCATAATCCCTCTATAAATGGACCATTTTCCATAGCTATGTTAAATAGCCAGAGGGTAACATCTATTGAACTGCAACTTTTGCGGGTTGAGTCCACCAGTTGGAGCCTCCCCCCGCTCTCAAAATCATCCTTTTGGTGGGTTACCTAGCTGACAATGGCATCTCCTTGAATTGGCTATTGAAGCCATGGATTCAACGGTAGATATTGAACCAAATCGAACTATTGAGTATATATGGTTGGCTAGATTCCCATGAAATCTCCATATTAGACTTGATTTACCACAATTTTCCTTGGATATGTATATATATATCTATATATGCATACTGCATGTTGACTCACACGCACACACTATATATGTATATAATATATGTATATGCATGTTTTTATAAGCCAAATGTTGAGTTGTGGCTTGGGCTGGTAGTTAGGGATCCTTGGTGCCCCTTGTGGGTGGCATCATCACTATAGCATGTGGGGATGCCACCACCCTGCCCCAAACCACACTTGGACCATTGGACGAATACCTCGTGAACGCAGGCGTCGAGCTGTTCGATTTTCCCCCTATCTACTGTATATTCCATCTACATCTATGGCCCATGGCCCATTAAAATCCATTCAAGCGTCATTAAACTCCATGCCAATTCCATTAAAATTCCTTCAACTGTCATTCAACTCCATTCAAAATCCATTCAAACATCCATCAACAATCCATTCAAACTCCATTAAAGCATTTCCTTCCAAAATCCCTCAAACATCCATTCAAACGGCATCAAAGTCCATTGAACATCCATTCAAACCGCATTAAGATCCATCAAAAGCCATGCAAAATCCATGCAAAGTCCATCAAACATCCATTCAACAATCCATCAAAATCCAAAGAAGATCCATAGAAATTCCATAAATCCATAGAACATCCAGAACATCCATAGAACATCCATAGAACATGCATAGAACATCCATAGAACACCCATAGAACATCCATAAATCCATACAACATCTATTCAAATCCCTTCAAACAACCATTCAAACATAGAAATTCCACGGAAAAGCCATCGAAAAACCATCAAACAAATCCATGGAACATCCCATTTTGCCTCCGGCAACGGCAGGATGCGGAGCATCGCCTAGAGAGGCGGCAGCTGCTGCTGCCGGCGGCGGAGCTGACCTTTGAGGTGGCGCGCCCTGCGCTAGACGCGGAGGTGCTGTCCACTGACAAATGGGTGGCTCAAACAGCTTATACATATATTATACATATGTCTATATGTATGTGTACATTATATTTAGATGAATGAATAGATAAATAGATAAGTAACCAACTAGACTTAAATTTTATTACACGGAAACTACAACTCAGTGAAGAAATACGAATGAATAAACCAACAAATACATCCCATATTACGTACCTTTTTTGGGATCTCAATCACCAACCGCTTCATCCCTAGCCCCGCTTCAGGGCTATGGAGGCTTCGATTGGAAAGTCCGTGAGAACATCGCCTTTAGCACGGTGGCGGTGGGGCAAGAGCTGGCAGCAGCTTTGGAGAAAGCTTGGTTCACCAAGAAGTCGAGTCTTGGTGATAGGATTACTATGGGATAACCATGGAGAAGTGGATAAACCATGGGGACTTATTGGGAAATCATGGGTGTGTAAAACTTAAAAATGGGATGTCTGTGGATTTACAAACAGTTATGTGGTTGACGGGTTGTGGCTGGTGGTAAACCATGACACTTACTGTATTGGGATTTAAAGGGATTCTAATGGGGATTTTTCAAGATGTTGTAAGGTGTTTCAAGGAGGTGAAGGTGGGCGAAATTTGATTGTTGGATGTTGACAGTGTTGGTATCAATAATCCTAGAAACTGAGTCACCCATCATTTTTTTTTGATCTTGCTATATTTATATCCAATGAGCTTGTCAGACTTGGGCCAAATTATCACCAAAACGGGGTACAGTACTGCAATCTGCCTTACGTGGCAGTGGGAACTTCTCATGTTTTTGAACAGAACAAATCCTCTAGACATGACTGGGTCTTCAGGTGCCATGGTAGAGTACTGCAGAGTGGTTTTTGCCGAAAGTTGTATTGTACATTTTTCCTCATCAGTTCTAGAATGTTTTAGATGAATTGGCATTTCTTGTAGATTTCCGGTAAAAAAAGTAGATTTCCGTTGCCAATTTTGCTTTGCTTTGGCAAATCAAGGAACATCTTAGACGAGCTTTGCCAAAACCTCCACAGCTGCCACATGTCATCGATAGGGAGACTTTGCAAACCTGAAGAGCCTTGGCTTATCCTGATGTCGCCGTTTTTTTTTCATATGAACTGCAATCCAACAGTCAGATTCTATGAGGATTTTTCTGTGAAGTGAACTGTTGACCATTGGACAACAGGCAACTTCAGGTGACCCCTTTTTGAGTGGGGAGAAGTCACCCCTAAGTGGCTGCCTGAGGCTTTGGACAAACATGTCTTATTGAAACTGGGCCGAAAGCTTAGCATATTTGACTTGGGACCACAGTGATCCCGCTGTGATGCTCGGCGAAGCGGCGAAGCTGAGGCCTCGACCTGAAGATGGAGTGTGATACGAGCGAAAATTGGGCAAGCTCACCAATCGCCCTGGCAGCTATGCTGTTTTACACACAGCAACTGAGAATGCAGATCCAAAGTGCTGAGCATTGACGCTGGAAATCTAAGATTCTAAGCCTTTCGGTTCTCTCATTGATGGCGCACTTCTGAATGTCAGGCAAGACGTTGACATTGACCGGGCCTTGCTTTTCCCGGACTGTCCATCGTCAATGGTGGCCGCTCAGTTGTTCAAAGAACGCAAGGAGGCATCGGATCATCTGTTTCGCAGACGAAGCGTTTTGTTCATGTACATGGAATGTGTGGACAAGTGAATCAATGAACAATAAGTGTGTGTATATAATTATATATATATATAATTATATATGTGTATATATATATATATCTGTATATATATATGTATAATTATGATATACTGATACATCAATATCTATATCTAATTCTATTACCTATAAACTGTTATATATATATATTATAGATATTTAATATTACATCTATCACTCACCCGTCCAATCCTTGTGGCCGAAAGGCCTACGATGCGTACCGCACGCGCACTTCCGCCCTGGGTGCGCGCAATCCGATGCTCTTCAGCGAGGCCCGGAAGCGACCACGGTGGACCAGGATTAGATGAAATAACATAACATATATATATATATGTATGTATGAATTTATCATTATGTATGTATGTAATGTAATGTAATGTAATGTAATGTAATGTAATGTAATGTAATGTAATGTAATGTAATGTAATGTATGTAATGTATGCAATGTATGCAATGTATGTAATGTATGTAATGTATGTAATGTAATGTATGTAATGTATGTAATGTATGTAATGTATGTAATGTATGTAATGTATGTAATGTATGTAATGTATGTAATGTATGTAATGTATGTAATGTATGTAATGTATGTAATGTATGTAATGTATGTAATGTATGTAATGTATGTATGTATGTATGTATGTAATGTATGTATGTATGTATGTATGTATGTATGTATGTATGTATGTATGTATGTATGTAATGTATGTAATGTATGTATGTATGTATGTATGTAATGTATGTAATGTATGTAATGTATGTAATGTATGTATGTATGTAATGTATATAATAATGTATGTAATGTATGTAATGTATGTAATGTATGTAATGTATGTAATGTATGTAATGTATGTAATGTATGTAATGTATGTAATGTATGTAATGTATGTAATGTATGTAATGTATGTATGTGTATGTATGTATGTATGTATGTAATGTATGTATGTATGTATGTATGTATGTAATGTATGTAATGTATGTAATGTATGTAATGTATGTAATGTATGTAATGTATGTAATGTATGTAATGTATGTAATGTATGTAATGTATGTAATGTATGTAATGTATGTAATGTAATGTATGTAATGTTATGTATGTATGTATGTATGTAATGTTACTGTAATGGTAATGTTATGTAATGTTATGTAATGTTATGTAATGTGATGTATGTTATGTATGTATGTATGTAATGTATGTATGTATGTAAATATGTATGTATGTATGTATGGTATGTAATGTATGTATGTATGTAATGTATTCATGGATGTATGTATGTATGTATGGTATGTATGGTATGTATGGTATGTATGGTATGTATGGTATGTATGGTATGTATGGTATGTATGGGATGTATGGTATGTATGGTATGTATGGTATGTATGGTATGTATGGTATGTATGGTATGTATGGTATGTATGGTATGTATGTATGTATGTATGTATGTATGTTGGTATGTATGGTATGTATGGTATGTATGGTATGTATGGTATGTATGGTATGTATGGTATGTATGGTATGTATGGTATGTATGGTATGTATGGTATGTATGGTATGTATGGTATGTATGTTATGTATGGTATGTATGTTATGTATGGTATGTATGTTATGTATGGTATGTATGTTATGTATGGTATGTATGTTATGTATGGTATGTATGTTATGTATGGTATGTATGTAATGTATGGTATGTATGTAATGTATGGTATGTATGTAATGTATGGTATGTATGTAATGTATGGTATGTATGTAATGTATGGTATGGTATGGTATGGTATGGTATGGTATGTATGTATGTATATATATTTATATGTACATAGAATGATAACGATTATATGTATATAGTGATATATATATATAATACACGTATAGAATGACATCTATAATGATACTATAGATATCATCGATCTTAGTGTCAGAACAGTTTTTTTGGCCCACGAGATTCCATGGCTATTCTGACCCAGGTCAGTCATGTGGCGACAGCAGTGCTGCAGTCTGCTCTGCGTGGTCTGCAACAGGTCGCGCGTGACAGCGTCTGATTTCTACCTGCAAAAGCCTGGATGCAAACACTAGGGGAGCAACGTTTTGATCCATAGCCACAACTGGATGAGTCGTAAGAAGTATCTTGCTGCTCCGTCTTGCAACATTTCACTGCAAATGATAGGCCCTACCAGAAAATACCCAAACAATTTCTCTTAACTGCCAAAAAACCAAAGTTCTGAGCCTCAGGTTCTAACCCCATGCTATTAGTCTGGTGTTATAACCCCATGCTATAACAAGTATATATATGTATATGTATAGTTGTAAGTCCGAATTAAGAAACCCTGGTTGATTTAAAATCGGGGGGAACTTCCCCGAAATAGTGACAATCTGCTACCAAAATGGTACCACCAATTTTTGTGTTAGCAGCCCCCTAGTGTTTTAACGAAATCCTGGCTCCACATTATATGGTTACTGGTTTCATTTCTTTATATTTTTTCAGCCACACATGGAATGATGGTCCTTAATGTTTTGAGAACGGTGGCCACCAGCCAGATTTTTCAGTCATTGTAAATGCCATGTATTTTTCATGGTAAAACCACCATTCTTGATGGGAAACCATCCCTTCATGGGTGAAACCATTGCTTTTCATAGGTAAAAACTAAAAACCCGATATGGCAGTGTGTCAAAACCATAGGTAACCCCTGTAGTTCACATCAAAATAGCTGGGATTTATGGAATCTCATCCCATTAAAAATGGTATTTTCATAGGTATTGATCCATACCCATATTTTCGATATTCCCACGATATTTGCCACATTTGCCACTTCCCCAATGACTGTCCCCATGAATTTCCCAGCCACTTTTTCCGTTCGAACCCTGCGATGGTCGTTATGTTCAGGCACCTGATGTCACCACCGAGCGACCTTTGCAGAAGTGGGTCAAGACGGCATGTTTGTTGAGCCACCTGGACGAAATCTTACAAAACCCTGGAAGATGAAATACCTGAGCAAAAAGACAACTTTATAATGATTGTATTTTAAAGAAAACATGTGTGTGTGTATATATATATATGTAACATGTATATGTATATACATATGAACATATATACAGAATTATACAGATATAATATAGAGGTAGTGTTATTCACATAAGGATGCGATGTTGGATGTTTATATGTTGCCGAACAAAAGAACTATTACCGTGTGGCATAACGACGCCGGTCATTGCCTGATTTCTTTTTTTCCAAGATAATACAAAGATGTTTCATCATAATTCATTAAAGTGTGTTCGATACGGGCGTGTCTAAAGTATGCTGTGAACCATGGTTTTTTACTGCATGGCATTTGTTGATTTGAATGTCTTTCTTTTGATAGTACGGGTTCCACGGTCATTGCGGCACATGCTTCACGCGGAAAGGTGACGTATTATGGAAAAAGAAATCGCGGACGGTTGATTGATTATGCACGAAGCGAACAAAGTGGGATGTGTTGAGCGGCCTCGATATTGAGCATCGTATTGGCGATTCACAAGTTTTTGCGTGAGGAAATAGCAGTGTGTGACATAAAACATTTTCGTCAAGATTCCAAGAAGTTGTTCCAGGAAGGAGTTTAATATTATTGAAAATTTGCTCATGTGCATGAAAAATCATCAGGTGCCGCTATCATAATTTCTTCTTGGCGCAGCTTGCGCCCCCCCCTGTATGTGTGGCACTAGCGCCGTCTGCTTTTGCTAGAAATATTTGACAACAAGTATGTAGTGGCAGTGTGCTTTTGTTGTAGGCAGGTCTTCATGTGATTCATGTTGAAACCTCCGGAAGAGCTCTTTTGGTTAACCGCGTTATACAGCCAGTAGTTATTGTTCGGGCCGGCAAAAAGACAATGCCGGACGCGAGGCAGGTCGAAAAGAACAAATCTATCAATTGAATTAAATCAAAGTTTTGAGACCTTCAACGCTGTCACAAGAGGTATGGCAATTGTGCATTTGGCTTGCGGTTTCTTTGTGCCCGCGATCGTGGTGAGGCACTGGGCGAGCAAGATGCCTTGCGGGAGATCGGCAAGTTACACGAATACGAGAAGGCAGGGGAGCACTTCCCACATGTGGATGCATGCTGCGTCTGATGCCCCTTTTCAGGAAAAGGACGAGGGCTTCCGACTATTCTGCGCGCGGCTACAAGCCCGCATGGTGCGCGGAATGCCGGAGAATGATGCCTACGTAGAGGAGGCGGGTCTTTCGATTGTTTCAATCTGCACGACGCCTTTTGTTTGTCGTTTTCCCTGTGCTTGGAGGCTTTGAAGCATCCTGTTAAGCGGAAAATTTGCGAAGACCCCAAACTCGACACCTACGTCAGAGAGGCGCGGTAAGTCACATTTTCATTGTTTGCATGTCGTTGGGTAACCTTGTCCTTGCAGCTCTCGACTTGCCAGGTGGTGAGCGTAGTTCATGCGAAAAGATTCTTGAGCAGCAAGCCGGCAATGCCTGGCTCACTGTACCAGTGAAAAGAAAAGATTGCAGCTTCTGGCTTTTCAATGATGCTGTTAATTTTCCATTGGGGTTGGCATCCCAAAGAAGGCCACCGCAAGTCATAAAAAACTTGGGTAAAATGGGGGGAAAGCGGTGTATTCTTGAGACTTGTTGGGGGATTTTTCGGTGAACCAACCCAGTGGAAAATTGCCACATGATGCCAGAGCAGTTGATGCGCGCAAGTTTTGTTTCTGACAAGAGCTTTGTGTGTCCGCAGTCGCTTTGAGCATTCGAATCCTCGAGTCAGCTTTTGTGATAGTGCGAGCCGCCATGTCCAATTTGGCGCGCGCGTACTGAGTTCTGGCCTTGTTTTTTTTCTCCAATTGCTTGAAAAGAGGTCAGTGGCATGTGTTCCGAGGTGGAAGTTTGATGCGTCGGCAAATGCTGTTGCAGCTGCCTTTGAAAAGGCACTCACCCGGAACCAGCCAAGTCCTTGGTTATGTGGGTGCTGGTGTTGGACCCGCAGCTGGTGATTGGCCCAGGCTCCGGAAGTGGCAGAAAGCAGACCGCAAAGAGAAGCGTTGGGACGCCCGGCACTGTATTTATAATCCTAGCATGCACTGTCCGATTTTCTGTATCTGAGATCGTTTGCTGGCCGCGTGGCCTTGGGCAGAGAAGCTGTGGGCTCATGCCGAGCAGGCGGGCTAACTGATGTTTGCATATTTTTTCTTTTAGTTTGCATGCATGATTGGCTGGCAGGAGACAGAGAAGTCGCAACTGCTGCAGTACGACTACGAAGCTCTCATCAAGGCGGCAAAGAAGAGAGAGAGAGATATATATCTATCTATCTGTCTATCTATCTATCTATCTATCTGTCTATCTATCTATCTATCTATCTATCGATTTATCTATATCTATCTATCTATCTATATCTATCTATCTATATCTATCTATCTATATCTATCTATCTATCTATATCTATCTATCTATATCTATCTATCTCTATCTATCTATCTATCTATCTATCTATTTTTCGTTCTTTCTATCTTTCTACCTTTCTACCTTTCTATCTATCTATCTATCTATATCTATCTATCTATCTATTTATCTATCTATCTATCTATCTATCTATCTATCTAACTAACTATTTTTCGTTCTTTCTATCTTTCTACCTTTCTACCTTTCTATCTATCTATCTATCTATCCATCTATCTATCTATCTATCTATCTATTTATCTATCTATCTATCTATCTATATATGCAGAAATACATAAATTATATTTATATATATATATATATATGAAGAGATGGCATGTTCTTTGTTTTTCGCTTCCTCGCAGGACATCCAGAAAGAAATGGAGGAGAATGGGAAAGTCCAGCGATGCTTCGATTGTTGCTGGACCGTGGTTGGACTTGTCTGGTGCTCAGAAACAAATTGTGTTCAAACCTCCTTGTTGCTACTAGACAGTGTTGGCCCCCAAGGCTTTGTCGATCCCGTAAGCGAACAGCGTTGGTGGTGGCTTGAGGGGGGCATTTGGATTTGGGAGGATGCGCTCTTTCCTTCGTGAGCTGGCGCCTTGGCAGCATGAAATGCGGAAAGCTGGCTTCTCCGACCTGGTGTTTTTGCCGAGAATTCATTATATATATATGTATATATATATATATATTTGTATACAGTATATATATATATATATATCTCTCTCTCTCTCTTTCTCTTTCTTGTTGGCATTGTCAATGAACTTGGCCGAATTGCGCCGGCGTTTGTTGACAGACCAGACCAGGCTGCCGTGCGAAGCAGATCTTTTTTTGACCATCAGAAAAGAAAGCTGCCTGTGTGGGAGCGGTTCCTTGGTTCGGACCGGTATGTTCCTGGCTTGTAGCGATTTTTTCTGGCAGCTCACGTGAGAACCTGCGATGTCTCAGCTTTAATGTGCATGATTTTTTTTCTTAAGCTTTGGGATCTATTTGAGTTTTGCGCATGTTTTTGTGATGGAAGTCTGATGCCTTGAAGTTGCGGGCTCGAGGGAGTGTTTCGCTAGATATCTGCAAAGGCAGAGTGTCCGGCACGGGGGGGACCCCGCTCTGTCGGTGCGGGGAACACCAGTTGACTACTGTGAGCGATGGCATGCAGCGATGCTGGGAGGATAGTTTTTTTTTTCGGAGGAGTGAGATGATTTTCGAGACTTTCGCATTGTGCATAGACATAGGAATGATATTATAAATTTGTTGTTGTAAAGAGTAAGGGGTATGTTTCGGGGGTTATGTTTTGTCATGCACTAGTCATTAGACGTTGTGGATGTTGCTGTGGTTTGCCCTTTGTCTCTGGTTGAGTGTGTTCACAGGAGTACGAAGGTGTGAAGTGGCGGCGAACTCCTGGAGGGCATGCCATCTGGTTGCTGTGCTTGGAGTGCCATCACCAGAAGTGGCAACATCTCAACTTCCAAAAGTGGTCCGACGCTGAGGTGTTATCAAATACATTCCCTGAAAATCAACAAATCCAATACTGAACTCTGGCTTCTAGGGTTGCCAGGCTGGCAGTTAATATTTCAAAAGGGGTTAATTATTATATCATTCATATTTCTTCCAATAAACATCCCATCTCAACATATCCAAGACACTTTCGGGCTCGAAGCACGTTGGATTGTGCAATCAGAGGCGCCAGGGACATTAGTTATATGTATAGCTTTGTATAGCCCTGTGAACATGCGTATATTATATTTATATAATATAAGATGAGAATAAGTAAAAAATAATGCTCGTAAGTGGGCTAAGTTACACAACTTGGAATTTAACATATGTTAACTATGCTATTCTATATGATATCTCAACTAGTGCTTCAATCTGGAAGGTAATTCAATCATCAACAGTTGGTTTATTCGATCATCGGCAAGGGTGAAATCCAAGCATGCCCCGGTGCTGCTGCGACGTGCCGGGCACAATCCTCCAACCATTATATTGGTTGGTGGGCTTTGTGTATGGGCTGCTTGGCCATCGCCTCAGGATGTTTGTTTGTTCATTGATGAATTTGTGCTGAAGACGCCGAAGACGCCGCAGACGCCGAAGACGCCGCAGGGTTCCGAACAGGAGTTTATAGAAACTAACTCCAGATTTCATTGTGTTGTTTTACTCCGACCGTGTCCGACCAACCCCAAAATTGTCATTTTGATTCATCTTGAGCCATGTTTAGTTTACCTCCCTCGACCCTACAGCACAACACCTTCAACATATGAAACAAATTGACCTGTCGAGTCATTCTTATAGTCACATAGTCATTCTTATAGATTTCGCCCTTCTCCACACAAAACACTATGTTCAACATATGAACGAACTTGGCATTTTGAGTCATGTTTGAAATGTCTTTTCCTTCCCCTACAACAAGACAATACGTTGAACAGATGAAAAAAAATGATCTTGAGTCGTGATTGAAATTTGCAACTCGTCGACCCCACAATGCAATACGTTCAATGTATGAAGAAAGTTCACAGGACAACAGATTTAGACGTGTTGGAGTGACACATCGACTTGGAAAGGGTTTCATGATGTGCATGTGTTTCAGAATGTGTTATGCATTCGTGCAGGGCTTGTCTCAGTTGAGGGATGTCGCTGATGTGATTGTGGCAGGATGGGCGCAGCAAAAATCGCTTTTCTAGGCCAAAGGAGCCCATCGCATCTCCGCCGCCAGTGAAAAGTGACAAGGTGATGAGGGCCGACGGAGCTTGGTTTTACCTGACCTCTGAGCCGCCGGAGGCTGGGACTTGGATAGCTTCAAATAGAAATGGGTTATGTGCTGTGATGCCTGTGTTGTACATGTTAATGTCAGGTGGCGGGCTGCGGCAAGGCGGTCAGTATATATATATATATAAATACACATAATATGTATATAATTATATGTATATATATATAGACACATAAAATGTATCTATATATATGTATATATGCATATTATTATGTATGTATATAATCACCGTGGCAATTTACACTCTAGAACTGGTGAACCTGTGCATAGTTTAAACGATTTTTTAAATGTATTGGAATTTTAGAATTGATGTCAGGCTAGTCATTTTATTGTTGGGGGGTTGGTCTGAGCATTTTATTGGCAAGGTAAATCCTGATGATTTTTAACATGTTAAAGTTCCATTCTCATTTTATTGCGAAAAAAATCTGTTTGGAGCATTTTATTGCAGAATGGAACCAATGCTTTTCCAGGATCTTTTTATATCGATTTTATTGGGCATGTCATTTTAGATCAGCGAATTTTAAGGAATTTGAAGGAATTCCCAGGAATTTTAAGGAATATTAAGGAATTTTAAAGGAATTATAAGGAATATTGAGGAATTTTAAAGGAATTATAAGGAAATTTAAGGAATTGGAATCTTAGAGGAATTTAAAGGAATTTGACGGACTTTGAAGGAATTTTGAGGATTTTAAGGATCTTTAATGTTTTAAAAATTTAAAGGATATTTAAGGAATCTAAAGGAGTTTTTTGGAATTTAAAGGAATTAAAAGGGTTTTTAAGGAATTTTAAGGAATTGCCACGAAAGAATGCCACCGTATTTTGTTGCTATAAAATGCAATAAAAAAAACAAACACTTAATATTTGGTCACCTTCACTCTAAAATTTAAAATACCCCTATCTAAAAAGAATTTCCCGACCCCTTTTTAAAGAGGCGTTTCTGAGGGTCTTCGAAATTGGATGAAGTTGGATGCAAATCCGGGCATGAATTTGCTGGCAAGGCATTTTATTGCAGAACCCGTTTTCATTGTTTTTGTGCATTTTAAAGCCTGAGGCCCTATGCACAAAAGTTAGACCGCTCTAAAACTCCTGCACAGCTTCACATAATGAAATGGAACCCCGATTGTATATATATATATACACACATGTAACACTACTTTTTTCAAGGGTTTCTAAATTTGGCCATCAGACAAACAAACTCATGCCGCGCTGTGCGAACTTTCGAGCTTCAAGTGCCTTGCCGCCTTGCGGCCCAGGTTCCTGTCGACAGAAGTTTGAAGACTCCAAATCTCTTACCAGGATTTTGACGAGGATTGGCTGCAAATGGAGCTGAAGAGTTAAAATACATACATATATATATATACATACACATAATCATATATATCTATATACATGTACATATTACATTATATAGATGGTTTGGATAAAGATTAATTGTATGACATTGTTCCACAAGTCCTTCAAGGCCCAATTCGCGGTTGCTCCAAGGAACGTCTCAGAGCGGGGAGTCCAGGAGTTGCGGAAGAAGCAGAAGGAGCCTCCGGTTTCGGCAAGGTCACCCAGTTGAGCAGTGTTCAATGGCGACAATACATGGTGTTTGATGGTGTTTAATGGGGGGTCCATAAAAATGGGCAATTCCCCAATAGCTGGATGGTTTATTTCATGGAAATCCTATTGAAATGGATGATTTAGGGGTACTACCCTCTGGTAAACGTTTACATAACTGTGGAAATATCCACCATTTTGACGGGTAAATCAACTATTTCTATGGCAATTTTCAATAGCTATGTTAGTTTACCAGAGGGTAATGGTGTTTAATGGTGATATCATGGGATTTCATGGGATTCAATATTTAGTGTTCGTTGATGATTCAAACCCCCCGGTTCGTTGATGATTCGTTCGGGGATTATACTAACCAATGATAGGGATGATCACAATCCATGAAGGGAATCCCGTTCTCAATCACCTGGTATAAAGGGACGATTCGAATCCCATTTCTGATGATATTGGGGGTTTGGTTTGTGGCGGTGCACATAAAGAGGAGAGTTCTTTGTTTTCTGTGACTGTGGAGGACTTAGCTACCAGCTTCGTTTGCATTTTTATGTTGATAGGCCCACATGTCAAAGCCAATCACTTTTTCGTTTCCGACAGTTCTGAGCCGGCAGGAAGATATCATTGTTTGTCCTCAACTCCTGAGCACATCCTCCAATCCTGACTATGTACAGAAGTACCTCTCCCTGGGAGCATCTAGCTTGGAGAAGCATGTGATCTTGACCATCAGCCACTTGGCTCGCTCAAAAAGTTGAAGCTCCAACTTTGTTGGGTTTTCTGAATCATCAAAGGCCAGCTTTAAAACAATCACCTCCTTAAAAAGATGCAGAAAAGGTAAAAACTGACCACAATTTTCGCAGCATTTCTTCCCCATCTTTTTGGGGACACTGAGGCAACGTCACGGAGTGCCTTGATCTGTCAGCTGTCAGCCAATATCCAGATGAACAGGAATCTTGGTGACTGACTGAATTGGGCAGTCAGTTTAAATAGAGGGATGAAACCCACTGAAAAATAGCAATTTCTGTTGGGATGTGTTGGGAAAATGAGGTTTTCATCCATTGGAGCTGAGGATTCCCTATTTTCAGACTAACAAAAGTGTGAGGATTTCCCCTTTTAAACCGCTGGAAGGTTTGTAATGGAAAATTCATCCTGGGTGTACCCCGATGACGTGGATCAAGTGGGGTTGCCTGTTGGGATACCACGGTATGATGGGCATTTTTATCTACGACTCTGCTATGAGTTATGGTTGCTTTCCAGAATTTATTGAATGATGTCTGGTTGTTTTCTGCGAAATGTGTGTTATCCTGTAACGTAAAATTCTTAGACGAGGACGTCCCTCTGCAAGTCTTCGACCATGATCCGTGCAGCTCCGGAATGCGGGTGAACCTTTTACTTTGTTGCGGTGAGACCTAGGGGTTTCTGAAAATGGTACCCCTACAAGGTGGTGCCCCACAGTTAGCTAAGTTGGTTTATAACTCTCATAACTATGGTTTATGGCAGATATAACTATAGTTAATGGGTTTATAAACCAACTTATAACTGGGGGGCACCATCCTGTAGTTATCATCAAATTTCAATAGGATTTCCATGAAATAAACCATCCAGCTATTGGGGGAATCACCCACGACTTTTCGATTGTTTATCATCCCAGAGTGGGACTTCCCAGGACCAAATTTATTGGATACCCTCTGGTAAACGTTTACAAAAAACTATGGAAAGATCCACCATTTTCAATTGGAAAATCCACTATAAATTAATGGTCATTTTCAATAGCTATGTTAAATTACCAGAGGGTATGCTGCAATGGATGTTTATGGTTTCAGGGTTTGTCACCGTTGTTCATTGTCTCTTGATGGTCAAGAAAAGGTGAGTTCCCCATGAATATTGATAGTGGATCCTCATTGAGAGTATATCACCATTATAAATATGTTATACATATGTGTTGCATCACCATACATATGTGTTACATCACCATTCATTGAGAGTAGTTCTATCCCCATTCGTTGATACAATATATCCTCAGGATAAATATGTTATGTACATATATCATATATGATGTATGAATATGTATGACATATGAAATATGACATATGATGTATGATATATGACGTATGTATTGTATCCCCATTCATTGAACCTCCATTGATGTAACTTTTTGCCTTGTTTCGTCACCCAGGAAGTGCTTCTGCCTTTCCTGTCAGTCTTGAGGGTCCAGGACGTCTCCTTCGAAGCGGGTCAAGCTACACGTGTGCGATGTCAATTCCAGGGTGTCTCAGATCGGATTTGGGCTGATGCAGATATTTTTTTTGGGGACGTTGGTGAGTTGAACTTCGATGGGTTGAAATGGTTGAAGATGTTGAAATCAAGTGGGTTTCACCTTCCCAAACAACATGGATATACATGGATCAAAATAGACGTTTGAAGCATTCTAAGTAGCCATGAAGATTGGAGCTACCCTGAGGCTCCATGCTGAGCCCACGCTTGAGATCCGCCTGTTTGTCGGATTTGACCATGGCTTCCTATGAGCTCGTCCAAGGCGACACGAAACCTGCAGATGAATCGAATGATGGGAGGGCAATGGAGGGCATCAGCATTTTTTAAAACTAACATTTTGTGATGATGGTGATGATGATGATGATGGTGATGATGATGATGATGAGGATGATGAGGATGATGATGATGATGATGATGATGATGGTGATGGTGATGGTGATGGTGATGGTGATGATGATGATGATGGTGATGGTGATGACGATGATGATGGTGTTGTTGTTGATGATGATGGTGATGATGATGATGATGATGGTGATGACGATGATGATGGTGTTGTTGTTGATGATGATGATGATGATGATGATGATGATGATGGTGTTGTTGATGATGATGATGGTGATGGTGATGGGGATGTGATGAAGTGATGCATCCATGGACCTCAGTGTTACTGCAAGAAAGGGGGCCTTTCTCGCAAGGTCTGGATGATTTGCCGATCCCAAGCCCGATCTCTGTTAGCTTGGGTGAATCTAAAACCGATCGACTCTTGGAAGCCGACTCTGGCTGGTTTAAGGCATTTTTGGTCGCAGATTGTCACAAGTGCGGGGGGTTACTTTCGATTTTTTCAAAAATCGACCTATTCATCTGGGGTTGACGTGATGGACTGGGGTTGTTTGCTGAATCATCCCGTTTCAAGAAATTGCCAGCCAATCTACTTCCAAGGACCAAACTTGCGCGATCATACCCAGCCCCTTGGATCGATCTGTGAGCTTCCCGAATCAACAAGGTAGGCATAGCCTTGTCCTGCTGGTTAGTTGATCAGTAGAGTGGTAGCCCTCTATTGAACAGCCAATAAATCCTAAGGAAACAGCAACTAACCATCAATTTTTGGCCAAAATCGCAACCCCTCAAACATGTTCCGCACCATTTTTTGAAAGCAAGGTACAACACGAAGGTCTTCCAGACACTGGTTCATGCCTTTGAAGCTCTAGATCGACGGGGTGCTTGGATGATTAGCTATTCAGATTACTCATGGGCACAGGACTGGAAGTTCGACGCTGACGCGTTAAATTCTTGTTGCATCACTGGAAAGCAGTGGCAGCCTGACATGGACGTAGAGCAATCAAGCAGTTTTGTTAGTGTTGGAGATGGATACTGTATCAAGATGATAAAGATTGATAAAGCATAAAATTGCCGCCCATATTTTTCAAGAAACAATATCAACAATCATAGAATTCTTTTCTGAATTGTGTGTTCCAAGATGATTTTCAGCCCTTCCCATCCCCCAAGCGATTCATGGCGACGAGGACACACTGGCAAGGACGGGGGGGATGGACATCCCACGGACTCCGTCGTGGGATCCCTTGGGGAATCTTTGGATGGTTTTTGGTACCAAAAAAGGCTGGATTTCTCCCCAATGGATGGCCTTATTCGAACATTTCGAATGTTCGACATGTCCGAATGTTTTTTCCAGTTCATGGTCATTTTTTTGCCCAGTTTTTGGCCAATAACAATGGCTGGTTCCCGCAGTAGCGTTGGCGTGAAGCGAATCCTTCGGAAGCTCACAGGGTGGGGCAGCTCAGGATTCCAATGAATTCGTGACGTGGGTCGCTACACCAAAATATACCACAGTTGTGATGGCCATGAATCAGTACCTACAAATACCATTTTTACATGGATGCACCTCCTTAAATCCCAGGTATTTTGATGTGAACAGAAGGGAAACAAAAGGTTCTGACCCATCCTCAGATATGAAACATGTTTTTTTTCCCTCATTTCCCAGGAAGCACATCTTTCAATGAAATTCTTGAAGTGCACATCTTTCATCATTTTTCAATCATTTTTCAATCGAATCAAAGAGCGAGGCACTTTGCCAACAGCCACCTCGACCTGACTCTCCAGAAGTTCTTTGTGCTGACAATGCCTGGCGCGACGGCACCTTTGGGCTGAATTGGAATGACCTCAGTGAATTTTTTGGGAATGACCTCAGAACTTCCCAGATTTATTGCAAAATCATAGAATATCAAATATATATATATGTATATAGTGTAATTATGCTTTGGATACTTTTTTTGATCAGTGGATCTGTCACGTATATAGTTGTTTCAGCTTTGTGAAGAGCAATTCAGTCAGATTTTACTTGTGTGGATTCTTTTATTGTTGGAGCTTTGATCCCCGTACCCTATTCTTGAGCCATAGGGGTTAATATACCCATCACTCGAGCGGAATCCACAAGGATATCTGTTGGGATGACCATACTGCTTGCATCATATCCCAATTTTTGAGTTGCATATACTATATCCACATATATTCCCATATGATCCACATATATTCCCATTAGATCATATATATATATACTATATCCACATATACTATATCCCCATTAAATCCACATATATCCCCATATGATCCACATATATTCCCATTAGATCATATATATACTACATCCACATATACTATATCCCCATTAAATCCACATATATCCCCATATGATCCACATATATTCCCATTAGATCATATATATATACTACATCCACATATACTATATCCCCATTAGATCCACATATCATCTCCATATGATCTCCCCAGATCTCCCCCATGGTGAGGACAGCCAGCTGGAACGGGCCTTCCGTTGGACCTCGCGGTATCTGCGAACCACGGAGCCGCAGAGGTTGGAGGAATCGCCATCCGAAGCTTTTCGAAAAAGACATGGCCGAAGGATGGCCATTTCAGGTACCTAAATTGGAGGTACCTACCATATATAAGGCCTATGATTCTATTTTTCAGGCCTATGTAAGTGAATATCACCACAAAATATGGCCTTATATGGTACAGTACCTCCAATTTAGGATCCTGAAATTCCCATTGATTGGATGGGAATGAAGGGAACATCTGCCGGAAAACTACCTAGCTTTGTTGAGCGGATTGAGACATGTGCAGGACATCCCAATGGTCTGTCATTGGATGGCTTTAAGGGAACATCTAGAGGGAAACCAAGGTTTTTAATTACATGTTTGTACCATCAAAGACAAAGGGGTTTCCTGTACTTTTCCCCTTAAACCAATAAACCCCACATAAATCCGCATTTCATCCCATTATAGTTGGTTACATCTTCCATGTTTATCACTATTGGCCCTCACGAACCATGTGTGCTAAACCGTCAACATTTGTGGGGTTTCCCCGAAATTTCCGACAAATCCATTTGCTTGCTTTGGCATGCTGTGTGGATGTTTGTAGCATTTCTCCTCTGGCATCTATGATCTCGTGTTTAAGCACAACTCTACCACAGCTTTGTCCAAATCGCCCGGATTCTTCAGTCGCTTTCATCCCCTTGGCACTGTGAATACAGGTATCATTATGTATCACGGACTAAGTGTGTATATACTGTACATATATATATATACTGTATATATATATATATATATCATAGACAGGACATAGGATATATTGTCATATCTAATCATATCATATTTTATATCATAACATACCATCACATATCATCACATGTCATCATATCACCGTATTAGCACCTTATATCACCATATATCACCATATATATATACACATCACCATATGCATGCATATCTATATATCACCCCACATATATATATGTCACCATATTGATATATGTATATAGTGATATATATAGAGTGGTATATATATATAGTGGTGTATATATATAGTGGTATATATATAGTGGTATATATATAGTGGTATATATATGGGTATAATGTATTTCACCGCCCCCACCCAGTCTTCTCAAGTATTCCATATGTGCACATTTCAGAGATGTTGTGTTGTGCACGTTTCCCAGCAGTTGTGCACGTTTCACAGAAGTTGTGCATGTGTCACAGAAGTTGTGCACGTTTCACAAGCCCCCTAGTAACGTTCGTATTCAACTGTATACACACTGAGCGCATTCTAATCAGCGAAAGTATTGGGGCGACCAAACACGTTCTCCCGATAGATATATATATATATATATCATATATCTATATATATATATATGGGTATCACAATGTATCATCATTGATCATGGTTTCGTATTGGATTGGTTCATGCACTGGGGCCCATATGGAGGGTATTTAACATTTGGGAGATGGGATTAAGTTGTGGCCGTGGCCATGGTGCCGAGGCCAGTCCTCAGTCTCCGCAGACTCCGGTTATTCGCACCACGACTCCAAAACATCCCCGTCTTCGAACGTGGCGATGACAAGTCGATTTTGGACCTTAAGGGCACGGTTCGGCAGTGAAATGAGACAACATATACCGTATATGAGACAAATATGACTCATGAGTATCGAAAGAATGTGAAATGACGTTTTGTATCCTTCGACTTCTTTACTTTGAATCCACGGCCACCGTACCAACTGCTTGAAGGCACACTGGAATGCCAGGGTTTGATTGCTTTGGCACTGTCAGTAAATTGCTGACACGGTTAACGAACTGCTGCGGAGATGCTCAGCTTTTCTGCAAGCGCAAAGCGACAGCAGTGATACGATGTCGCATTTTATGGACCACCAACGGGCTAGCGCTGCAACGACAGTGCATTTGCATGGTGGCAGCTCTCTGAAAGAGACCCAATGTTAACGATTAGTGTGATTGACTCCGCCCTTTAAAGGGGATGTTGGATAGATCTGGATGTCAGCAATCCAGCAGATGCAGTTGCTGCGTTTGCTGCGTTTGCTGCGCTTGCTCGCAACAGGCTCGTTAATGCACAACTCTGCTTGCAGATGGGAAAAAAAACTGCTGCCATCGTATGATGATTCTAATTCTTTGATGAATCGAAGCAATGATCTGGTCGAATCTGGAGGAACGTCTGTTGCACTCGAAGTGGCAACACACTTTCAATCTCTTTCAATCAATCCCGATTGGGTTTTGTTGAGTGCGTGTCTGATGTTGGCTGGACCTGCCCTCAAGCTTAAGTGTTGTTTTTTGGCACATGGACAGCCTCATTTTCAACCACAGGTTCTTGACTTCATTTACAATCTACGTTTGCAATCAGAGGAAGACAGATCATTCCATCTTCCAACAATAGTTTTTTGAAGCTCCGAAAAAAGTACGCGCCCTACTGGCCCGATTTCCCTATGTCTGGCCCTCAGATATTGATATTTTCTCCGAGCCTTCCCCACCGTATCACGGTGCTGCTGGTAAATTATGTAAATTCTGAGGCCTGCAGGTAGAAGCTTGAAGCGAAAGCTGAGTGACTCTGAGATCTATACCCATTTGGAGGTCTAGGGCCGCAGTGGCACTATGTGGCACTTTTTCATTTTCGGGATTCCACTGATGGAAGAAACAAGGCATGACTTTCACCCTTTTTTTTTTTGGTGTTTGGGGAAACACATATCTACAGGAAGCTCTTGGGATTGTATCATCCAAAGTTTGGCTTTCTCAAATGTTTCTTTGCTCCCTGGGGCTCCATCCGGAAGCTGGGACGTCAACTGGGCAGGTGTACAGACTGGTGCGTGAACGGAAGATACATTTGGCAGAGGCCGCTGGTAGCAATGTGGCTGCTTCTTAACGTGGACCCCAAAAAACCATGGCTTTTTAATACGAAAGTTGCCTAAAATTAGAATAGTCTAATTTGGATTAATTTGGATGATTTGGAATAGTCTAATTGGAATATCTCCATTTTAAGAACCCCCCATTCGGCGCAGTGCAAAGAGGAGTGCTGTCTCAGGAGTGAAGAAAAATCCTCTGCAACATGACCTGAGACGTGGAGCGTGTTGAAGCCGATATTGGCTCAGATTTCCCTAGCAGCTGCGAATGGTGACAGAGGAAGCCTTTTGCTCTATCTGCCAAGACAGGCTGGTTTGAAGTCATTCAAGTGTGAGAGGGGCATATGTGAATAAATGTGAAGAAGTGAATGCACGCACTTTGCACTTCGCACTTACGTTCGCTGCTTCGGATAGTTGCAAAGTCCAAGTCTTTCTACTGGTTTACCAAGAGGACAATTCCCAGTTCTACGTAAATATCCAATGACCCAACTGTAGCCCAAAATAGATGGGTCATATCACATCTAAGGGGTAATAGCAAGTATCTATGTAGATCATGTAAAGATCACATAGAAAAGACGCTCATGCATATGATTCGCCAGCTTTCATGAGCTATACCATCATCATGTACTATCCTTAGAGTGGTATACAATGGTATACACATATACTGAACATAGGGACATATATATCATATACCCTCTGGTTATTTAACATAGCCATGGAAAACTGCCCATTTATAGATGGTTTACCTATTAAAAATGGGGATTTTCCATGGCTATGTTAAATAACCAGAGGGTACATGGTATTTTTCTCAATCAGTACTTGATATCACAGCCTCTGGTTATTTTACAGAGCTCAGCCATGGCCATGGGGCCCATGTCTGATAGCTCGCTCCAGTCCCCTTCGCCGAGGGGTCAGAATGTGCTCCGTGCCGAGTGTGGCGACCGCTTTTGTGCCAGCTGCGTGCAGGGGCCTGAGATGCGGCCCAAGATGGGCCGAATAAAACTTGGGATTTCCATGGGTTTAACTAGCTAAAACATGCTAGAACTGGGGATTTGATGTGATCAGCCAGCAAACATGGAGTACTTGGTGGTTCACCGCAGTTAGAAAGTGAGTTATAACCCCAGTTGTAAGGAGGGTTAGTCCAGTTACAACTGTGGTGAACTAAGCCACGTACTAACTGGGGTGAACCAGGAAGTGTCCTTTTGCCAACCCGACATACTTGACCCATCTTGTGTGTTTTTGGTGAAGGTCGAAGCACATCAAGTTCACAGACTTCGGCAAAGCTGCTCTGTGTCCCAACTGCCGTGCTGAAATTTCGGAGTTGAAGGGTGAGCCTCCTTCCATCCAAGACGTGCCCTTGTTGCAACTTGTTAAAACCACCAAAACTGTATCAACATGTTCAAATTCTCTCCACCATGTTGTTCCCCAGATAGCTGGAAGCTATAGGGGTTCTTACTTCTCAAAGGTCAGGTCTTCGGTGGTGAACTTTGTGGCAAAGTCTGGCAAAGGTGCTGTGCAGGGTGCTGTGGCTGCTGCAGTGAGGTGGCGAAGTCTAGCTTGCATCATTCACAGCCTCACAAATCTTGCAGGACGCGGCCTTCCCCTGCGCAACCTGCGGAGTGAAGGAAGAGTTCCAACTTGGGAGAACTGGTTCCAATCTTTGGAGACCGGCGGTTCCTCGAATTGGGAATTTGCGGTTACAAAATTTCAATGCATTCGTTCCAGCGTTTCGGAACCGGTAATTCCTAAAACTGGAGCAGTTCCAAGCTTGGGACGCGTTGATTCCAATCTTTGGGAACTGGCAGTTTTTCGAATCGGAAACGCGCAGTTCCAAGATTGGGATGCATGGGTTCCAACGTTTGAAAAACGGTAGTTCCTAGAACTGGGAACATGAGCTTCCAAAATTGGGAAGCATCGGTTCTGGGTTCCGCTAGTTCCTAGAACCGGGAACCCGCGGATCCAAGATTGGGAAGCATTGGTTCCAACGTTTGGGAACCGCTAGTTCCTAGAACTGGGAACCCGTGGTTCCAAGATCGGGAAGCATTGGTTCGAACGTTTGGGAACTAGCACTTCCTCGAACTCCGAACCTGTGGTTCCAAGATGGGACGCACAGGTTTCAACGTTTGGGAACCAGCAGTTTCGCGTTTGCCGCAACCAACTCGAACATAAAACGTTCCTGAAACCCATGTATCTGGGGTCTATGCCGGTGTAGTTTTTGTCTTGAACCTGTCAGAGCATGAAGAGTTTTTGCTATGACAAAGTCACATGGAAACGTGATGTCCTTCAAAATTCAAACGCATATAGCAGACACCTTTACATGCTTTTGTTTACATCAGACTCTCCTGACGCAGTCGGTCCTGTCGGCGCGAGATCCGCTTGTTCATCAACTCCCAAGCAACCAATCGCCTCAAGGTTTTTAACGTGCGATACAAGAACATTCACTTCAGAGGCGCGGTTGAGCATGGGATGGCTTAAAACCTATGATTTTCCATATGTTTTTGAGAGGAACATTCATTTTGCCAGATATTTTCAATGATTTTGATGTTCATTTGACCTAGATCCAACTGGTGAATAGTTTTCACAACTGTGTACGGTGCCCAAGGGTAGCACGAAAATGCATCTTCTATAATGCAGATTTGAGTTTTTTCTTGCTTCCACGAGCATAGTTGCTAGGTTGGGATGGGTCAAAACCGCTACCCCAAAATTGCATGGTCAGTAGTCGACCAAAAAGTGTTATACCTTCCGGTAGTTTAAGATAGCCATGGAACATCCACCATTTATAGATGTTTTTCCCATTACAACCCTCCATTTGTAGTTTTTTTCCATTGGATGAAGGATGATTAAGGGAGGGCAACCCCAATGGGGTTAGAACCAACTTGGAGCCAAACCCAGAGCCCCAGCTCCGCTTCGACAGGTCTCCAACTGCAGGAAGGACAGGACTTGCATCAATTGGTGGGGGAGCTCTTTGGTCGGCACCTCAGGAAGATGCCTTGAGGGGCCATTTTTTGTGAGAGCGCCTTCAGTAAAACATAGAAATCGATGGAAATCCATGGAAATCCACTATGAATTTGGAAACACATGATGATTTTGAAGGGAAAACCATCGATTTCCGTTGCTATGTGAGGTTGCTGGAGGGTAACCCCTATGCCATGTTGGGCTATCGAATAGTCAACTCCTTTATACGACTCCATAGCAACCAGTGGAACCAATACACCAATCCACAAGAGACTAGAAGCCTAAACGTGTCAGGTACAGCAGTGCTGCTACCTTGTTTAACCTCGATATTTGGTGGTCAACCCCCTGACCAAAATCTCAAGATTGGTGAAAGCCACAGGGGGGTCTCCGCATTTCCCAGTTGATCCCTTGAAATCCCAAAGATTTTCTGGGAAACCTGGCACCAGGGCCCCAGTGCCCCATGGCCCCATGAATTCCCAGGATGTCTGGGTTCCATCCCTCCTTCCCCGAGGCCTAGACGCCTCAAAACTCTGGCGCCTGCGCCTGATCTGTCGCGGCTCGCTGGTAGATGTCAACACACGCCCTAGGCAGCTGGGGCAGCAGCCGCTGCTGATGGCTCCTCCACTGGGAGGGGTACACCCCGGGCATTTCGCCATGATTTAACCACCAAACATGGGGATTGAACCACTCAAGATGGGGATTTACTGTGATTTAATCACCGAATGTGATGCCAAATGGATTGATTTAGCGGGAATATCACGCGATATCATTGATATCATGAGGATTTACCTACTAAAGATGGGATAGAATATCAATCGATTGTTTGTCGTTCTCTCGGCTGAAGGTCAGTTTTCGGATGTTTTGGGTGTTTCTGTTCTTTTTTGGGTGACGCATAACACAAACAAACACACACACACAAGCCCCTTTGCACCCGCGAGTGGTGCTCTCAAGGGTCCTGGGACACCTGCCTGCAGCCGCAGCCGTTGCCCCCGGGTCGTTCAGCTCATCCTGCCTCTTTTTGGCGTGCAGCTGCTGCTACCGTTGGGCTGACGGCGTTGCATCTGCGCTGCTGCTGGTGCAAGCACTACATCATTGAATTGTTCCTCCTTGTCGGGGGTGGTCTCCCCAGGGTCATCACGGCTTCACTGGACCATTTGATTGCAACAGGGTGGGCTCCTGAGTGGTTTTTCACTGGCCCGTGGTGGAATAGCATTCTTTTGGCGCTTATTTTTGCGATCTTCTGGTTTTATTTCATTTGGCACTGTTGCCTGCTGGACAACGAGCCCTTGCAACAGTTGCATCTTTGGAATTTCAGCCGGCTTGACTCAGACCCTTCTTCAGTGATTGCCTTTTTTGGCTTTTTGTGGTGTTTTCATAGAATCTACCAGGTCTCAGGACACAGGACACCATCTCAGTTGTTTACAGGATCTCGTGCAACTCGGTCCCAAGTCCGAGCACAGGGTCATTGGAGCATCAGCAGACTTGGTACAATCTGCATCATCACTGCGATTTTGACATCACAGAGCTTCGATCCTGTGAGGGGTGAGGGTTCCGTCATGGACATGCGTGACGGGAGAGCTAGCGTGAAGGCGCCAGCGAAACCACATGTCGTTGAGCCCAGAAAGGTTTTAGAACCATACCAAACCCTGAATTCAAACAATTTTCGGAAAAATTCAGTTCAGAAACGAAGCTACAGACGTGCTTTACAACGTATTTCACGTCATGGCTTTACCTGGTATCGTGGACAATTGCTCAGTGGCCCTCGAACAACTGAACAGCCATTGGAAACCAATCCTAAATCAGTGAGTTCCAACCATGCCCCATCACGTTCATTGAGGAATCGACGATTGAGTATCTTCTCTTGGAACTGTGGGGGATTAACAATGGCCTCTTGGGATCATCTCCAACAATGGCTGACACTGCAACAGCTTGACATCATCCTGCTACAGGAGACGCATTGGCAATTCTCCAGCGAATGTATGCAGAGCCATTTCTATTGCTTGCACTCTGGAGCAGGACCACGTCAGGCAGGGCTGCTGACGATGATTTCCAAAAGACTGGTTCAACAGAATGGCATCTCATGGAGTGAACCTATACCTGGACGTGTTTTACATGCTAGAATTCATGGTTCTCACAAAGGGTGTGACATCATCAACGTTTATCAGCATGTTCACAACATTCAAAGATTGGACGAAAGGGCAGATGTTTGGCATTGTCTTCACAACCTTATTTCAACGTTGCCAAAAAGGAACTCATTATTTGTAGCTGGTGATTTGAACACCTCGTTGCACAAGCGATGCACGGCAGTTGGACTTCCTACCTATGCGAAAGACAATAGCCGACACTGGGGTCCGGCACACAGAGATGCTGATCAACTGTATAACTTGTTACAGGTTTACAATTTGGTTGCTCTCAACACCTGGAACTCTCATCTCGGTCCTACATTTACCTTTGGCTCCCATTCTTCCAGGATTGATTTCATTTTCACAAAGAGGAATTTGACAGATCAACGGGCACGTGATGTTCACTATCTTCATGCTTTTCCATTGCTCCCCTTGACTGGTGCGCAGCATGTACCACTCATTTGCAATGTGCTGAAGGTTTGGACTCCCTTGCCAACGATGCAGACACCTGGATGGAGTCGTGCTCAACGCAAAGTGTTGTATTTGCAGTGGAGTCGACAAGATTCAAATGCCAGAGCACTACAATCACAGGTGACCATGCGCATTGAACAACTTCCTGACACCGATTGTGATCGACTTCATGAGGTGCACACATGTTTGAATCAATTTGATGAGTTCAAAACTCCATCATCTAACAAACATCCGGTTTATGAATTTGATGCCACGCCTTTTCAGGCTTTTCAACAGCACACGAGATCCTTGCGACAAATGTCCACTACTGGGTTTTCTTCACTGGCGCACTTGTTTCAGGCTTGGTTTCATGTTGTCAAACGACAAGCAGCACGTCGTCAAATGAACCTCACAGCCAAGGCAGCACGGAAATCTAGAATTGATCAAATTTTTGCACAGGCTGACAAAGCTGAACGTGCACAAGACTCCTTTCAATTTTACCAGGCCATTCGTGAACTGGCTCCCAAGCAATCCTTTCAGCGTATTCAGCTTAGATCTGCGACAGGAGCTTTACTTGGCCCTGCTGATGCTGCCGACTCATTATGCGATTGGTATCGGGAGCTTTACTCAGCACAGGATGAACATTCAGTCAGTCAGAATTTTTCATGGCCCTTTTCTGAAGCAGAGTTTTGCGCTGGTTTACAACGATTGCCTTCGTTCAAGGCTCTTGCACCAGACTATGCTCCAGCTCCCATTTGGCAAGCGGCAGCTACCTCAGCAGCGGCATATCTTCAACCATACTTTGAATACTGCAGCTCTTTTGGTAGTTTGCCTAGTTGCTGGAGCAATGGAGTATTGACATTCTTGTGCAAACCAGGCAAACCTGGCAGATCACCTGCAGAGCTTCGCCCTATTGCCCTGCTGGAACCTTCCGGAAAGGTGCTGATGGGGTTAGTGGCCAGATGCTTACTGCATTCAATGTCTGCACGTTTGTTTAGGCTGCCGGTGTTTGCCTACCTCCCTGGAAGAGGAGGAGACGAGGCTATCACCAGGGTCAGGAAACATTGCTCTGATGTTCGAACCTTGTTGCACACCCTGAGATTTGGCATTCATCGTGCAGCTCACTCTGTTCCAGGACTGGAGCTGGCTGGTGGATTGGTCCTCAGTCTTGACTTGACGAAGGCCTTCGACAGTGTGGTGAGGTCAAAGTTATTTCAAGCGTTGACATCACTAGGTGCAGACCACAACATCATTGCCATGCTCAGTCAAATCTACGACAAAACATCATTCTCTTTTTGGCATAGAGGTCAATATAGATCCTTACCCACACAACGTGGTATACGACAAGGCTGTAAAGCGGCTCCAATTTTGTGGACCCTTTTTTCTGCCTGGATCTTGGAGAACGCTGCGCAGATCAACGGATGGGAATGGCTGTGCGATGTTGTCACAGCATTTGCAGACGATTTTTGCCTCCACAGTTTGATTGAATCGATGGATGATTTTTCCAGCACCCTGACCAAGGTTGGAGCTTTCTTGGATCTGCTGATTGATGCTGGCCTGACCATCAACCGTGACAAAACAATTGCTACCTTGAAGCTGCATGGACCGGGCAAAGCCAAGATCTACAAGAGATTCATCAAACGCACCAAAGATGGTACTTTCATTTGCATTCCCAGCAGACATGGTCAACCATTTTTCATCCGATTGGTTTCGCAGTTCTCCTACCTTGGTGTCATTCTGAGCTACTCGAATTTTGAACTTTTGACTGTACGGCACAGGATCAAGGCTGGGGTAAAGATTTCTCATCAGCTACAAAGGTGGTTGTTTACGAAAACTGGTCTCAGTCACAAACAGAAGATCAAACTGTGGTTCCAGTGTACTTTCCCCTGCTTGACATATGGCTTACGATCCATCGGTCTGACACCTCAAACGGTTCAACTTCTCGACAGAACTTTTCTTCAACAATTGAGACGACTTTGTCACTCACCAGTGCATCTCACTCGTCTGGCCCATGTCGATTTCTTAGACAGTGCGGGCAGTGCTGATCCTTTGCAGAGATTGCTGACTCAAATTCGAAAGGCCAGACAACGAGAGTCGGATCGCACAGTGCGATTGCAGCCTGATGACATTCTTCATAGATGTTATCCTCTGGATCCACTGCACTTGGACCAGGTACTCCTTGAAGTCTACGAGCAGCGGCGTGACTCATCGACACTTCATCAGGCTGAATATGCGCCACATGCTTGTCCTCTGTGCTCTATGAGTTTTACCAACATTTCCTTGCTGCGCAGGCATCAGTTGCTTGAGCATGGCTGCCGATCAGGCCTTCTTCGAATCTCTCAAGCATCAGAATCACATCAGGGCGTTCCCACATGTCAACGATGTGGAAAGATGTTCACTCAATGGCACAATTTTCACTATCATGTGAAGTACGTGTGCCTGGCCCCTTCGCAGGAAGATGAAGACCTTGAACATCGACTACGGGTCCGTGAATATCTGAACTATGTTCAAGGAATGAGCTACGCTGCACTTGGTCAACGGAAGGACCTCACTGCATACTTTTCTCATAGATGCATCCTGTGTGGTCGATACATGTTGACAACACGTGGACTCATGAGACATTGGAGTGATTCTCACAATGAATGCTACAAGAAACATGGTGCTTGGAATGCCTACCTGATTCACAATGCCGGCACCAGCAATCCGTGTGAATTTTGTGGCACTCATTTCCTTCGAGAACACAATTGTGTTGTTCTGAGACAGTATGCTATCTACATGACCTTCCATGGCCAAGATCCTCCTGGAAATGTGCCCAATGCTGACACTGTCTTTCCTTGTCAGACGTGCAACAAGGTATTCCTGACGAAACATGGACTTGAACAGCACCTTCGGAACTTCCACTTGGCACTCAAGGTTGGTGATCAACTCAATGAACAACAGCTTGAAGCGTACTGCCTTGTCATGCAGGCGGTGGAGATGGAAGCCTGCATGGATCTTCTGGGCAATGAGCACATCATTGAGCTGCTGTCGCAAGTGTGCCTCAGTTGTCAAAAGACGTTTCAACGGAAAAA